CCCGGGGTGTCTTGGGAGCCCGCGCGTTGGCGCTAAGGTTTTTTTGGTTTTTTTTTTTTTTTTTTTTTTTTTTTGTGGTTAGGGGTCAGTCAGGTGGGATTTGATATAAGTGACGGGGACGCGTGCATTGCATTGCGCGAACGGACTGGGCTGGAGGTAGTTAGTGAGTGAGTGAGATGGAGTTGAAGTTGAAGTTTGGCTCTTGCGTCAAGGGTTTGGGATGAGAGGTTTGTGGTGAGTGGGAGAACGAGTGCGAGTGCGTTTGTTTGGATATTGGAATCACACGATCTCATTGTGTTTCTTGTATTTTTCTTGGAGTGTGAAGTTCATCCGGCGGGGATTCCCGGTGTTGCATGAGATGAGTTCTGCGAGGGAGGCATTCCCCGGACTGAGGTAAGGTGGTCTGAGAGACTTGAGATTTGTGAAAGCCCCTGACGGAGGGTGAGCCGTGCGGCGGTGCGCTGGCTGCGCGACAGCGGCGTCAGCGCGTCTGGCGTCAATGTTAGCGTTGGGCGAAGCTTTCCAGGTTCTGCTGCTTCTCTGCCTGTTGGGCGTTGGTAAGTGAGATTAGATTGAAGGTGAGTAGGGAGGGAGAGGGGGTCTGAACGTCGTGAGGTGTCGAGAGTTGAGTGGGCGGGGGATGTGTGGACGGACGGTGGGTAAAATGAGAGGCGTTTAATGTGAAACGCGGCCTTCGTCGACGGTACCTACCTGAAGATTCCACGGCGTGGTTTTCGAATGTGAATTGGGTGGTTTGATAGGAGATTACGGGGACGATTGGGGTTGGAGATGTGGAATGTTTGTGAAACGAGGGAAAACGGTTATGAGAATTTTCGCTCACTTGTTTACTTCATTCTGAGCCAGTCATGTTGCGAGGACATGTATCTCATATGAGGCTTGTTTATGAATGTGTTCGTGAGCCGCGTTCGTTGGCTGGTATCTTCTTTCTGGATTCATGAAAAGAAAGACATCCTCGAGTGAGGACATGTGAAATGCTGGAATCGACTGGACGAGAAGAGACGGTGGGACAGCTAACGCAAACCCCTACTTTACCTACCTACCTAGCTATCTTACATCGTGCCGCCGGAGCGGCGTATCCAATGGAAGCGCCGCCGGTGGAGTGCCGTCGCGTCCGGCACCGCGGGAGATTTGCGCATGTCACCTGGGGGCGGGCGAGCTGAGGCCATTCGTTTGGTCGTTTTGCACCCTGCATGAGGAGGAGTTGCAGTGCAGTCTGCAGTGCTGCAGTGCTGCAGTCTGCTGCAGTCCTACCAAACCAATTTCCGCACCCGTTTCGCACTCTCTTACGGGATGAGTAAACTGCAGATTGTGTTTCCTCTTCACTGCGGAATCCCTTGGTTTGGAGGAGCTAAGAATATCCAACGGGAATGCGGTTGAACTACCTCACATCTGGTGGCTTTGGAACGAGGCGTCGGCGTCGTCTGATACTGAGACTTGTAGATGCTGCGGACGGACCCCTCTCCTCACTCCAACAAGTCTCTGTGTCGTTCGGCGGTAGGTAGTGGCAGACAGGCGTAGGCGTAGGCGTACCTGCATCTGCACTTTTCTGCTGCGTCTTGCATTCAATTGTCACCCTGGAGGGAAAAGAAAAATGTAATCTGAGGCAAGGTTGAGCTAGCGTCAGGTACCGTGGCGTCTAGCGTTTTTTGCTGTCGATCGACGGAGCGTCGGTGTGGATTATTGGGGAAAGGGTTCGTTCGGCCTTTTTAATAAGTCTGTGGTGTTTTGTCGCGGGTCTGGAATTGGGGCCGTTGAGGAACTTGTTTCTTTTTTCTTGTTTCTCTGGTTTCTCATTCTTGTTCCGTGTTCTGTCTTTTTGAAGTCTTCAAATCGAGACTTTCTTTCTCTTCTTACTCTCCTTACTTGCCGAGTCTTTGATCTCGACATCTTAAAGTGCCAGCTAGACTGAGCCTCCATCTACACCTCCGAATCCGAAAACGCAATCGTTCGGGTTGTTTGTACTGCAATCGTCGTCAACATTGAGCAAGTCTCAAGTTTGTTCACCTGTGCCCTTCCGCGGGTTCACACAAAGTTTCCTCGTGGCGTGGTGTCATCCGGACCCAGGCCCATCGCACCGGACACCGAATTCGAACACGGCCGAGATATCGAATACGTCCAACAATCACCGATCGAAATAACACCCTCTTTCAAACTCTGACGGCATATTTTGACGGGCGTCCGTCAAGGGTCTTGCCTGGATCGCGAACGAGTCAAAACCCGTCATCGCATCCAACCAAGGACGCATCACGACGCATCGCCGGCATCAGTCGAAAACGCAGCAACAAAAGACCTCGACAGGCTTTGACGAAACGGAACCACCCATCCTCCTCCCCCAGATTCATGCGGGCGGAGCCACACCACGACCTACCGACCAACGGCTCACGGGCAGCGAGGGCCACCTGCGGTAGCGAAAAAAAGCTTGGACGGCGAAAGAGAGAGCAAGGCGATAAGCATAACCAGGGAGATCCTCTTCGGGAGGAGATCCGAAACATCGGACTGAGGAGTGCTTGAGAAAGCTGAAGCGAGACGGCGGCGCACGGGGGCGAGAGAGTCTTGTCAGAGGCGAAGAAGGGACGAGCGGACGGCGGGCTGTCATTTGATTTTGGAGGTGTCGGACGTGGGCCGGGAGCCGGTTTGTTTTGTCAAGCTTGCTTTCCTTTTCAGTCTGGAGGGGTGCTCGGTCTGAGAGAGATTTGACTGGCTCTGTTTTATGCTGGTTCTTATTTAACTCGGTCGTCCCGGCACATTTTTGGAGGGTCTGTTTTGACTCTATTCCGAGTCCCTTCATCGACGACAGCGTCAAAGAAGTGCCGTGTAAGTCCGTCCTCGAGAGGGAGGACTCGGTGCATTGTCGCATTCGACACACCACGCCACACCAACGTTTCCGACGACATATCAGAAAAGACGACACGATATAATAATAACGAGAGAAGAAGGGCAGGGAAATTAAGAGGTGGTTTTAGCGAGACGGAGCTGTGCAAATCATCTGCCTGATCGACGGGTCGGCTCAGCAGAGGCACTGGTTCAGTTCTGACCAATCAGAGCGTCATGTGGGACCGCTATCCGGCGAGGCCAGCGACCGTTGGCGCCCCCACCAGCAAGCCCACCAAGCCTAACGGTGGCGGTAGCGGTAACGGTAGCGGCTACGGTAGCGGTAACGGCAGGGGTAACGGTCAGGGGGGTTCGCAATTAGTGGAAGGAGCTACGATGGGTCCGGGGGGAGGAGCAGGAGGAGCAGGAGGAAGGAGCCAGAGGGCGACCTCGATGGCACCTTTCGGAAATTCAAATCTGAATTCGAGTCCAAATGGTCAAAAGAAGTTGACGCCGCCGCCTCAGTTGCACGAGAGGGGTTTCTTGAAAGGACAACGATATCGCCAGTCGCAGCTGCAACCCCGGACGCAGTCATTGTCCGTCTCGACATCGGGCCTCTCGCAGCAGGAACGCCAGCCACACCAGCTGCTGCAGCACCTCAGCCAACAACGCGGCGAGCAGCAAACGGGAACACAACAGCACCTCAGACTGCATTTGCGAGGAGGACAGACGGCGCAGGGAAGCCATCACCACCAGAACCAGGGACAAGGGCAAGGTCAGGGACAAGGACAAGCACAGCAGCTCGGAAGGGGATCATCCGTCAGGAATAACTTCCCCTACGCCAACTCCAACAGGGACGCCTCTCCTCCTGCTGCTAACGCTGCTGCTGCTGCTGCCGGCTTGAACTCGACGAGCACCCTTCACCACCAGAACTTCTGGCCCGACGACTTTCGAAACCCCAACGGCGGTCTTGGGATTGAGCATAATTTACCGTCGCCTACGACGCCGCCCAAGAACGAGAAGCGCGCGCTTGGGAGAATTGAGAGTCCTCAAGAGTAAGTCATTTTTTTGGTCAATGTACTTCGTGATGTTGGAGAACGAGTCGAGACGCGACACGATATCGACACGCGACGAGCATCACGTCACAGCAACGAGACGAGACTTTCCTGCTGCCGCCTCCAGCTCCCCCGCCTCGCCAGAAGCTCAAGCTCAAGCTCAAACCATATCGGCCATCACGACGCGACCGCCGCTGCTTCTCCAGAAATCCAGCCGAGGCGATCCTCCCCAACGGCCACCACCCCGACCCGACCTCGGCCTACACGATGGCCGCCGCCACCTCGTCGTCGCGCCTCCTCCTCGCCCATCGTGACTTCTCTCGAAATCTCAACATCATTGCTTCGTCCCTCCTAACAGCAGTAGCTAACGTCTCTCCCTGCAGCGCCATCGAAGACCTCCTTCCTCCTCCGAGTCTCACCCGCCACGACCTCGACAGCAACGGCAAATCCAACTCGTGGCGCCCTACTTCCTCCGTCTACTCGCTCAAGCGCGACTCCTACTCCTCCCCCGTCTCTCCCAACTTCGCCAACGTGGCTGCCCGTAATACCTACGTGTCCGCCGTGGCGGACATCTCTCCCCCGAGCTCTCCTGATATGGACGCTCGCCGAGATGGGTGAGTCCGAATTCCTTCGTCCGACATATCCTTGACGCACTTGTTTCTCCACCACGTGGTTACGGACCTCGTATTTTTGGAGTGTGAATCAGCGCCAGACCAGACTAGGACTGACCATGTGTCTCTTCTTCAGGAACCGCACTCAAGACCGCAACGTCTCGCCCATAGAGGAATCTCCCGACATGTCGCAGCTCTCTCTCGAAAATTCTCACGGCGGCCAGAACGGCACGCCTCCGCCCAAGAGCAACATCCCCATGATGCGACGCGAGCGCAGGAAGAACCAGGACGCGGCAGCTCACACCCTCCGAGAGACCAAATCCCAGCAACGCCTGCGGATCCAGCGCGAGACCAGGTGGGATGACATGACGGGCGAGCCCACGTCCCTCACCACGGGCCGTGCGGGCCAGGTCAGGCCACAAGAGTACGCCCAGGGAATCGTGAACGATCAGCCCTTTGGCAAGTCGCCCGCCGCCATGAGGGCCATGCAGAACGCACCACAGACGCAGCAGACGTTCAGCGACAGACTGCGCAGGCTACGGCCCGTTGGAGGCTCCAAGCAGCAGTCATCTGCAGCTGCCACTGCCACTCCGCCCGAGACCCCCGAGGAGCGTCCGCCTTGGCGCGGGGCAAGCGGCCTGCGAGGTGCGAGTGGACGAACTGCCATCGTCAACCCAGTCCGTGACACGGCGCCCAAAGAACCCCTCAGCATCCCGCGCAAGAGCAGCAAACGCACCGCCGTTGGGCCTCGGCTGCCCATCGCCGGCGTCACTTCACCACTGTCCCCTGTCAGCCCCTCCGAATCTGAAACGTCACCGCGGACGAGGACGCCCACCGTCAGAACTGTGCTGAACGCTCCCCGCCAGCTGATCTCCTCGCCCTCGCCTACTGCCTCTGCCTCTGCATCTCCCTCCCCCGACGCCGACGCTGCGGCCACTCGAACCCCTCCGCCCGCTCAGTCCTCCTATCCCAGTCCCCCAAACTCGGGCAGCGCTGGCGTCCAATCCCCCGTACTTGCGACGCCCGAGACCACTACCAGTGCGCCTGTCAGGCCCCGGCAGCCTCCATCCTTGACGGGCCTGCCCGCTGCCCCTAATGCACATCTCGGCCAAGACAAGTCTATTCGAAGGAAGCCTCCTCCTGCCAACTCGCAAGCTCTGCATGCTCCGCAGCCGTCGTACTCTTCGAGCGTCTACTCCGAGGCTACCGTCCACGCCCCCAGTGCCCACCAGCGATCGCCCCCTCGTGCACCGAGATCCCCAGGTGCAGCTCTCAAAGCCAACGAGCCTTGGGATCAGCCCCCGTCGAGATTCAGCGTCACCACCTACGCCACCTCTGCCGCCGATACCCCTCGTCAGTCGACAGACACGGCGCCTCCCCCGGTTCCCGCGTTGCCTTCGCCACAGCTGCCAGGTGACGGGGTCATGAGCCGCAAGCGACCGCCTGTCCTTGGTCATACGAACAACGCCGTCAACGCCGACCAGCCGTTCGTCATCTCCATGTCCTCGCCTTACATGTCAACCGCCTTCGCAGATACTACCTCGCCTGTGCCAGCACGATCAGAACTCCCCAGCCAGAAGCAGCCGTTGCCTCGAGCTAGCACCCCGAGCATGTACAGCACGTCCAGTCGACCCGAGTCCGTTTGGTCCACTAGCAAGGCCCTGCCTCCGCCGCCGACTGAGACCTCCATGGTCAACGACCGTGTCGGCTACCTGAACGCCCGCCTCGAGTCGCTGGGTAACCGCCGCATCAACATTAACCAGGCCATCAAGCAGATGACGGAGCTCATGCCGACCGACAGCATCTTGGCCAGCGAGGCCGTCTTACGGAAGCGCGAGGCAGAGAAGCGGAAGGTCGAGGCCCTCAAGATCGAGCTGGCCGAGGTGCAGCGCGAGGAGTACGAGATCGGCCTCAAGCTTCACCGCGCCTACAAGAGAATGGACCGCAACGCAGAGTACGAGCCCACGACGCTCTGGGTGAGGAGGGTTACTGGCTGATCCTAGCCTGTCGATACGCGTTGCAATTTTAGCAGAGTTGTTGAGTCTTTCCACATAATGGGCTGTGCGGGCCGGAAAGGGCTTGTTGCGGTTGGAGTTGCGAAAGCAAACGCGGAAGCGTTTCAGAGGAGTTTGCGCAGGTGAAGGCTGGCTATTTTGTTTGAGCACGGAGTTTATGGTTCCCCCTACCCTGACTTTTTTCTCAGGGCGGAGGGTTGAACGGGCAAAGTTGGTATGAACTGGGTTTTGCGCCCCCCCCTCAGCCCATATCGAGGGCATGTTTCTATTCTCGTCGTGTTTGATACCTTTTTTTCTCCTCCTCTTTGTCGCTTTGGATTGTTAGTCGAAGAAGACAATCCTGTAGAACAGAATTCTAGAAGATTTCCATCCATCTCTTGAGGAACGACCCTTGTTTTTGGTGACCCGATGTTTTTGAAACGGTGACAGGCCGGGTAGCGTGTTCCGCATGAATCTGCCGAGAAGGAAGGAGTGCTAATATTGGAGCTGGAGAGGGCGTTCGATGGTATTGGATGGGGGTTTGGAGTGTTTGTTTGATGTTGTTTTGAGGCTGACTTGTACTCAGGTGGTGGTATTCTAGGCATGTTGTCATTGGTCGCCTTGGAGGTGGTTATGACGACCTGAGGCTGGAGACGGGATATCGGCGAGGGATAGACTGCTTCCAATAGAGTATGGCGTATAGATGTTCGCCATTCTACCTGGGCAGAATTGAATGGTGTTCGAAGTCGTAGGCACGTGCTCGAGCGTTGTTGAAGTTTTTATGGTGATGGGCCCGACGGTATAAAATGGTAGAGATCTTGCTTCGCTTGGTGGAATTACGCAGAGACAATCATCTTGTCTAGCATCTCCGGGGATACAGAGGAACATTCTGGCGCATTTCCTGGATTTGCTCAGGTCAGTCAGTATGCCTATGATTTGCGTTCCAGGGTCAGGTACGTTGAAGAGGTAGTGTTGTGAGTCGTTATGTTGTTTGGTTCTATTTTTCTTCGGTTCTGGTGGTGTATTCGTTGGATGATAAGCTAGAGATGGAAGGCACCTAAGGAGTTGAGATACTGAATGGGAGCAGGGGTTGGATGAGGTCGCGATGTCGGATCCCGTTTCAACTTCATCGTGGATGATGATGGGGATGATGACTACATGGTTCGGGTCTTCCGACTACCGACCAAGACGGCATGTTGTACTTTCATGGCAGGTTCTTCGACTTTTTGGTATTTATGTGAGATGAGAAAACCGAATTACGGCTTCAGGGAGATTGTGGGTTGAGACTCCCATGGGCTGGATATTTGTTGGCCTGTACCTTGAGACGCGATGAGCGTTTCTGTGAGGTGATGTTATTGGGGAGGTCTCGGGGAGGTGTAGAGTATAAAAGGGGGTATCCGAGAGAGATGAGAAGCAGAACAACGATGATGACCACCTCTCTCTCACAGTCTCGATATATTTGATGGTGTCATCGGCACAACACGAAGGCTCGTCGTATATACTGAACACGCTGCTGTCCAACATTTTGTGCATTCTTGGAGCGTGGGAATCTGGGAGAAATGTCGTTCTTCACCGTCTGGGGAGTGGGATTGTGTGAATAAGTTAGGGATGAATGGTGTTTTGGGTATTTGAATGATCGGGTGTTTCCCACTGCAAGATGCAGAGTCTCAGACAGCGACCTCATTGATGTACCATACGCACCGTCGCCACCGCCCCAATCGTCTGTGGGGTTGCTTTCGGTGTCGGAGTTGCAAAGAGGATTTCTCATATATAGATTCGCTGGCTGAGTTCGGGGGTGAGGCTGGTCTTGGGAGATAATGGCGTCGCGAGGAGGTCTGAACTGCTTCACTCGGCCTCACATTCCTTGATTTGTAAGAGATCACACTTCTCATTGCCATGTGGATTATATAAAGGTTGTGTGTGCTTCTACGAGGATGTTATTGCAAGCCATGCGTTGTTTTTTGCCAGTTGGATGGATCAAATTCTTGTGCGCGGTCGCAGGTCTCTAATGTCTCAAAGGCACTAGGTTTGATGCATCACATGTCGAAATGGCCTGTAGAGCCTGGGAAGAAATTCGATATTTGAGATGTTGTTTCTCTTTGCCGTTGTGTGCTCATACGCTTGTGAATAATCCCAGGATGAAAGGTTGGATTGATGCAGGGAGGAGAGTCGAGGGACTTCTATGTCTACGCCAGGTTTTGGCGCATCGTCCTCGGAAGTCGATGGGCGCAGAAAGACCGGAACACGCTTCCCTCACGACGGGTTTCCAATGCAACGGCCACTTACGTGAGTGAGTCTTTTATAAGATATACACCGTCGCAAGATTCAGGAGACCTTGAGATTGGAGACGATCGTGCCGTGACTTGATCACCGGTTTAATATGTCTCATACCCCTGGACTGTTTATAAAAAGAATCAACTTCCCGCCTTTGTAATATCCTACTTAAAGCTATTGTCTTTGGAATCGCGGACGCGGCGATTTGGAGTCGTCCCCAATGCTCTTCCAATCTCAATGTCAGGTTGCAAGGTTGCGGTGGAGATTAGCATTCTCCATGAAACTCATGAAGCGATTCATGCTATGTTTGTGTCTTTTTGTTCTTTCTTTATTCGTTTTCGAATAGCCTCAAAGAAGAGTTGGACGACAGTAGTGGCGTTGCTTCCCTCTGGATGAGTCTACAGGTAATGTCGAAGAGTAGAACGACACATGCCGTCGATGATGCAGCCCAACAACATTGAGCTGAACTCGACTACTGTCCTCCCTTCCGCGTCGCCGTCTTACTTTCTCAGGAACGCGAAGAATTAATGCGATGCTTAGGTTACATACCAAAAGCTTGCAACTTATACCCGTGAAAGCTTCCCAAGACTCATTGTTCAAGACGTATGCGGCATTTCTGCGTGTCTGTCGTATCCATCCGAATAAACGTACCCATGATAAAAGATCAATCTTCGCTCTGTGGATAGCATGGAAAATTCGAACAGAGGGCCTTCCTCGTTTTATAGCTCTGGTTTGGATGATTTGGTAATTCCCACGTATCATGGGGGTCTTGAAGACTGGAGGTGTGCTCCCGTTCTTAGGAGGTAGATGGATAACGCCATGTGTGTTTGTTCAGGGTTTGAATAATACGCTGAAGATGACCGTGGACGGAACCAGAAAAGTGTGCAGAAGAGGGAGACACGGTCGTATGCTAGGTTTTGGACAAGAAGTTGAGCGTTTTTACCTTTTCGTTGCAGGCCAAGCCAAGATTCAATTCATCGCCGTCGATATAACGCGCTGGGCCGTTTTCAACTCATGATTCACTCCTTTTTAAGCGCTTCAACATCAATACTGACCAAAACGTGGCGACCACGCTCTGGATGAAGGTTGAAGAATTCAGCACCTCCTGAGGGGCAACAAGGGTATAAATTGGGTTCGAGTTTCTATGAAATTGTGATTTCTGCAAGACGATCGCGGTTTCGAGTTCGAGGCATAAACGAGGAAAACCGCATTGGTTTTGTGAGTACCCTCACAGCCTCCACACAAGGTGCAACGGCTTTACCAAAATGTGTTTAAGTGTTCATGATGTGCATGCTTATTCCAGACTAGAATATCTCTTCAACAAGGACAAGGAAAGAAAGCGGGCATATCACCAAATACGCGCAGCGATATCATAGGAGGCCTTAGAGCTTCTCTGATGATGCAATGGTCCACGTCATTACGCCTTGTGCCCTTCATAATCTTTGGCGGCCGGACGGGTTTCATGGGCAATCATAACCCAGGCTATGCTCCCTCAAGGTCGATTTTCCAATATAAAATTCTCCTGAGGCGGAAGTAAGTGACCTTAACAAGTGAGCCACAAACACCTGAATGGCCTCTCCAGAATTTTGCCTGCCACCCTGCCTAACAACTTTGTAGGGTTGCAGAACTCTAATTAAGGGAATTGAACCTGGCTTCTGGGCTAGTAGCGTTAAACATCTCCAGCCCCGTCATCTCTTTCAAGTCCAGCAAGTCAAACACACATCTCGCCCTGGATACCACGTAGACACAAGCGACGAATTCACGACGTCGCTGAAAGTTCTTTTCGCGACAAGGAGACACCCGAATCGCAGCCAGGGACGAGCTTACCCGAGAATACCATGGAGCGTATTCCACCTGTTGTCGACAGAAATGTCGCAGTCGAACCGCATCAACAACCCCTCGGTATCAACTCTCCATTTACAAGACTTAAGAACGATCTCCTAAGCAGGAGCGGTATACGTCTTCCGAGGGATGTGGATCATGCTCTGCGATTTAGAGGGTTCATGAGGGATTTTGGAAGACACCCGCGCTTCAACGACCGGGAGGACGAAACGGCATACCATTCGATTCGGGATGGCGAGGAGGTCTCCTCACGCTTGTCCGCAGCCGAATCACCATCAATCACGGAGAAGCCGCTCAGGAAAACGCTTCTGGGGGTGGGAATCCCCGATACGGACGTAACCACGTTGCCAGTGCGTCGGCGGACCCGGCCACTGCGACTGTCACGCATAGAGAAGCTTACATACGAGCTCCTTCTCGAGGTTCTCGACCATCTTGAGCTACACGAAGAATATGTCCTTTCATGCACGAGCTGGATAATGCGTCAAACTGTAAGAGGACTGAGGAAGATGGAGAGCTGGGGAGGGAGAGTCTCACACCTGTCTCGCCAGGAGAGGCTCAGATTCCTCACCGGCATCGCAACCTTTGTGCCCGATAAGTGGGCTTGCAAGGCCTGCTGCAAGCTTCACCAGGTAGACGAGTCCGACTTCCCCCTGGTAGAAAACGACCCCGTACATCGCCCTCGGTCAAATGATCGCGATCAGTACCCTTGCCCCTTCGGGCCTCCTTCCAGCATCGTCATTGCCAGCCACGAGTTTCACTATGTCCACGTCCAGATGGCACTAAAGCTCAACCGGATGGGCATGACCGACCATCCGTACTACGAAAAGCTCATGCGCGTCAACGAATGCTCAGCACTACGTATACGGCGGACGCACGCCCACCGCCGTCTCGGCAGCCATTCTATGATCCCGAAAATCGTCGATGGCAGGTTCCTCTTCCAGACCAAAGTGATCTTAGACTTCGAGGCGACGACCTGTCGATTCGAAGAACTGGATACCCTCTGGCTCCAGGACACTATGTGCGCGTGCATATCGCGGACCTTGTACAGGGATTTTCAGCGGGATGGCGGAGGACGACTCGAACCCGGAACTAACGAGACGATGCTTTACTGCACAAACTGCCGTACCGAATGCTCGACCGTGGTGAAAGACACTGGGTTCGAAATCACCTTTTGGTACGACCTGGGCGCGTACGGATCCCCAGACGATTTCCCATGGACGATGGACCCGTCGACCCTGGATATGAGACTACGGAACGACGGAGCGATGTCGGCTGCGCCTGGCAGCATTCGTGACCTGTGGGAGCAGGATGAAGATTAGATGATGGCGTGGTAGTCAGTGGTTTGAAATGTATCTTGATGCTGCAAAGTCCACGGCATGTCAAACTCATCTGTTTTACATAGTCAAGAATCACGTAATGAGAGAACTTTTCGCGTTCTCACATCAATTCGTCTAGGGTATTCAACCATCTCATAACTACAAACATCCTTTCTGTGCCATTCCATTTAGTGCCTGGCATCAGCTGGCGGAGGGCAGGCCGCGCTGTTGGGCAGCACATTGGTAGCTCCCGTTCCATCAAAGTAGCAAGTTCCCAGATCGTTCTGGCAAGGCGAGTCCGGACCCGGGCAGCACCATCCGTAAGACTTCCAATCGTAGTTCTGCGTCCAAGTTCGTTCAGCGATTGATATCCAGACAGATTCTGAGGGCTCTTACGTAGCAGGGGACGGGGGGCGCGACAGTGCTGGTGGGCGCAGCCTCGATCGTCGTCTCTAGCGACGTCGTGGTTGGCTCGGCAGTGATGACCACCAACGGAGAGGAAGTGGTGTCGATGACTTCGACGATGCTTGACGACTCCGAGGTAGATGATGGAGGAGCCGAAGTCGAGGACGGAGTGGCCGAGGTCGAAGGCGCGCTTGAAGGAACACTCGACGGCTCGCTTGCAGGAGTGCTCGACGGAACGCTTGAGCTGGTCGTCGTGGTATCGTCCGCGCCGCCAGCTCCTCCGCCGCCGCCTCCGCCAACGGGAGGAACGACGGGCACGCCACCTACGATCGGAACCGCGATGGGAACAACCGGGACATACTGGTTGCCATTGGCATCGGTCTGCGGAGGTGCGGTTGAGTACGAGGTCGAGTAGGACACGCCCGAGGAGAAAGTGATCGAGAAACTCTCAGATGCGACGGAAGTCTGCGTCGATCTGCCGATGCTCCGGGAACTGCTTCTCGCCTTACTTGTTCGAGAAGGAGCAGAGCTCGTGGCGGATCCCGACGGTGTGTTGCTCGAGGAAGGCGGTGCCGAGCTGCTAGCTGATTGGGATCCTGAGCTTCTCGTGAACGAAGATGTGGCGGTCGACGACGCGAAGGATGAAGATGCGAAAGAGGAGGAGAAAGCGCTGGAACTGAAGCTGGACCTCGCGTGGGTCGATGATGCGAAGCTGGAGCTTGGACGCGAGGATGACGAAGCTCTGGAGCTCGTCGACCCGGTAGACGTCGCTGTGCTGCTGGCGGTGCTGCTTCCGGAAGATGACGTCCGACTGCTCGAGGACTTGCTGGACGAACTCTTCTTGCTCGAAGTGCGCGAGCTGGTGGAGGTGGATGAGGAAGAAGACGATGTAGTATTACGGTGCGTCGTCGTTGAGTTGAGGAAGTGAGTTGAGAATGTAGTTGGGAGCCCCGTCGAGTTGAACGTCGGCGGCGGGGTTACGGTAGGAGTGAAGGATCCGGTTTCCTGCCTGTTAACCAAGTCATAATGGGCGCCTTGGTGCTGGTGATGCTCGGCTCTTTCGAGCATGTGATGCCTCGCGGCATGGCCATTTTGGTGATGAAGCCCCTGAGCTGCCCCGGCCGCCAGAACTAGTGATGTGAAAAGAGTGTGAAACTGCATCTTGAAATGATGTACGAGTTTGGCAGGAAAGAGTGACTACCAAACAATTCGAAAGAATGACTGAGGTTGAAAATCCTGAAGATCCTTCCTACCTCAAGGCGGGAGTCAAGATCCCTTTTGTAAGAACATAGTGTTGTCTCCATCGCAGCACCGCCGCGACCCATCACCAAGCATTCTTGGCAGGCTAATGCAGGGTTCGCATTTCTTGGGACGTAGGGATCCAGCTGGATCTGACCATAAGACTCGGGTCCGATAACACGCTCCTTGCGAACTTGAACGGGGGCGGCAAAGTCGGCAGAGCCCCCTGATCGCCGGGCTTTACGGCGGTAGGGCGTCGGTGAGAAAGTCCGTCCGAGGCCGGACCCGCGGGACCGCGAGAACGAGAGACACATCGATAAACAGCGTGATATAGCGCTCAAAGTCAAACGATAAGACGAACCGGTGGAGAGTGCGTGCCCCTTTTCGTTGGCTGCAGCAGCTGTGTAGGGCTGGTGCTTGAGTCAGTAGGTGATGCTTCTGAAACCTCGTGTTCATTTAGGTATTTGAAAATAGACTCACGACCCATCACCCCTGTCTGACAGAAAACTGGGCGCGGGTCAAGGCGTCTATAAATTCTTCTTATCAATATGAGGGCTCATGCGCCCGATTGCCACGAGGTTTTCGGACTGCTCGGGTCTAGTTAGCACGTAGGGCTGATTTCGAAGCGCGCGGCAGCTTTTCAAATGTGGAAACGACTACTTAATGTGCGTACTTGATGCATGAAAAGTTGCTTTATTTGATCTGGCGAGTTTGGCGGTCGATTATCTGATCCCGAGACGTTATGTGACATCATCTCATAAGAAGATTGGAGTGCTCAGTCTGTTTACAGGACGCATGCACAATCAGCAGTGGCGTCGATCATCTCAATTTTGCCCATAGTACGTCAATCAAGTGGTTCCCATCTCTATTGTTCTAAGCTCCCTTCCTTTTTGTGACAAAACCATCCGTGAATGTGGATCTGGCTACCTTCCCGTTGATTGCTAGTTAGTGCTTGTCTGAAGAAGCCAAAGGGTGGGCTTTGTAGAACTTGGCGAGGAGCTCAGCAGGAAGCTGAGCAAGAAGTTCATAAGGGGGACCACCATCGAGGATGGTATCGTGCTGAACAGGTCCAGAGGGAGGCGTACCAGAGAGAGATGGGAGGGCAGGCTTGGAAGGTTGCTGAGGTTGGCAGCGCTGTTGCTTGGCAGCAGGATCGGGGTTCTTGGAGTGAGGCATGACTGCGGTTCGATCGGAGGCTGTAACTGACGAGTTGTTGTGATTGGATGGATAGTTGGTCTGGTTAGACTTGATGGGGTCGAGTCGCAACCCCTGGATATATACAAGTCGCGAGCAGACTGTCTAACAAGACAAGATGTCTTTGTTGTTCTGCCACAGTAGCACAACCCCAAAGACAGACTCACTCGAAGCTATCAGCTTCGCCCTTTGAGGACAGAGGCGCCAGCCTGCCAAGTCTTGTTCTAAAGAACAAAGACTTGATCCGACGCAGTAGTAACAGGCATTAGACCAACTTTCAAGGAATAATGCTTTCGAACTTGGGGCGGATATTTCATGAATTATTCTCATTCTTATACATCATCTCATACAACAATGCTATGGAATCCTGCTGATCCCTGTTTCCCAAGTCTCATGGTGCTCATCGGCCGAGGGCGATGGAGCACCTTCTTACTTTCTCTCACGCAGCTTAACCTTCATCTTCATGTCATGTCTCGGCCGCGCCTCCATACCAACCATCTGGAACGCCAAATCGCCAACCTTCTCATCAATGTCCATGTACGGGACTCTCTGCGTAGTGCCGTTGACAATCGTCTCAAAGTCGAACCACCTAACGGTCAAGAGCAACATGATACGCAGCTCGTCCATAGCCAGGTCCTGCGCAATACACGCGCGGGGTCCGCGCTCGAAAGGCCTCCAGGCAAAACGGTGCTGCTCCTTGGCCTCCTCTCCGAGGAAGCGGTCGGGCCTGAAGCTCTTGGAGTCCTCGCCCCAGACCTTGGGGTCCAGGTGCGTCGAGTGCGCGCAGGGGATGACCATGAAGTTCTTGACGGGCCAGCGGCGGCCGTTCCAGTCGAGGTGGGTGACGCCCTTGGGCGCCTGGCGGATCGTGAAGCCGATCGGGAAGAAGCGGAGGGTCTCCTTGATGACGGCGTTTGTGAATTCCATGTCGTTGGTCTTGTTCGGGTTCGCGACGAGCATCTCGACCGTCTTGTCGAGGTCGGCGTCGAAGTGCTCGTCGTGTTCCTTGCGCATGCGCTCGACGATGTCGGGGTAGATGGAAAGAAACATGGTGACCCAGGTGAAGGTGTCGGTCGTGGTGCCGTGTCCGCCGAGAAGCAGAGCCTTGAGGCTGCGAGGTGTTAGTAAGGCCACTGGAGAGTCCTTATTGGTTGAGAACTTACTTGGTGACAGCGGTGTCAATGAAGTCATCATCAAGAGTCGCGCCAGGTCCACTTTGGATTCTGTCGAGAACGATGCGGTCCAGAACACTCTTAACCTGTCTTCTGCTGGGAAGTTCCTTCTCATCCTGCAAGATCCTCAACCGCTCATGCATCTCATCAGCCAAAGTCTTCCTGACACGGTCCTTGAGAGCCTGCAGACCCTGCTCGGCCTTGCGCTTCTTCCAGGGGTTACGCGTGCTAATGAAAGTCGTAGCGGGGTTGATCGATGCTCTCAAGTCCTCCAACAGAGGAGACCCGGTCCTTTGCGCCTCCAGAGAGAATCCGAAGACGACCTTTCCGATGACGTCGAAGATGGTCTTCGCGGCTTCCTCTTCCATGTTGAACGCCTCGTCCTTCTCGGCGAAGGCACGGAGACGCTCGTGGAAGATGAGCACCTGCTCCGAAATCATACCGGACATGGGCTTCACGTAAGTCGGCGTGAAGCCGGAGCCGACCATGCGGTGGTTGTACTTCCACCTCTCGCCGTTGGAGGCGGCGATACTGTCCTTTCCGGTGAAGGGACGGAGGAACCTCTCAATACTCGGGTGCTTCGGGTACGGGTTCGTCGTCAGGACGAGCTGCGCCGCGTCGGGGTCTGTGATGACCATCTGCGAATCGTAGAAGGGCCACATGTCAACGTAGTAGATGCCACCGAGGTTGTATGTCTGGTTGATGAGAGTGTAGACATTTTGGGGATGCGTGAACGCCGGAAGTCTGACTTTCTTAGCAAAACAATCGGGTTTGGGTTCTGGATTCCTTACTTGGCTGTGACCTCCTCCCAGATCGGTGTGTGACCCCAGATCCATGAGTGCTTTGGCGGTTGAGGCTACGTCAAAGAGCGTGCTGTCAGCTTACGATTACGAAGAATCACGCAATCATGGCCGGTTACTTACGAGACCTCTAAACCTGAGGCGCATGTAGCAAGCCTTGAAGATCCAGTAGATGGCCGTGGCCAGAGCCACGGTGGCTGCGATGAGCCAGTTCGACACGCCAAACATGGTGATTACTGCTGAAGCTCTCCAACCACTGTTCAGGTACGACAAAGGAAAGAAACAAGAAAGGAAAATTTCCGCCCTCGAGCAGAAGAAAACCACACGGTGCAATTCATGGCGGGGTATTAGGGTAAGCAGTGCAGAGGAGGATCGATCTACACAACTCTGAATCCCAGCTACCTACGTAACGTCGCAGCCGGCGTGAAGCGTTAGGGGAAAAAAATACCTCTCTTTTTTTTTTCTATTCAGCCAGGGTACGATGTAAGTTTCCAATAGCGAACGCGCTCTAAAGGCGTGTGGTTGCGGTCGTCTCCCACCGGTGGTCCTGCGCTAGCTGGGGTCCGGAGGGGGGGTGTGTAAGACAAGAAGACGGCGCTCGCAGCATTGGTGGGGCCGCGACGGATCAGATTAGATGATCTGATAAGATGATTCTCGAGATCACCGGTCTTGGATTGGATGGGCGTCGCAAGGGGGGAGGGGTGGACATGAGTAACAGCATGCAGGAAGTTCCCGGCTTGGATCCTGATGAAAGGATGAAAAGGGTGGTAATGAACCGCGCCAGCCCCCTCTTCCGATGCAAGTGTCGGAGGAGGGCGCCCTTGGTGGGAGTGCCGAGTGATGGAGGAACGCCTGGGAAGACGTCTTCAACGGTACGGTCCGCCCACCGGTACTTGAGTTCCCCGCAGGCGTGGGATGTTCAGGTTTTGAAGAGTTTTTTCTTTGCTCTCCTCATATCCGGTGGTATTGTAGTGGACTGCGGAGAGTTCAGCGGAATGTGGGTGGAAGTCTATCGGCATCCTTCCGAGGTTGCGTACGCAAGTTCGCGGGAGCTGTTTTCAACGACTTCAGGAAACTCGGGACCAAGGGCTTCAAAGAAGATCACAAAAGCCTCTACTCTTGACGGAGAAAGTCCGACGCAAGAACTGTTGAAATGCTTATTAGTTTTGGCGGCATTGAGGCGGAGCGTTCCGCCTCGACATGCGAAGTCGGACGTTATTCAAGATTCGACGTAGCGCGCCCGAGACCGAGGGTGGACCTTGTCGTTCAAAGTCGGACATTTGTCGATCCCAATTCCCACTTGCGACTCGTTAGTCCACCTATCAGGCCGGTTCTATTGCCGTCGTAGGCGAGTACTCGGAAGGCCTATTCTCGTGCTACATTCAGTTACGATCTCTCTGTCTTCATAAGACTGGCATACCGCGGTAAAGGTCGGTTATGATTCGACCGAGTCACGGCTATGATATAAAAAAAGCGTTAGAGGAAATACTCAGGTTGACACTGCTTCCATCTTTGGACGTGATGACGGTTTCATGGTGGGTAATGAACCCCTGTTTCTTCAACGAAACCCAAGCTTTTTTGACCACAATCGACGAGCTTGGCAGCAGGAAGAGCGGTACCGATCGGCTTAAGCTTAATGTTGTACATTTAACAGTCCCAACACAAGCGATCTAGACGCAGGAAAAAAAAGCAAGACTTGAAATATCATTGGTGGGTGGTAACCATTCCACTGGCAACGCAAACGGTGACAACAATGATGAAAGCCAAGAGGAACAAACGATGTTGCAAAAAGAAGAAGTAATAAGCAATTCAGGCAAAAGGAAATGTTCCGAAACCGAGAATCGAACTCGGGGCTATGCCTAACCTCTCAAGTTAATGAGAGGGCATCATGTTGGCCACTACACCATATCGGATGTGATTGTTGACATCAAAGCCGAGTTCTTTGCTCAGGAAGGGTTGTGCGCTGGCGGCGGAGACGATGTCCTGGGCTGGCCCTTGACAGTCTTCCCCACTCCTCTTGTGTAGCTATTTTTCAGCAACAGGAAGATGGATGTGAAGGTGAGCCAAGACGGCCTTTGAGACTACTTAAGTAAATCTTTACAACATGATTTTCACTATGCCGGTGGGATGCTGCATGGACAAAAGAGGATGTTCGTATTAGTTCGCTTCCCGTAACGACCGTAACGTTTCTCTCCAATAAGCCGATCTGTGGTTGAGTGTTTAGCCGCTCTATCCCACACCTTCTAACAGCGCCTTCTTGTCTTACACCGAAGTCTTAAATGACCCATGTAACCCGTTGAACCTTTTGAGAGACACAGTAACACATCAGTAGTCATGATTCGATCTTTAGACAAAGCCCTAGGGAGCGGAGCATAGCTACATACTAGGTAGCAATAACACCAGCCACTTTCAGGGGGAGGTCGCCAATCTAGCGGCGCCCTGTCCCTACATCACGCTCATTCTACGGAACAAAAAAGAGGCAATTCAGGAGTTCGTACCAGCAAAAAGACATTGACAAGAACGAGATTCGAACTCGCGCGTGTTTCCACACCAGCAGGATTCTTTGTAGAGCCTGAAGCTGGCGCCTTAGACCGCTCGGCCATCTTGCCATGCTGCTGAAGCCCAGACTTGCTGGGTCGGTGTCGGCTGCCGACGGCAGCGGGGTCAAGGATCGCACGGGGAGTATCGGAGCCAGGTCCGTCGATGAAATGAGGGTTACCACAGGATAACTAACAGAAGCATCGTGTAAAGAACTCTGGTATTATACTACTTCAATTGGCTCGATCCGCCTGGACGCCGTGGCCGTGGTGCTGCGAAAGTCAATCGTGCGTGAGAGAACCAATCATCAGGTCCTCATCGTTCATCCCAAGATTCCCCTCTCGGGAAGTCAAACACCCCCCAACTCCATGATGTTCATCCGATCATTCAAGAGGAATGGCCTTAGTTCGTCTTCTTGCCAGCAGCGACCTGTCTTCCGTGCGTCGTGTATCGGGTGTACGCGTAGCCGCCGCCGACGATGATGGTGAGGATGACGATGTTGCCTGCGCGAAGGATCCTTGTTAGCTTCGGTGCAGGCCGCGACAGGGGGACGCGCTGAAGGCGGGAACCAGCGCTTTGGACTCACCAATGACGAACTTGCCGACTCCACCGACGACGTCCACCGCGCCCGTGAAGATGTCGGAAACCAGGTTAACGACGCCAGCGAAGAAGCTGATGATGGCGTTGAGGATGGTCTGGAAGAGCTGGTAGAAGGTCGCGAAGATGGAGGCGATGAGCTCGAAGAAGCTCTTGAAGAGGTCCTGGATGGCGTCGATGAAAGACATTTTGTCGGTGTTTCTGGTAGGGCGGGCGGAGGTTCGGTGTTTGCGAAGGTGCGTGATGGATTTGTTCGTGTTTTCTCGACTCGAAGATGCGATCGCGAAAAGTGATTTTGGTAAGTTTTGAAGCTCAAGAAGAAGTAGCTGGATCTTCAGTTTACTTTTATTTTGTGCACGCGGGCAGAAAAAGGCAGATGACACGGTTGCGCTGAGACCTGGCCAACCCAAGCGGCACAGCTACTGCGTAGCTGGCCGTTAGCTGTGAGAGCTGGACGGTTTGGACCGCTCGTGACGTCTTCATCGTGACGTCACAAGCCACACAAACGGCGCCAGCCACGCGACTGCAGACTGCAGAGGCACAGCTCACAATTCTAAAGGAGCGGATTGGCTCGTTTGGAGCGGGAGGAATGTGGACAGTGAGGATCTGTCCTGTTTGAGACATCGGTCATTAGAGCTACCATCAAGCCACCAAGTTGCACACGTGGTGTCTCGGAGCGTTTGTCCCTAGGCCAATCAAGCTTCGCATCGAATGAGTAGAGAGGTATTCTCATGATGAGGCAATCATGAGCAAAATCAAGATGAAGATGATGAAGATGCCGGCCTTTCTGCAACACATAACCTTCACAGCGCTCTCATCATTTCAATCTCAGTACACTTTTTCTGTTCATTTGGCACATCTAGTTGCCAAAATATTACTGCGTCTACTTCCACGCGGCTCATGAAAGCCAACCCCAAGGGTAGGGGCACATTAGCAGAGGGAATCTCACAATGAGGCGATCATGAGTGAAACGGAGATGAGAACAACACAAATAATCTTCATATCATATCATCATCTCATTCTCAACTCATCAGCTCGGCTAAGATGTTCAGAAATGAATTTTCTCATGGTAGGCTGGGCTATTCCTGCGTCTACGTCTACGCTGCTCATGATTCCTTTCATCAACCTGGCGACCCTTGTCACCCTCAAGGTCTCGTCGAGTCTCGAAAGGTTCTTGTGTCCCACTCTTAAACAAAGTAAGTTGTCGTCATGACCGCGATTTCAGTGCACTTAAACCATCGCCACGCCAAAATCATCCACAACTTCCTCCATGATCGACACCTCTTCTCTCGTAGACGTCCAGTACCCACCTGGCGAGTAAGGCGGAGGCGAATACAGTGGAGTATCAGACTCGGACGACGAAGTCTCTCTTCTGCGGACAGCTATCCGACGAGCTCGACGCATAGGCCGCGGCGGACGAGGAGGCGGTGTCGTGTTGTTGCCTGACGAAGTGAAGGGTCCACGAGTTCTGGTGTCGATTATCTCGGTTACACTCACCTGAGAGTCGCTGTCATCGGCGCCAGGACTGAGGGGTTCAGAATTTGCTCGCGCCGCTGCTGGATTCGCCCCGGCGCCGACCAAAGTGCTCATGTTACGGGTGATGTCCGTGATGTTGACTTGGCCATGTTCGTCATGGGAAACTTTGACTGAACCATCTGCGAGAACAACTTTGTAGTTACCGACCGTGATGATTGCTGGCTTGGCTGCTTGCTGTTGGATGTCGTGCTGGCTAGGTTCAGACCCTTCGTTGTGGAAGCTAACGGTCATAGACAAGCCTCCCGCAGCCGTCGATGTGTTCTGGTTCGCAGCTGGACGCTGAGATGGCGGACTTGGAGCCGGAGGCAGTGGACGAGAAGGTGGCGATGTTGGAGGCGGCAATCTTAGAGGCATCGCGACTTCAATAATACAGAGAGATAGAGATGAATCTTGATTGTGAGTACCCGTAAAACTTGTTGTGGTTCACTTTGTACCCGCCCGCCTCAAGAAGCAGCCTCCGATGATGGGCGAGCTTATGATATTTAATTTCATTCTCAAGGCATGAATTTGTTTCTTCTGTGTTCTCGACATGAGTTGCCAGAAACTGCCAAACCGACTCCAGATATGTTGTGAAGAGACAAGAAACATCGCCAGACAGTAGTTCAAGACATTCGCGCTGGTTTCTTTCAAGAAGTCTGAGTCCGCAGAAAGGCATGGACGAGTCCTGCTTCCCCAAAGAAGAATCTGACCGTTAAGAGATCAATCGCGATGTTACCGCCACGTCAAAGAAACCACAAGTCATTGTGCTGTATCGCAACCACAGCTTCTGCGTACGGGGCTTGAGTGGCATTGTGGGACGATGCCTTCAACAAAGCGGGTCGGTTAGCTCAGTTGGTTAGAGCGTGGTACTAATATATCATCAGATATGTTGAGTAATGCCAAGGCCGAGAGTTCAAGCCTCTCACTGATCATGTCTTTTGCCATTCAGACAGGTTGGTTAAGCTTTTGTTTTTTGTATGGTTGCGTTGGATGGCTTTCTGCCTCTCACTTTCATGAACATCTTTTGTTGAGACACATTTGGAAGCGGTGTGTCGAGAACCGCAGCGATATCAAATGAAGACAGTCCCAATTTGAGTCTTATTTATTACAATATGTTACCAGTTGAAGAGTAGAAGAATGCTCATCGCCGCCATTCGAGTCTTCAAGGGCCTGGCACAATGCAAGCATGAGTCGACACATTCGCGCGCGAAATGTCTTATCTTGTAGGCAATGAGATCCAAAATCCACAAAAAAGATCAGGCTGATACAGATCCTATGACATGCGATGACCCCGTGTGAGCGGCACAGATAATCGCAGCCCCCGACCGGTGAGTCTGGCCGGAAGGAGAAGAAATATTCAGACCCACTTTATCGGCCGACAACCCGTATCCGGTAGCCGGGATATCGCGGCCAAGCTCCGTGACCCCGAAAAGCAATGGTCAGCACCCATTTCGGGGGCCCGGCAGCAGGCGTCGGCCAGCTAATGCAATGCAACCTTGCCGGTGCGACAGGTGAAATGCATTCAGGCTAATATGGTACTGAGAGCCAAGCATGAGCAGAGTTTGGCAGCTCTCCCACTACCACGGACTCCCGGGCTTCGGCGCCCTCTCATTTAAAGCAATACCCTTAAAATGTAAGATAGATTATCTCTTGATTTTATTGACTGGTGGAAATTTGAGCGACCCTGGTTGCTGGGTCGGAAGCTAGAAGATGCACCATCATACCTGCTCAACTGCTTGCCTTCCCCCATCACGCTCGATCACGAGCTATTCGACGGTGCAAGCTTGCAGCTGGCCTGATGATGCCGGTCTTACCCACCTGTGATGTTCGCGCTAGCCCAGGCACAGGAATTCTCGGAAGACCCTCCGCGCGCCAAGTCAATTTGGCCAGACTTGGCCACGGCCGCAATGCTGTTTCTCCGCCTGTGCAGCTCCGGCGCGGGGGCTGCTCCTAGACTGTGATGATTTCACCAAGAAACAAGTCTTGAGGATGGCGCGTCCCAAGCCGGATGAATGGAAAAAATGTCTCTGCCGGCGATCTAGTTGGCTGAGGCGCGATGACGGTCCCTGGTTTTCCTGGCTCCTGGCCGACGGGAGTCGCTTCCACCGGCCCGTTGAGGCTCACCACGTGGGAAACATTGGATACTTGGAGAACTGACGGGGTCGTCGACGGTCTTGCAGATGGCCAAGACTTGATGCAATGTGACCCTCCCCGCATCATCGTTGCGCTGCTCTCCCGAAGGTCATGTATAAGTTCTCGTCATGTCTGCACATAATCACCCCGTCGAATCAGTCTACAACTCGCCGGGTCGACTGCTTGCTCCGTGCATCAACACCTAGCACCAACATGTACGTCAAGGCTCTTCTCACGCTCGTGCTTGGCTCCGGCCTCGTTTCAGCCCAGTTGAACACACTGGCTGTGAGAGCCGGCTTGAAGTACTTCGGAACAGCAGTCGACGAGCGACGGACGACCACCGACGCCACCTACATGGGCATCGTGAACAACACCGCCGAGTTTGGTTCCTTGGTGCCCGAGAACGGACAGAAGTGGCAAAACACCGAGCCTTCCCAGAATACCTTCACTTACACTCAGGGCGACATCGTGAGTGAAGGGAGTCAAACCTTAGAGCTTAGAGATTCGCTGACGCAGACAACCACCAAAGATTCCGAACATTGCCAAGGCGAACGGCCAGATCTTGAGATGCCACACTCTTACATGGTACGAACCTTCAAAGACATGTCTGATCTGAATGTGCTGACACGAAAGACAGGCACTCTCAGCTGCCTAACTGGGTCTCGAGCGGATCGTGGACGGCGGCGACCCTCACCGCTGTCATCGAGACGCACATCGCCAACGTTATGAAGCACTACCTCGGCCAGTGCTATGCCTGGGATGTCGTCAACGAGGCCGCAGCAGACGACGGAAGCTGGCGCGCGAGTGTCTTCTACAACACCTTGGGTACAGACTACCTCCCCATCTCGTTCAGAGCTGCCAGGGCTGCCGACCCCAACACCAAGCTGTGAGTTCCTCAACAAGTCCTAGGTCGACCAGTACGCTGATGAGATAGGTACTTAAACGATTACAACCTCGAATACAACGGTGCGAAGACGAACCGAGTGTAAGTCTCTTCCCCCTTCCTTCAGAACAGATGAATGACAATCTGACTGCATAATAGTCTGGAAGCAGCCACCATCGTTCAGAACGCCGGCGCCCCCATCGACGGCGTCGGCTTCCAAGGCCATCTCATCGTCGGCAGCACGCCCGGCCGCTCCGCTCTCGCGACCGCCCTCCGCCGCTTCACCGCTCTCGGCCTCGAAGTCGCCTACACCGAGCTCGACATCCGCCACTCCAGTCTACCCCCCTCCAGCGCCGCGCTTGTGACCCAGGGCAACGACTTCGCCAACGTCGTCGGCTCTTGCGTCGACGTCGACGGCTGCGTGGGCGTTACCGTCTGGGGCTTCACGGACAAGTACTCTTGGGTCCCCGAGACCTTCAGCGGCCAAGGCGATGCTCTTCTCTGGGACGCCAGCTTCAACAAGAAACCCGCGTACACGTCCGTCTCGTCGGTTCTCGCTGCGGCTGCTACCGGTGGTGCTGGAACGTCGGTTCCGCCGACTACGACTACGCGTGCCCCGACTCTGATCACTTCGACCACTTCCGCTCGTGCGACGACGACTTCGGCCGGCTCCGGCGCCGAGGCGGCCCGTTGGGGACAGTGTGGAGGTACCGGTTGGACCGGGCCCACCCGGTGCGCGAGCCCGTACACTTGCACCTTCGTCAATGCCTGGTACTCTCAGTGCCTGTAAAGGATCGTGAGCAGGGTTTGAGTATTGAGGAACGGTCGAGTCGTTGTGGTTGGTGAGGGATCGGTCGATGAAATGAACGGTGAGCTCGCTCATAGCTCATGATTGACCCTTAGAATTGTACATACTTCGCTTCTTTCTTGTCCATAGCCTTTACTTCATTTCGTTAGCGATATCTTCACGAGATTTGTCATTCGGCATGAAGTTCCTTCGATAGATAAGTAACTGCCGGGTGAAAGCCATCATTAGTTCATGACAAATGGTGTTAGTCTCGGCCGAATTATTCCCCCGTTTTTGGGTTGGCCGTAGTGCCCCGGGACAAACTCCGACAGATGCTTCTGGACCAAGATTCCCCGGACACTCTCCAGCTCGGTCAGTCTTTCCGCGTGTGGAAACTCTGGAGAAGCCGTCTTTCAGGGGAATGCCAACAAACAGGCTTGAGCGGAGATTGAGCATGATGGAGTGCGTTCTTTTGCATCTGCACCTCGCTTCCTAACTCCGGGCTTGCCAAGCTGTGTCGGGGCGGGATAGGCGGAGGAGGCAGAAGACTTCAGAAACTCCGCGCGTTACATTCCTCACCGCCGGTTGCTTGCGGATCAGCAAAGTCATGGCTGTCATGCATTCATATCACCGATGGCAATCACCATCTTCGCCTATCGCCGATATTCAAGACCGTTACTAATCTTTCCGAAGCGAGGTATTCGTGCAGCGATGAGGGGTTGGCGAAAGTGAAAATGGCGCTTGTGCGACCGGATCGAATGACAAGCGACACCGTCACGCCGGGATGATCGGCAATAAGCACCTTACCTGAACACAACGCGGCTAGAAGGCGTGTAGAACATTGTTTCCACAATGTCAGCGTCGTCAGCAAGTCGCAGTCGGAGACACTGCAGTTCTTCTTCTCCCTCATCTATCTCCGTCTGCGCCGCAGGCGCGCAGCAGAGTCCACTGGAACCAGCTGTTTGGCAACCGAGGTCTTGTTTCCAAGAATTGCCGAACCTTATCTGACTCGTACATGCTGCAGCCCGCGGGAATGACAGCTGAGTTTGGAGACGAACTGGGGGAGAGGACAAGGGCAGAAGGTCCAATTGGAATACTTTCAGTCATTGATAAACAGCCCACTCTAGATTTGTCCCAACTGCGTCATTCGTCTGCGGTGGCGACGTCCGCGACGAGCTAGCTTTTTTTGTTCACGCACAGCAACCCCTAGCTTCGAAGCTTGGGGAATCTCTCGAGACTTTTCCACCGCAACCAAGTCAAGCACGCACGGAGTCGACATGCGGCATTGACGGCGACGGCCCCTTGCCGGCAGAGCCCCTCGGTGGCTACGCCGGCGAGAGCTGAAGCTGTATCAGATTGGCATAGTGCCGTCTTAAGTCCAGCTAGAAGCATCCTATCTCCGGCCCGTCTGCGTCTTGATGACATGATGAGCTTGAGCCGAAAATTGGGTCCCGGCTTGCGGCCAAGCGGCGTCCGTGTATGCCGCGAGGATGCCGTCATTGAGAACAAGTCCGGACGAGAGCTGGAATATGTATATAACTCAATTCCACATTCCCCAACACTTGATTGCTGAAACCCAAGCTTACACAACGACCTGGCCAACTACATACCCTCAAGCAACTCAGTAGACACAACTTGCCTGCTTCTCTGCGCCAATTACACGAGTCAGATCAACGAAGTACACCCATCACCATGGCCGACATCAAGTTCGAGGGATGGCTGGGCCACAGCCCCGACAGCGTCAACGGAAAGATGGAATGGGGCGCCTATGAGCCCAAGAAGTGGACGGAGGACGACGTCGACATCGAGATCAGCCACTGCGGAATCTGCGGTTCTGACCTTCACATGCTGCGCTCGGGCTGGGCTGAGACCCCTTATCGTGAGTTTCCCTTTAGTGTTTTACCCCGCCTGCTCAGACCCGTCGTCCAAGAAGCTTGAACCCTGCATACGTACGTGCAGAAACCCCTCAGCTAACACGGACGGAAAACAGCTTGCTGCGTCGGCCATGAGATCGTCGGCAAGGCCGTCCGCGTCGGCAAGAACGTCAAGGACATCACCGTCGGCGACCGCGTCGGTGTCGGTGCCCAGGCCCGCTCGTGCATGAAGTCCGACTGCCCCGAATGCTCGATCGGTCGCGAGAACTACTGCGGTCGTGCCAATGTCAGCACCTACGGTTCCGTCTACCCCGATGGCGAGGGCAAGGCGATGGGTGGATATGCCGACTACAACCGCACGAATGGTCACTTTGTGATCAAGATCCCCGAGGGTCTGCCATCAGAAGAGGCCGCGCCTATGCTGTGCGGCGGTATTACGGTCTTCTCGCCTCTGAAGAACAATGGCTGCGGTCCTGGCAAGACTGTCGGTATCGTCGGCGTCGGCGGCCTCGGCCACTTCGGTGTCCTTTTCGCCAAGGCGTTGGGCGCTGACAGAGTCGTTGGTATCTCGAGAAAGGCTTCGAAGAGGGACGAGGTCCTCAAGCTGGGCGCCGACGACTACATCGCCACCGATGATGACCAGGACTGGTCCAAGAAGAACGCCCGCACCCTCGACTTGATTGTGTGCACTGTCTCCAGCGACAAGATGCCCCTTCAACAATACCTGAGTCTTCTCAAGGTTTATGGCACCTTCATCCAGGTTGGGTACGTTCTCACGACTAGCATGCCCAAGTTATTTTAGAACCACATGAGCTAATTTGAATTCCCAGTGCTCCCGACGGCGGCAACCTCCCTGCCATCAACGCTTTCACCCTGCTCGCCAGCGGCATCAAGGTCGGCGGCAGTGGCATTGGCTCTCCTTCCGATATCCGCGAGATGTTGGATTTGGCTGTCGAGAAGAAGGTCAAGCCTTGGGTACAGAAGCGCTCTCTGAAGGACGCCAACCAGGCCATTGTTGATATGGAGGCTGGCAAGGCTCGTTACCGGTACGTCCTTGTCAACGAGAAGCATGCCACATTGTAAGTGGCTGGTTTTCAGGATGTTATGATGTAGAATGATGATGTAGACGACTTTAAAAGTGAGAATAAATGTACCATCAGACCGAAAGGTATGATGTTGGCTTTAGCTCGTGATTGGTTGTGAAGGTGGTGCCAACCCCGAACCTACATAACAGTCGCAAACGTTCCCGCCGCTAAATTGTCGTGGACACGAGGCAGAGACACGTCCAATACTGGCGTGACGCAAGTCGAAGTTGCCAAAATTCAGTCGCCGACTCGGGCTCATAGGTCGGAATGTTTTTTTGATTGCCTCATCTGTACGACCCGACTACATGTAGGTTGCAACCTCGTATGCACTCTCTTTGTTCGACATGGCTCGAGGTTCGCGCCGTTTGCCTCCAGGTTTGGGCCTCTACCTTACGAAGAGGAACGATTACAGGGGTTGGGCAAAACCAAACATGCAGTTGGTGTTTGTTGATGATCAAGCTGAGACGCCAAATAGCTCGGAAATAGCAACTCCCAATGTATTGCATTTGCCATCGGCAAGAACCATCGACTAGTTCGACGATCGTTCTGCTTCCTGGCTCACTTGACCGCCTAAATACGAGGCATGGCGTTGTGACACCAGGACGAGTCAGTCCATGATGCTTTCAATACACAAGCGTCGTGACCTTATACTGGCGAGGGTTCTCTGTTGAACGGAGGATCGTGCCGTTCCTCGTGAGGACAAGAACAAGAAACTGCCGGCATGTGCCACCTGCACATTGCTTGTAGATCTACCCAAACGGGGAGTAGAAGTCTTTGTTTTTCCCGTAGATACGGACTTACAGTGTCCCAACATCTGAGTACATGTAAACTGTCTGGTATTAGGTCGGAAAACTGGCGCAGGCAAACCGAGAGCCAGCAACACCACCTCGCCACACTTTGACTACGCAGTCTAAGGAACTAAGCATTAAAAACCAGCTAGCTCTAAAGTAACTCCTGTAAGTAACAAACACGAGTCACTTTGATGTCAGTCCAGGAGCATCATGGTAACGCAAACAGACAACAGGTGAGCAGAAGTTAATGAAGAACCCCACAGGCCAAGAATCCGACATGATTTCCGTATGGTATTCCGTCTGCCTTCAGCCGGGCTGTGTCAAGACCTTTGTCCGTGTCTCGCGTTTAGTAGTTGAGATGGACATCTTGAAAGTACGGAGCGTTTGTCTTCATGAATCTTGCTTATTGTGGTACCAACCCCATGTCTGCGAATGTTTTGATGACATGTTCGGAACGATGCGCTGAGCTGTGCCAGCTCAATTGCAGCTTGGCTTTGGTCACCAGACCGGAGCACCTCTAAGACGAGCCATTGCAATGAGATTTGTCATCGGGCCTAGGTTGACAATTGCCCATTAAAGATGTCACTGCTTGGATGGAAGTATAAATGCTGGATCTCTCTCCAAATGATCCGAGAGATTTCTCATCGCAACACACCACCAACCAAATCACATCGGCAACCACTCACACTGGTTTCAACTACGAACTCATCAACTCAGCCTTTCAACTTGCAATATGCGTCCAGCTCAGCTCTTCACCATGATGTCGGCCTCCTTGGCCCTCACGGTGAGCATCTTCTTCTATGTTCTCTGACAACTGGCACATTTGCTGAACACGCAACAGGCCCAAGCCATTCAGATTGCCTCCAAAGCGCCCATTCCGGGCTACCAAGTCTTCGTTCCCGAGTGGGACTTTGGGGAGAATGGCACCTACAAAGGAACAGTCGAGGAAGTCATGGAGCAGCTCAGCGAGCAGAACCCGACCCTGTTGGCTTCTTTTAACCTCGACTCCGTTGACGACGCTGTCTCCCGAGACGTATTCCAGCGTGCCGTGGAAGACTTTGACAAAACTGTCTGCAGTGTATTCGCTAGTGCGAGCGTGAGCGCGTGGGAGGATGGGATACGCTATCTCCGGAAAGTGAAAGGGACTCCGTGGCAACCTGCCGGACCCGCTGCCTGCGGCCGGTGAGTCGACAGAATGCCCCCGAATGATCTATATGACGTGTTCTAATGATTTTTGAACTACCAACAGAGTAAGCTGCAGTTGGAATACGGGGTATGTTTCTCCAGCCTCTGTGACTATTTCACATGGCCATTTGCTGACTCTCATCCTACAGCATTTGGTATTGCAACGACGTCAGTACCGCTCTTCTCTTGCGAACCAAATCCACGGTTACTGATCTGCTAGCTGTAGGACACGAAGGACAAAGGGCTCGAATCCTACGCCCTCATTGCCGACGGTGCGCAGGCTGCTAACAAAGCTTGCACCGACTGGAAGTACCGCAACTGGGTTTCTAGCGGTCAAGCGTTTCACAAGACGGACAAATGGAACGTCCTGATCTATGGCGGCGACGACAATCGATGCTGAATAGCCCAAAAGCCCTCAACTTTCAAACACGGTGTCAAGGACCAGACGCAACCAACTTACGAAAACCACCGGAGGGTTTTCGCATGGGTTGCAACAGACTGAATGTTATCTTCGTTTTGTACTGTTTCATTAGTTCTTCGTGCTGGACAATAGGATACTCCGATGTTTCATCTCTTTGCCAGACCGTATACCTAGTTTGATTTGTTTTCTACTTCACACATAGCACAAACATGGCTGCACAGTTTCTTTAGATTCACTCTCGTCCAATGTGTGATTGAAACCTTTCCATGATTATAATGTACAAGTGACGTCTTTCATATTGAAACCTCGGGCTTTCATAAAGTCAAGATGTCGCTATCTCATTGAATCATTAAGCAGCAATTTGACAGGGCTTCAGGCGGCGTTAAAGATCTTCACACAGAAACGGGTGCCTGGTGTCAATCGGTCAAGAATGACCTCGAGAATGGATGATTAAGTATTTAAACATGACAGTTCATGAAGCCATATGGATTCATGACCAATTCATGATGGTGTCTGTCCTCATGACCCAATTTATCGGAATGCCTCAACAGAGTAACGGCCTGGTAAGCCTGGTAGCTAGCGACGAACGGCATGTGACCTTCAGAGAACATCTCCAGACATCCTTGCTCCAGGGTACTTGTCCATGATGCCCTCATCAAAGCTCTTGCCGCCAACAGTCATGTCCTTGAAAGCTGGGCACGCAAGGTTGAGGATGGCGGCGCCGAGCGCGTCCGTGACGAGCTTTAGGGGGACCTCAATGATCTTGAAGATGGTAGAAAGCGAGTTCGGCGATGCGGTCTTCAGGATTTCGAACACGAAGCACAGGAGGTTGTTGTTCTCCAGGAGCTTCGTCAGAGTGAGCACGCCGCCGGTCAGGTCAGCGAGGTTGACTCCAGCAAAGCTGTTGACCTCTCCCATGTTACCACCGATGCTGCAGATTGAGAGTCAGTGGGCCGACATGTGAAATAGCTGCAAATATTTGGAAAACATACCTTCCAAGCTCGGGGTACTGAAGAATCCAGCCAACGAGATCCAAGTTGAGCTGGACCAGACCGTAATCAACTGGGGTGCGGTACCAGTTCTGCGGGATTCTCTCCCAACCCTTGTTGTAGGTGAAGTTACCCTCTTCACCCGAGACGGCGAAGAAACTCTTCAAGGTCTCCTTGTCTGAATGGAATCAGCGGTGTTCTCATCCTGATGTAGAGAATACTTACTCAACAGGCCAGTGGGGTTCTCGGCAGAGTGGTTGGCGAACATGCGGCAAGCAAAGAGGTAACCGGCATTGCGAGCAATCATGCCGGTGAAAGGGCCGTAGTAGAAGTTGGGGTTGGTCTCAATGGTCTCCTGGAAACGAGAGGCAGCTCGCTTGCCGAAGACGTCGTAGTTGTAGTCTCCCTCTCCGGAAGACATGTCGTAGAAAGCCTGGAACTGGTCCATCACCATGGTAGTGGCATCGCCAGTCATGTAGAGATCGCCACGAGTCAGAGACGAGTCTCCTTCAATAATGTTGTGCGAACCATTGAGACCTCTGGGTGTACCCAAGAGCCCAAGAACGTTGCCGAGAATGTTGTTGGACTTGCTGGAGGTGTATCCAATGGAGAAACCCGGGTTCAGGGACAACGGGTTTCCAACGAAAACGGTGCCCATGATTGCCAGAATAGATGCAATGTCGATACCCATGCCAAACACCGTGTTGATACCCGCGGTAACCTCGACCAAACTCGTAACACCGTCGCGCGCGATATAACCGTGGTTCGCCAGTGCGTTCAGACCCGGGCAGGGTCCTCGCTCGTCGCCATTCTCGAAATCGGGGGCGATGAACTCGTGATCGCCGTTAACATCGATGGGCTCCGTCAATGGGTCGAATAGCAACCTCTTCTCGTGAACCTCGTGGAAGGCACCTGCCAGCTTGTCGGAAAGTTTCGAAGCTACATTGTCTGGGAGATCGTTCATGTAAGCCGGGAAAGCCTGGACGCCGCTGCTGAGGCAGGGCAACAGAGAAAGAAAGTAATGCGACTTCATGATGTCGCGAATAGGAAAGGAATGTAAGAAGCGAATGTAATTATTTCTTAAAGAGTGACGTAAGTGAGAGATGGCATCCGCAAGATGTCATAATTCTTCGGAACAGTAGAAAGATTGGAAATCGAAACAATCTTCTTGGTCGTTCCTTTTAGGACGACTTTGACGGAACGGGAGCCGAGGTTCCCGGTGAATAGAGAACAACTAGAGATGGGTGATGCCGAAAAAAGGAAAGGACCGACATCTAGCAACAACAAGTTTCCCACTCTCATGCTCGCGGGAAGTAAAGATCGCCAGGTAAAGAGATACCCAAATCGCAGGCTTGGTGATTGGTCATTTTCCATACCCATTGCACAAGTAATTGTTCAGTCTGTGCAAACAGAATGAGAGACCCTTGGCCTGCTGTCAAGCCTGTCAGACGCACCCCGGCCACGCACCCCAGAGCCCAAGAAAACTGTCAACGTAACCTTGCAATAACCTAAGAACCTCCTTTTTTCGCATCGGGTAATGCCAATGTGATAATCTTGGGACGCAGCGTCGATCTGTAATCAAATTCCCCGATGGCCCCATTTTCGAACTTTGTAGCCCCCAAAGTTCAACGGAATCACCGGCGGCGGCGGCGGTGGGATAGTTGAGTCGGCGGTTGTGAAAGTCAATGAGCATATCAAACGTCTTTATGATTTCGTCGATCAACTCGTAGAGAGAACGCTGATCGTAGGGCGGAAGCGGTGTTTCCCTCCCGGCCGTCCTCGACTTTGCCAGAAACAGGGCTCATCGCTGCAACCCCTGCATGATGCAGCAGCTCCATCTGCCCTGTTCCCAGTACCATGGGTTCGTGTTGAACGAGCGCGTCGGACGGGACGAACTGCGAGGTCGAGAGTTTCCTGTGACAACTTTCTAGATGAAAAGTCAATATGAGCATCCCTAGTCTCGCAGAAGCAACTACTACACAGTCGTATTCTTTTCCAAATCTTTCTCAAACAGCGCGGTAGGCGAACACCACTCAACAAAATCAATCAATCACGTATCCGCACAGAGCAACGAGATGAGGTGGGTCAAATTTCATCCACAGCTGGGTCTCGCGACGTCGCCCTTTCGGACTTTCACTGTGAACACCCACAAACCGCGAAGCCCTCAGTGGGTTTTCTTGACTGTTTGAGATACGAGTTCATTCTTAGCAATGAGGACTCGCCGGATCCGGTACCCAAAGAGCGGGCACGTGGCTAGGCGGCAGGGCTCCGAAACACAACCTGGTCCGACTGACTGATGATGAGTCCGCCAGTATGGTTGTGCCTTGAACGTTTATGTTTCATTCTGGACGCTTTGGGAAGTCTTGTCTGATGAGATTAGATGAGATTGTTCGTTGGCGTGATCCATTCCTTCTGTCGCAGTTCGTTCGAAATGATCGGAAGCGCACGCCATGTCGAAAGATTTGCATTCTTGTTGCTATCCACATGGGTTCGGAATATGCAGTGAGTTCACAGGGGCCGTCAGGGACATGGCCGTATGATATTATGATTTTCGACATTGAATCGTAGAGGGGCCGATTCCACCGCCTTTTCCACCACTACAGGAGGCCTTCCGAACCAACGATTTGGATGAACATGCAATGCCTTGATCCAACCCTGTTCCCTACCGGCATACCGGGCACCAGTCCAGGCCAATCTTTGACGAAACGGGAAAGCCTTGGGGTCCATCGGCTTGGCCTTACGCCTCCCGCCTCGTCGGCAGATAGAGAAGGATGGGGTTTTCTGTCAGGGAAGATCGAAGTTGAATAAACACTCATATCGCCTGATATCCAGCATCGATCTGTGTCTGTATCTTTCACTTTCACTTCTGTTTCTTTCCTTGATCTTCTCATTTTGTTCTTATTATACTTGGCGAAGAAGAAGGATGAGGCTCTTTACACTCGCGGCGTTGGTCTCGCTCGGCATCCAAGCCGTAGTGGGGGCAACCACCACGTCGACGGCGGCAGTAGCAACGGAGACGGCTCCCTTGTGCGGTGTATGTTCCATCGAGGAGTGACGTCGATCGTGCACGAACTGACATTCCCTAGTTGAAATGCATCCAGCAAGAGGCACTGAAGTCTCAACTCTGCGCACCTACGAACGCCACCTGCATCTGTACCAACGTGGAGCTGAACCAGCTGATTTCGCTCTGCGTACATGAAGAATGCTCAGTCCGCGATGCACTACGTAAGCTCTCTGGCGCTCAGGAATAGCATCAAACCACGTTGCTAACCAGCTTCCAGTTGTGCAGAGCTACTCAAAACACACATGCAAAGCACCGTCAAGAGACCGAACGGCTCTCGTATGGATTGTTGGCGTTGTCTTCCTCGCTCTTGGTCTCTTGGGCTTTGGCCTTAGAGTGCTGGCCAGATTATGTCTGGGTGTTCAGACATGGGGACCTGATGACTGGGTAATGCTCATCGCAGTGGTAAGTCCAGGCTCGGGTGTGTTCAGTCTCTTTGGGCAAAATGCTGATGACTCTACCAGGCGATGATGATTCCTCTCAACGCGCTGTCGTTTCCAAGTAAGTCACGTCCAATCCAAATCGCTACTGAAGCTCTTTTACTAACAACAACAACAGTTTCGAAAGTAAGAAACTCGTGTCACCCCGACAAAATCATCGGCCTAACAAATTGCAGTACCTTGGAAAAGAGATGTGGGATGTGGCACCGGATGATATCACGCAATTCCTTTACGTGAGTGACCTGACAAGATGTGACGGTAACTGCCAGATGACTGACCGGAAACTGCAGCTATTCTACTGGGACGAACTGCTCTACCTGGGAGCTCTGCCAGTCACGAAAATCTCGATCCTGCTCTTCTACCTCAAGATCTTCCCCAGGAGAGAGATCAGAATTGCATGCTATGTCATGATCGGTCTCAACGTCGCCTACTTCGTCGTCTTCGAGCTCATCTCCATTTTCCAATGTCGACCCATCGACGGCGCTTGGAGGGCGTGGGACAAGGAATACCCGGCGAAGTGCAACAACATCAACATCCAAGGTTGGGCAGCGGCTGTCTTCAACATCATTCTGGATCTCGGAACCATGATCTTGCCCCTCGGCGAGCTCTACAAGCTCTCCATGTCCATCAAGAAGAAGGTCCAGATTATGCTCATGTTCAGTGTTGGATTCTTGTAAGTGCTTCATTTCCACTGGTCGCTTCATTTCCGCTAATGTCGTCAGCGTCACCATCGTCAGTGTCGTCAGACTCAAATCCCTGGCAAGCTATGCCACAACCAGCAACGTAACATGTAAGCGCCCCGCTCTGAGATCTTGCGTTGTGAGACTAACACCCAAACAGACGACTACGTCGAAGTTGGCTACTGGAGTACCATCGAAGTTCCTGTTGGCATCATCTGTGCGTGCATGCCCGCCATCCGCTCCCTGTTCAGCCTGGTCTTCCCCAAGGTGTTCGGCACGACACAGGGCAAGTCCAACTACGCCAACATCTCGGACCAAAAGCCGCTGTCGAGCTCTCAGAAGCTCTCATCAAAAGCCTCATCTCTCAAGGCGATCCGGGTGAAGAAAGAGTTCACCATCAGATCGAAGCGTGGAGACGACGCTTCGTTCATCGAACTCAACCACACTCCGTTCAGCGGCGACCACAGGCCGTCATCGGACAAACGAGCAACGACACCCCACGAGTCGGTATGACACCGGCAACGTGTTTGTTCCCCTGTTCAGTTTCTTTCGGTTTTTCCATGGCCCCAGGCAGGAAGGAGTGGGCCTACACAAAAGTACTTCCATTAATGTAATTGTCGTCATCATGAGCGTTCTTTTTGAGATACCACATACAAAAAAGATGAATCAGTCTTTACCGAAATCATCATTCCTTCTTGCAGTTGGTGTCCACTTGCAGCTCCCTCATTGCCATATCCGTACCCCTTGCTTACTTCCACCACTTGACCAAGATCTGGCATCCCACATCGCATCCTTCCTTTGCAGCACCACGATGGGCCCTTGGAAAGTGAATTCGAGATTTTCGTCGTCGTCCAGTGAGGCCTCGTAGGGAAGAGCACCACTTGGTGGGGATGTGTCAAACCGGCCAGTGGGGGAAAAGCCGTTGCATCAGCCTAGCAAGGGTATTGTCAGGGGTACCCTCAACAGTTGCCGATCTTATTCAATCTTGGAGTTTTGGACTCTCAGACTCTTCACCTCTTTCTCTCAACCCTGCCAAAGGCTGAGTTGACCCTCTATCTCTAACCCATTTCAGAGTCACGATTATTTCTCGAAGGTTCAACTGGCCTGTCGTGGGGGCCACGTCGACTGTAACCACAACTTTTCCAGGCCCTGTCTGTGTCATTTTCATTGTCATTGCGATCGGCTACGACGCCATCCGCCTCATGGAGACCGGGGAAAGATGCCACGGACGCGATGCCCAAATCTGCATGAGTCAAATCCCTAGTATCCTTCTGAACGGCATTTCTGCCCCCTGAAGATGCGAGTGAACTGACGTGAGCCGATTCTCATGGCACGATTCCTTCAGATACGGCTTGGCTGAAGTTTACAGACAAGATGCGTGACTTGGTGGTCCAAAACCTTGCATCAGGCCATGTTGTTGGTTGGCAGACATTAGTGTTATGCACATATTCTCCGGTCACAACTCATAAGCACCAAGGGCATTTATTAAGGTGTGGCTGTCAGAACCAAGACTGTTTTAGCGCAAAACGCTCTTCTCGGCGAGAACGAAACACTCATTTCGCCGCCTTCAAGTCCCTGTGCTGCCACCATGGGTCCGCTGAACTCAGGAATCGGGCAAGCAGAGCGGCCTCGTGGCGATACGCAATCTCGACCTCAGGGACTGCCGCAATCCCGCTGACAAGAGATGGCGGTGGAGAACCCTGTCCGCGTAACTATCGCAACTCAGAAAAGATCTGCTCGCCCTCCTGGCACAAAATTGGAACTCGCGGACGCTACCCCTTTCGAAGAGTCGTATCGGGGGCATTCGAACGGCCGCCGACTTCGAGTGCATTCAGGAGGTCTTGGGGCAAGGCTGAAGAAACCTCGGCACATCGCTTGGCGAATTCCTTTAAGCTTGGAGTCTTTTGCTTCATCTCTCCTCTTGATCGTCTTTGGTTCTGCACTCGAGTCATCGGATCGTCACTCTCTCTGCAGATGACTTGCTGAGAGTCATTCATTCTTTCTTTGGGCCCACCCTTTGTCACTCATTAATACCCGCACCTCAAGATGCGCGCCACAATCGCTCTCACATTCGTTTCACTACTGGCTGATTCAGCCTCTGCTTTGTAGGACATCTAGCTCTCCAATTTGGTGGGATGAGGTATTGACTTGAAATATTGTAGTGCTGTACCATGGAGGGCACCAAAGAACCAGACTCGTCATGACCCATTCATCACCAGACGGGCTGAGAACGGCACTCTCGATGACTACGACTACGTCGTTGTTGGCTCTGGGCCTGGTGGAGGTCCCGTGGCCGCAAACCTCGCCATCGCTGGCTACAAGGTGCTTCTGATCGATGCCGGTGGTGACTCCGGTGACAGCTGGACGGAGAAGGTCCCGGCTATGCACCTCATGTCAACTGAATTCGAGGATACACGATGGAACTACTTCGTGAACCACTACCCCGATCTCGAGCAGCAGAAGCGCGACTCGAAGATGACCTACCAGAAGCCCGACGGCAGCTTCTACGTCGGTCTTGAGCCTCCGGCTGATGCCGAGCCTCTGGGTGTTTGGTACCCCCGAACCGGTACTTTGGGCGGGTATGTGACCAGAAGATCTCGAGATTGTGAATTCAAGTCAGCTAACTCCAGACAGTTGCTCGCGCCACAATGCTCTCATCAGTATCGCGGCACACGATTCCGACTGGAGCAACATTGCAACGCTCACCGGTGACGACTCATGGAACCCCAACAACATGCGCGAGTACTTCAAGAAGTTGGAGAATGCCAAGTACCTGCCCAACAGCATCGTCGGACATGGCTTCTCCGGCTGGCTCGGCCTTTCTCTTACCTCGCTGTCTCTGGTTGTGGAGGACCAGAAGCTCCTGTCTCTGATCATTGCCGCTGGTACCGCCATGGGTAAGGGCCTTATCGGTGCCCTCTTGAACACCGTCGCTGGCCTCGGCCAAGTTCTGCTTCGCGACATCAACGCACCCGGTCAGGCCAGCAAGACTGGTCTCTACCAAGTCCCGCTGGCGATGACTGACTCTGTTCGTGGCGGACCCAGAGACTTGATCTTGAACACCGCCAACGCTGTCAACTCGGATGGCTCCCGCAAGTACCACTTGGATATTAAGCTGAACACCTTGGTGAGTTATTATGACTCGAGTCGACTTATGATCTCGTGACTAACGCCGGCACAGGTTACCAAGATCAACTTCGACCAGAGCGGCGATAAGCCCCGTGCTACCGGCGTCGACTTCATGGAGGGTAACAGCCTGTACCGTGCCGATCCCCGTTCCGGATCAGCCACCTCCACCGGAACCGGTAGCGCCAGCGCCAAGAGGGAGGTCATCATATCCGCCGGTGCTTTCAACACGCCTCAACTGCTGAAGCTCTCCGGAGTTGGCCCCAAGGAGGAGCTCGAGTCTTTCAAGATCCCTGTCCTGGTTGACCTTCCCGGCGTTGGAACCAACATGCAAGATCGCTACGAAGCTACCGTCATCGGCAAGACTGACAGCGACTTCGTCATCACGTCCAAGTGCACTTTCGGTGAGACCTCGCCCGACCCTTGCCTCGAGCAGTACCAGAAGGGTCTGGAGCCCATCAGCAAGGGCGTCTACGCCACCAACGGCATCGCCATCGCCATCATTCTGAAGTCGTCTGTCGCCGAGGACGAGCCCGATCTGCTCATCTCCGGTGCCCCCGCCAAGTTCAAGGGATACTTCCCCGGCTACGCTTCAGACTCCCTCTCCGACGCTCAGCACTGGGCCTGGATCGTTCTCAAGTCCCACAGCCGCAACAACGCCGGCACCGTCACCCTCAAGTCGACCGACCCCCGCGATATGCCCCTCATCAACTTCAACTACTACGAGTCCGGCGTCAACACCAACGGAGAGGCGGACAAGGATCTCCAAGCCACCTACGAGGGCTTCGAGTTCGGCCGCAAGGCGTTCGACTCTCTTGTGCCCCTCGACGGAAGCTTCCCTGAGGTTTGGCCTGGTGAGAATGTCACGAGTGAAGCTGCCACCAAGCAGTGGCTCAAGGACGAGACTTGGGGACACCATGCTTCGTGCACTTGCCCCATCGGTACGGACGACGACCCGATGGCTGTTCTGGACTCCGAGTTCAAGGTCCGTGGAACGGAGGGTCTGAGAGTTGTTGATGCCAGTGTTTTCCCCAAGATCCCTGGTTTCTACATCGCCCTGCCCCTTTACATCGTCTCTGAGAAGGCCAGCGATGTCATCATCCAGGCTGCTAAGGCTTCGGCTTAGATAAACTCAAAGCGTACATAGAGATCTTCCATTCCAATCAGCGATTGCGTATTAGGCATGTTAATATTGAACTAAAGAATCAAAGTCTGTCATACCTGACATCCCGTCATCATTAAATGTAGCCATGGCCATTACTATCTTATCTATCAAGATTATTGTTAGTGTAGTTTTCGTAAAGCAATGCAAGAGCTACTTAGCGACTGCATGTGCTTGTCTCTGTTGTTACAGTCATTATTAGTAGTACTACTTAAGTCCAATTGCTGTGAGTCTTAATCAAGTCCGACTGCCTAGAATACACAAACATCTTGGAATCAATCGTTATTGGCAATAGAAAAAACTGTTAACGAGTGCTCTCCCAACACAGTCTGAGTCTCGCACTTTAGCCGGCATCCTAGCAGTACGACCTCAGCATGGTCCACCTGATGACTTCCCAAGCTGTATTCCCAATTGGAGGCAGACTCAGCTGTTCAGCATTGGGAATACATTTATTAATGAAACGGACTTCGTCTTTACAGATTCGGAGAAAAACAGAGATTTGACCTCGACCCGGGTAGCCCATACCCAATAAGGTTTGATGAGGTTACATAATTACATATAATTGCGACATGAGTTTGTAGTTTCCAGACGCGGAGCATTCAAGGTGCGCGGAAGCCTCCTTGGAGCAGTAATCTGGCGAAGGACTCTGCTCGCGGAATCAAGCATACAGACGCTGCGGCTTTAGGTATTATAAATAGGTAGTGTAGATTCTCTTGGAGCGTATCTCGACGCAACCATACCAGCTGCCGGGTCTTCTTACATGCCCTGAGCTTTCGTCATGATGTCGGCCATCCCAGGATTCATGTGGACAAACCCAATCGCAAAACGAGGTTATCCTTGAGTGTCATCGTCATTGTCGTCTCGGAGAATCCGACATCATGACACAAGTGGCAGACTTTCATGACAAAGTCTGTTCATCACTCGCAAACTACCAGTTGCTAATACTCGACTCGATGCATTTCGGATTCGCATGGCATACATGCCTTCGTAATGACCGAGTTTTCGTGGTTACGGGCTGCCTGTCCCCACTCGTCCTGCGACGTGCAGGTTTGCCCCAGAGGCACAGGGTGTTGGGAGAACATGATGACGACGACGAAGTCATAAGCTTTGTTTGTGGACTCGTCCACAACGAAAACCGCCCTCCTCCGCCTGAGCCTCAGAGAAGGTCACCATCAGGTCGAGAGATACCCATACGACATCCACCTGCAGAAGATCCCACCTTAGAAGTAAGAAAAACGATCCATTCGGAGTATAAGTTTGTTACCCCAACATACATTGGGAATATTATGAACGGCGAGAATTGGAGAAGTCGGGCATGGTCAGGAGAGCTGAAAGAAGACATCCTCACATTAGTTTAACGAACCTATCAACGTCAGATAACAAGCCCTTTCCTAGGGATAGATCTGGACTTGATACCAGAACTCAGAGGTTTACACTTCATAGTGCCTGCAGTGCCATTAGGTCTGGTGCTTTCACTGTGAGCCACAACCCTTTAAATCTACCTCTTTCGGATGACTTGGCCCTGGAAACGCATGAAAAAGAGGAAACGCTGGGGAATCTTGATCGTAAAGATAACCACTACCGCTTGACTTGAGCTTTGGCCGTTGACTCATCCGGCGGGCAGTAAAGCCATTAAAAAGGCACAGTACAAGATTACTTTAGCCGGCACAAGATGTCAATAAACACTACGGTCCTAGCCGAGTTCCTCCTAAGCGAGTCAGTGACTATGCTAAAGAAGGGCTTTAGGTGATCGACGTGTCCAAAGGGGGAGACCTATTGCCCAGGACACGGACTCCGTGGTGAGAATCAAGAACCTTTTGTTCTCCATAAGACCGGATTCCAACTGAATGGGGGCAGACTAGTCCGATTGATGCTCTGGTCTTCTTCTAGCACTCCAATCCTATTATTGTGTTGCAAGGCGGCTTACCGTCGCAGAAAATGCCCTTAGCATCGACTGTGTGTGACGGGTTGAAGGACTGCAAATAACAGTAAGCATCCACGGACGCGAGCGCCAGTAGCGAGTCGACTGAATCCGCGTCTTCAACGGAGGTGCAATGAAGAACGTAGCTAGAAGCAGGCAAGTAGCTGAGCGAAGTCATGACGTTTAAGTAGTATGTCTAGCTGCAAATTTTCCACTCCAACCGGGCTTTGGTTGCCGGGCTTTGGTGTCTTCCCAGCAGCCCACCCACGCCGGGCTTTGGAAAGGCATCTTCGGGAGATTATCGAAAATGCCTGGATGCCAAGATGAAGTTGTCTTGTTTGATAACCTTATTCCAACCACCGTGGGGAACCGTTGCGTCGACGTCTTATTGTAGAGCCGCATCAATGAACTACAGCTTACCAGACCGGGCGTTCGCAAACTAGTCTGTGATATCCAACATATGCCTACGACTACGCAAGACTGCATGCCTGCTATTTTTGACTGCAGCTAGCAATCCTTTTGTCTATCTATGGGACACACAAGTATTTGGATCTAGCTGGCAGTGTTTATCTGCTGCTGAATCCTGGCCCATGGATGCTGAAGGTAGGTCGTGATTCACGACAGGTGCTTCTTGTTGCCCCAATTGAGATTTTGCTGCTGGTCATCATACTCCCAACTTGACATTGAAATTTGCAATCACAATCCTACCATGTGCAACATGGGGCATGAATTGTGTCGTGATATGATGATATCTGAGACGAACCGTCATGCTTAAAAAGCGGAGATGAGCAGGAATTACCTCCCAAAGTTGCAATGCGAGATCTGTGTGTCTGTGCTCTGCAGTAACACCCGATTCTTCCATGACAGGCTCGGAATACAACGGTGCAAAGCAGATCCATGAAACAGGGTGTGAGAAAGGGTCGCTTTTGCTGCGAAATTCTGGGTGAATGGAAAATTGGTTATGGATTTCTCGCCCTTGATTTGGAGAGACTAAGATCTGTTCGAGCAACTCTTGCTCAATGCGGAGAACCGCACTGTCCGGAATGCGAAATACTTCAACAACTCATGACCAAGCATTCCTATGACGGGAAACCGGAAGATCATGACCAAATGAGATCTTCGCAGGAAACTGCTTGCGTCTTTTTTCCCCGGATTGCTCAGCTCATCGACCATCGTACACATCATACATCACCGCACAATAACACAGGCAAGTTGAAGCGCATCATAGTGGTATGCCTTGAATGCCATGCCGCCGAGTATTAGGCCGGCCGAAAATTGGGCATCATGAGTAAAAGAAACAGAGAATCAGGATCGAGTTGTCGAGACTCTCTGAAAGTCCGGAAATAACCTGATCTGAGTTGTGTGTCCAATCACGAGAAGAGACAATCCACAATTCCATTGCCGTAACTTGTAAGAGAGGGTGCAATACCCGAGGTAAAGAGAGAAGTGCTCGGCAAAATCGCTGCTGCGCCGAAGATTACCCAACGTGTGTGTCGTCAGTTCATCTGCTCACGAGTCCAGCAAACTTTTGCTGAAGAGAATGGGGTTTCTCCAAAGCTCTCCAATTCTCGCAGGGGGCTAATACCAGAAAACTCCACAAAACAAAACTGCTTCCCCGTGGGAGTGGTCTGCCTGAACGATTTGATGGGGGCTAATAACCCACAAATTCCCCTTTATGGCACTGAATGCCGGTATTCTCTCCGCGTGGTATTAGACATGACGTACGGTCATCACGAGACCTCCCACACCGCGAGAGCATTACCCTTTTCTCAACCATCCTGACCAGCAATTCCCCGATTCCCCGACTGTTGGAGACCAAGGACTCCTCCCTGCGCCAATCGGACGATCCGTTGGCCAAAGTGCCGGTATTCTGCCGCCGGCAGGCTTCTTTCAAGGCTCGTGTTCGTCCCCTTTTCCATGACTGATCAGATCCATGAACCGGGAACTGCAGCTGGCTGACGAAAGACATTCGGGTCTGTAGCATAAATGATGGCCCGAGGGGAGACAGAACAGGGCCGATTACTTGTGCGGGGAAAACTGGGGTGATGATATTGTTTCCCTACTTTCTCTCGTTTCTCTCCGATTTGGGACGACCAGTTCCACGGCTTCGGCCCCCCAGACGCGCTTCTGTTCCCCAAAACATGCTACTCCAGCCGCCATCATGAGAAATTTTTCTTCGAAGCCTCCTGCACTCCAGTCTCCGGTCCTACTAGTGCCGGCGCAACGTCGGACCTCCACACGAAAGCCTTGCCCACTCATCTCGACGGCGGGGGCGGGGAGAGTCTAGAGAGGCTGGGCTGGGTTGAAGGCCGGGGTGCTTGTCCTTCGATGGCAGCACGCGCGAAAACAAGCTTGGTAATTCTCCAGGTTTCCAAGCTGTCACCCGATCCGCCTCCCCCACAGCAACGGCTCCTCTTCCCTGTCACTCGCAGCGGCAGTTCTCCGGAATTTTCAACAACTCGTGTTGCCGCCGAATCCCCGACATGACCGCGCCAAGGTCCGTCATGGCCTTTTAGGCCTCACTCAACATGTTCACACGCATCTCAGTGGCACGGAGTCCTGACGGCACGCGGCTCTGGCGTTCGGGTGTTGGTTAGACGAAGAGAAAATCCCCTTCCAAAAGGGCACCAATGACTCAATCTTTTCTGCTTTCGGCTGCCATCACGATTGGATTACTAGTCATGGCTGGTATTAAATTCCCACACTCAGTATGATGATGTGTGGTCACTAGCATCGAGAAGCCAGGGGTTCGGCAGCATTCCGCCTCCCCCACGTGTAGAACACCGGCCGGTCTATTCCGTTTCTCTGGCTACTGCAAAATTCACGGCAAGAAACATTCCCCCAAGTTCGTCCAGAATCCCACTCTAGAACATCGGGTAACGACCGGTGCGGGGCCGACTTCCGGGCCATGACGACGTAGATTGCCAATGAGGACGAGATGATGTTGCCTTTCACCGACTTCTGCGCACCGCTCTGTGCTCTTCACCCCGCGCGGGACCCGAAGGCGTGGGAGGGAAGGTCCATGTCTTCGGCCTTGTCCGCGGATGGGGATCGAGAGACTGGGACTCGGATGATGGATAGCGCGAGGACAGGCAAGGCATGGATCATGGTGGTGTTGTCCATATCCCTGCTTCCGCAGGCCGTGATCGAAAAATTGGAAGACCACGATGGACCGACGTCGTAGCCCGCGGGAGGAGATCGAAGTGTATAAAGGAGGACATGTAACCCCCGATGTTGAGGCTCTGGATCTTCAGCACAAGCGCCAGACCTCAACTCAAGGGTTCTCAAGATGACCACCGCTCTGTCTCTCTTCCTTTCTGGCCTTCTGTTGGCCCCGGCCGTTAATGGCCAGGCCTACGACGCTGGCAACCGTGGCGAGGACGCCTTCGAATATGTCCAGCCGCTGAACACCACCATCCTCGGCCCCTACGGCCACTCGGAGGCTGTCTACCCTTCTCGTGAGTCTTCAAAATCCGGAAAACGTACTGTTCAGTGACTAACAACACACAGCCAACACCACCGGAAACGGCTGGGAGGAGGCTCTGGAGAAGGCCAAGGCTTTTGTCGCCCAGCTCACCATCGAGGAGAAGGCCGATATGGTCACCGGTCAGCCCGGACCTTGCGTCGGTAACATCGTCGCCATCCCCCGCCTCGGATTCAACGGCCTCTGTCTCCAAGATGGTCCCCTTTCCATCCGTGTTGCGGACTACGCTAGTGTCTTCTCCGCAGGTGTCTCTGCTGCAGCCACCTGGGATAGAGACATCCTCTACGAGAGAGGTTACCTGATGGGCAAGGAGTTCAAGGGCAAGGGTGCTCACGTCGCTCTGTCCCCCGTCGCCGGACCTCTCGGCCGCTCCGCCTACTCCGGCCGCAACTGGGAGGGTTTCTCTCCCGACCCCTACCTCACTGGTGTCTCCATGGAGTTGACCATCACCGGTCACCAGGACGCCGGTGTCCAGGCTACTGCTAAGCACTGGATCCTGAACGAGCAGGAGATCCAGCGCAACCCCGTCTTCGACCCCAACGGAACTGCCACCGACATCACCTCCCAGGCCATCTCTGCCAACGTCGATGACCGCACCGTCCACGAGCTCTACATGTGGCCCTTCGCCAACGCCGTCAAGGCCAAGGCTGCCTCCTTCATGTGCTCTTACCAGCGCATCAACGGCTCGTACGGCTGCCAGAACTCCAAGTCTCTCAACGGCCTCCTCAAGACCGAGCTCGGCTTCGAGGGCTACGTCATGTCCGACTGGGGTGCTACTCACACCGGTGTTGCTGCCATTGAGGCCGGTCTCGACATGGACATGCCTGGTGGTCTTGGAGCTTACGGCCAGGCTTGGACTGCCGGCTCTTTCTTCGGCGGAAACGTTACCATTGCTGTCAACAACGGCACCCTCGACGTCACCCGCGTCGACGACATGATCCTTCGTATCATGACTCCTTACTACTGGCTCGGCCAGGACAAGGACTTCCCCTCCGTCGACCCCTCCGGCGGTGACCTTAACACCTTCTCCCCCAAGTCCACCTGGGTCCGCGAGTTCAACCTGACCGGCGAGCGCAGCCGTGACGTCCGCGAGAACCACGGCGAGACCATCCGCAAGCACGGTGCTGCCGCCTCCGTCCTTCTCAAGAACGAGAACAAGGCCCTCCCTCTCAAGGCCCCCAAGTCCATCGCCGTCTTCGGCAACGACGCCAGCGAGGACACCCAGGGATTCCTGAACCAGAAGGACTTCGAGTACGGCACCCTTGTTGCCGGCGGTGGTTCCGGTACTGGCCGTCTGACCTACCTCGTCACTCCTCTCGAGGCCATCAAGGCTCGTGCCTCCAAGGACGGTGCCCTCGTCCAGCAATGGCTCAACAACACCCTCATTGCCACCTCCAACATGACCGACCTCTGGAACCCCACTCCCCCTGAGGTCTGCCTCGTCTTCCTCAAGACCTGGGCCGAGGAGGCCGCCGACCGCCAGCACCTCGACGTCGACTGGAACGGCAACGACGTTGTCGAGTCCGTCGCCAAGTACTGCAACAACACCATCGTCGTCACCCACTCCTCCGGCATCAACACCCTCCCCTGGGCCGACCACCCCAACGTCACCGCCATCCTCGCCGCCCACTACCCCGGCCAGGAGTCCGGCAACTCCCTCGTCGACGTCCTCTACGGCGACGTCAACCCCTCCGCCCGCCTGCCCTACACCATCGCCCTGAACGGCACCGATTACAACGCCCCTCCCACCACCGCCATCAACACCACCGGCGAGTACGACTGGCAGAGCTGGTTCGAGGAGAAGCTCGAGATCGACTACCGCTACTTCGACGCCCACAACATCTCCGTCCGCTACGAGTTCGGCTTCGGTCTCAGCTACACCACCTTCGAGCTCGCCGACTTCGCCGCCGAGGCCGTCGCCTCCGACATCACCTCCGCCCCCGAGCAGCGCCCCGTCCAGCCCGGCGGCAACCCCGCCCTCTGGGAGACCATCTTCAACGCCACCGCCACCATCTCCAACACCGGCGACGTCGCCGGCGCCGCCGTGCCCCAGCTCTACGTCAGCTTCCCCGCCGACACCACCCCGGCCGGCACTCCCCCGCGCCAGCTCCGCGGGTTCGAGAAGGTGCCCCTCGCCGTCGGCGAGAGCAAGACCGTCGGCTTCGAGCTGATGCGCCGCGACCTCAGCTACTGGGACGTCGTCTCCCAGCAGTGGGTCATCCCCGCCGGCGACTTCACCCTCAGCCTGGGCTGGAGCAGCAGGGACCTGAAGGCGTTCACCAAGATCACTCCCGTGCAAGCGTAAGAGCTTTCCGTAATGTGTTGTTGTGTTGGGGATATCTTACGACGCATGATTTTCACGACTCTGAATAGTATTAGTAATGTCTGGATAGCAGTGAAATAAACACTTTTTCAGTTACAACTCTCTCCGTTGGTGACTTTGTGGACGGCTCGAGCCGGGTCGAGTTGGAATTGTAGTTTCGGCAACTTTGCGATGAAGTGTTGCACCGGCTGTGGTCGGAAACCGGACGAAAGAATCGCCTCCGAGTGCCGCCCGGCCAGATCCCCGAGGATGCCGACTCGGCCGGCTGGTCAGAGGTCCGAAGAAGTTGTCTTGCTAGGCTTTCGCCCGAGCGTGAGTTATGTGATCTAGAATAGATACTGGTAACATGTGCTGGCGCATGTGTTGCTTCAGTTTCCGATACCGCGTGGATAGATGATTGAAAGAAGTAACTGGAAGTTGCTGTCCCACTCATCCACTGGCACGTTGCCGGTTCGCAAGCCTGGCGTGAACAAGAGCTGCTTGGTCTAGACTTTGCTTGAGTGTTTCGGGGGTCCGACACATGATTGACAAACCTCCACTTCCCGAGGATGAGCTCCCGAACCGGTCGGCTGGATAAGCTTAGAATTCTTCAGATGATGTCGTCACAGCTTCCTTTTCTGAACTCGAGGCCGAAGTAGGTTATACCTTCAATACGGACTTCCCCACGCCGTGTTCGTGGTGAAGCAATGCAAATAAAGAACTGGTTCGTCTTGCTAGACGTCTGCGAATTAATTGCACGGTCGATTAGTGACTTCCACATACTCTCTCATGTTGTGAATTATCTTACATTCCAGAGAGATGTCGTATCCGGAGGATTACACGCTATTGGAGAAGTCGTCCGGGGCTTCCGCATCAACACCAGACTCATCGGATTCAACCTCGGGCGGATGCTCGGTGAGATTTCTCAATCACTCTCGATACAGCATTCGCTAATCATGGCAAAGATTCGACGCGTGGGATCTCATCTAAAGACCCTCTACCTATTCACGAAAAGCGACGTCAAGACCGTCCTCATTCCTCAAATCATCTTCATCGTGTCCGCCGTCCTCGGCCGAGAAAGTCTCACAACGGTGGATCTATCAACGCCAGCAGAAGCACTGCAAAGATTACCTCTCGCCATCCTCTGGATATGGCTTAACCTGATCGTCTGCGGAATATCAAACCAGCGACTGCCGCAATCCGTCCTCGAAGACGAACACAACAAGCCCTGGCGGCCGATTGCTGCCAAACGTCTCACACCGGAGCAAGCAAACAAGCTCCTGTTCACCATAGTTCCCCTCGTGATGGGAACGAGCCTGTTACTGGGCGGCTTCACCCCGACGGTCACCATGATGGCGTTGTTGTGGTTGTACAACGACCTGGATGGCAGCAGCATCAACATCTGGACGCGGAACATCATCAACACTGGAGGGATAATGTGCTTCAGCGCCGGCTCGTTGGAGGTTATTTCTGGAGGCATGCTTTTGCCGAAGGCCTGGATCTGGATCGGGTTGACCGGGGCTGCTATCGCGACCACCGTTCAGGCTCTGGACTTCCCGGACATGGAAGGGGACAAAGCCAGAGGCCGGCAGACCATCCCCTTGATCTACGGAGAGGCCGTGTCTCGTGGAGGGTTGGCAGTCGCGGTTGTCGTTTGGTCGGCTGTTTGTTCCGCTTTCTGGAATCTCCAGCTCATGAGCTGGGCGGTACCGCTTGGTGTCGGGTCGTTGATGGCGGCGCTGACGGTATTGCGGAGGGATGAGAAGTGTGACAAGATCGTGGCGAAGCTTTGGTGCTTGTGGATGTCGGTTCTTTACGTGCTGCCTCTTTTTGTCGCATAGGACGTGTGTTAAATGTTAAGCAAGCGTGCATGGAAAAGGGATGCGAGATGGAGTAAGAGGCATCAGTGCGGTGAACAGGAAGCACCTGATGCAATCATTCGTTCATAAGATTCACTTCAGGTATACCCAATAGATTTTAACGTCAATCTTTGGCGTCGAAGGAAGTTTCTGAATCGAAGTACGCACAATTGAAGCCTTCTAATATGAATATCCGTTGCCTCGTGAGTCTGCCAAAAGTCGAGTGAACGGCTTCTCACTAGTATCGTGGTGATTGCGGCGAGGCGCTGTAAGAAGCTCTTCATCATAATCGCAAGATGTCACGCAATGACTCGGCTAGAGGCAAAATACGGAAATGCTCATCTACGCCGTTTCAGTCCGGGACTTTGGTTCTAGAAACTACAAAATGTCACACGCGTAATCGGTCAGAGTAAGCTTCGGTGAGGCAGGCCGGTGTGCCGCGTTGCCGATCGTGGCCCCGGGGATGACCAGAAAGGAAGGTCAAATAGCGTCGCCGAATCATCGTCTCCCCCGCAATTATTCGCTCAATCCTTCAGGACGTGTGAGGAAACGCGTCAGACCACACGTAACTTGCAAAGCCAATCTTTTCTGAGATAAAAACCCCGCAATTGCTGTTTGAATCTAGACCTCACTCACGAGTGCAGCTTGCCAAGTGAGGATCATCAACTCAGACTTCAGCCAGTATGATTTCAGCTCCGCTGCTGCTCGGCGGGCTTATCGGCCTGGCCGGCGCTCAATTCCCACCGAAGCCGGACGGGGTCACGGTGCTAAAGTCTAAATTCCACGAAAATGTCACCATCTCATACAAAGAGGTAAGCGACCTTCTAACGATGCCCCGTATCAATCGACGTAGCGTGAAGGAACGGAAATTGATGTTGTGCCGATATGTGTAGCCGGGAATCTGCGAGACGACGCCGGGTGTCCGAAGCTACGCGGGCTACGTCCACCTCCCGCCCGGGACTTTGGATGAAGGGACCGGTGAAGTCCAGGACTACCCGATCAACACGTGAGGCTCCCGAGTGAAGACCCAATTTGCGCCGATGGACACTCATAAATCAATAGGTTCTTCTGGTTCTTCGAGGCTCGAAAGGCTCCCGAGAATGCGCCTCTGGCGATCTGGTTGAACGGAGGCCCCGGTGCGTCGAGCATCATGGGGCTCCTCGAGGAGAACGGCCCATGCCATATCAACGTGGATTCGAAGACGACACGCCTCAACCCTTGGAGTTGGAACAACGAGGTTAACATGCTGTACATTGACCAGCCCAACCAGGTGGGCTTCTCATACGACGTGCTCACGAACATTACCATGTCCATGGGCGAGGAGGACTACATGGAGGCCCACCCGGCCGACTTTAGCGATGGGGTTCCGGAGGCCGGTAACTGGACTCATCGATACGGAACGACCTCTAGCCAGAACGTCTCTCGAACGGCTCAAACCACAGCGCAGGCTGCTCATTCGCTTTGGCACTTCGCCCAGACCTGGTTCTTCGAGTTCCCCTTCTACAAGCCTGCCGACGACCGAGTGAGCCTCTGGGCCGAGTCGTACGGCGGTCATTACGGGCCAGGCATTCTGAAGCACTTCCAGAATCAGAACGAGCTGATTCAAAATGGGTCGTCGCCTGAGAAGGATGCCCATTACATCCACCTTGATACTCTCGGTATTGTCAATGGTCTCATTGATATGGTAATACAGGCGGAAGCCTGGATCACGTTTCCCTACAACAACGTAGGTGAAGCCTCGCAAATGAACTGGCGAGTAGGATGAACATACTGATCGTGTGCTAGACATACGGAATCCAGGTCTTCAACCAGTCCATCTACGATGAACTAATGTACAACTGGACTCGTCCCGATGGGTGCCGCCAACAAATCGCAGACTGCCAACAGGCTCTCAAAGAACACGGTCCGCTCTTGATGAGCCAGAAGAGAAACTTCACGGAAATCTGCGGCAGGGCAGCGGCAGGCTGCGAATCCAATGCCGTGGAGCTGTACCAAACATTTGGTAATGGGTGGTATGACATCGGCCATCCCAAGAACGACCCGTTCCCGCGTCCGTACCTTTACGGCTACCTTCTCCAGGAGGAAGTCCTCTCGTCGCTCGGAGTTCCGGTCAACTACTCGGAATCATCGGGCGCTGTGGGCAAGGCTTTCGACCACAGCTTCGGTAAGAAACAATCAGACGCAAGGCGCGATTGGGACGAACGTTAAAGCTGAGTCCAATTATAGACATCATCCTGGGCGGATTCGTGGACTCAATCGGGTATCTGCTGGACAGCGGGGTCAAGGTTCATATGATGTGTGAGTGCAGCAGCCCTAAATCTCGAGACGAGATCTCCGCGTTTAAAAAAGTGAGCCTTTTCAGCCCTCTAACAGGATCTGCAGACGGCGATCGAGATTACGCCTGCAACTGGGTCGCCGGCGAGAAAGCGAGCCTCGCGGTCCCGTACAAGCGATCGGAGGACTTCGCCAGCGCCGGGTACGCCCCGCTGATGACGCCGGACGGCCTCACGGGGATGACGCGGCAGTTCGGCAACTACAGCTTCTCGCGGGTGTTCCAGGCCGGGCACGAGGTGCCGTCGTACCAGCCCGTGACGGCGTACGAGATCTTCATGCGGGCGACCTTCAACCGCGACATCGCGACGGGGCTGATCCCGGTGACGGATGAGCTGGCGACCGACGGGCCCAGGGACGTCTGGCACATCAAGAACACGCCGCCCCCGCAGCCGGACCAGCTGTGCTACGTGCTCAAGCCTGGCACGTGTAAGCCCGAGGTGTGGGAGAAGGTCAAGAACGGCACGGCGTTGGTGACGGACTACTATGTTGTCGGGGAAGCTCTCGACAGCGGCACGACTCATGGTAACGGAGCTGGTGAACCGCTGTCCGAGGAACTGTAGCCCCTGATGCTGGGTAGCTTCAGTGCTGCATCTTTGGAGGATAATACTAGGTCAATTTACTGCGCGACTCCAGGAGCCGGGACAGATAGACAAAGCCCGTCGGCCAAGTGTGTTTCAGTGATTGGATGTATGAGGGGAAATCGTCAGAAAACATGCAGCGCTGGTCGCAGCCCTATGCCCTAGCGCCGGCGTGTTGCAACCGTTCAGGATGGCTGCGGACCGCGCGGTTCTTAAGCTTAGCTAGGTGTGCTGGGCTGGAATAAGTCACATTCAGCGCCGTGCAATTTGCATTTTGTGTCAAAATGGACTGGGGGAAACATGGAAACGAGATGATGTGAATGACAAGTTGACTCCCCTTCAGCCCGGGTATGGTGTGCCGCCGTGTCGGGCGTAGGGAGGAAACAACGAGACTCCTCCAAAATCACTGAATCATCCGAAAACACTGTCCAACCGGGGATCTTCGGCGAGACTGACGATGCCGCTTGGCGGTGCATTTCGTCCGATCCGAAGACTTGGATCGCCCTGGCGGGAGGATGTTGCGCCGGCCGCACCAGGTTCTGGACGGTGCCAGCTCTCCCATCTCCACCCCGGAAATGGCGCAGCATGGCCGCCGGGTGGTCAGCCAGCCGGCGTCTTGAGCTGAAGAGACCAGCTAAACTAACAGGGGAAGGGTGGCTTAGAAGCCGCGTTATTCAGATCAGACGGGATGTTGGTGTCACTACTGGCAAGTCTGTGGTGTCTGGTGTCTTGAGTCTCTTGTGTCATTGGGCGGTCAACGCTCAATGCGCCTCCATCGGCAGCGGTTGAGACCGGTTCTGGAGTCGTTGGCATGCCATGCATGGCATGCCTTAGCACGCAGCAGAAAGGTGGACGCTCTTCACATGCCATCGATGAGACAGTAGATGATATCAGGACTGCAGCAACCCGGCCTGTTTTCTGCGCGTCAATGATAAGGGGTTTATCGTCCGTCACAGAAGTGGCTTGTTTACTCCATTTATATAACTTGTGCCCGTTGACAACGTTTCTTCCACAACTCCACTGATTTGCAGAACAATCGTGTTTTGGACGACGCCCAGTTGTTGGCTGAAACAGAGCTGAAACCATCCATCACAGACCACCAGTCAAGCTCCTGACAGAGAGGGCGTTTGAGGACCCTTTTTTGTCTTGTTACGACGAGTTCAGGGACTCGAATATCAGATTGAAGAACGCCGCAACTCTTCTTTGGGAAAGAAACCCACGTATAGAAAACGATTCATAGAAGGGGATCTTGGCCGAGAAGGATACGGATACGATCACAGCTTCAATTGGAGACACAAGGCCGCAATCATGGACACGAAATCATTCTCGTCTCGCATCAGCGACCTCGTCAAGGTAAGCAATTCAGCTCTCTGCCCCTCTCACGGCGGGTCCAGTGAATGATTCAAGCAAAACATCCTCGCTAACATTCAATTCTCACCGTCAAGTTTCTCTCATCAGTGCAGGGCGATCTCTCAAATGTCACCGCACCGCCGTCATTCCTCGCGCCCTCCTCCGTCGTCGAGGTCGGCCACTGCTGGTGCCAGCGGCCCGGCGTCTTCGTCGCGCCGGCCCTCGAGTCGGACCCGGAGAAGCGCTCCCTGAAGGTGCTCCGCATGATCCTCATCGCCATGCGCAGCCAATTCTACGTCGCCGGCGCCCCCAACGTGAGCATCAAGAAACCTCTCAACGCCTTCCTGGGCGAGCTTTTCCTGGCATCGTGGACCGAGGGCAAGGCGTCGACGAAATTGGTCGCCGAGCAGGTCAGCCACCACCCGCCCATCACGGCCATGTCCATGGGGAGCAAGGAGCACGGCATCCGCGCCGACGGGTACGCGAGGGTCGAGATGACCTTCTCGAGCAGCGTCAACATCCGCCAGATCGGCCACGCCGTCGTGCACATTGATAAGTACGACGAGGATTACCTGGTGCCGCTGCCCGATGTCAAGGTGCGCGGGTTCTTGAACGCGTGTCTGTACCCCGAGGTCATTGGCACGTACTACATCGTGTCGAGCACTGGGTACGTCTCGGAGATCAAGTTTTCGGGTACCGGCGTCTTCAGCGGCAAGAAGAACTTCTTCCAGGCGCGCATGTACCACAAGAAGGACAAGAAGGCGACCATTTTCAGCGTGGAGGGTGTCTGGAGCGAGGGATGGACCGTCAAGGACGGCAGGACGGGCGAGGTCCTGGAGAAGTACGAGGTCGACGCCATGGAGAACCTGCCCGCGCCGATGGAGATTGAGCCGATCGCGAGCCAGGACCCGTGGGAGTCGAGACGGGCGTGGGCCGGCGTCATCGAGGGCCTCGGCAAGAACGACTTCCGGGAGACGGTCAGCGCGAAGAGCAAGGTCGAAGAGGCGCAGCGGCGGATGAGGGCCGAGGAGAAGAAGAAGGGCGAGACCTGGGAGCCGTTGTTTTTCAAGAGCATTCCCGGGTCGGAGCACGAGGTGTTCCACAGGCTTGGCAAGACGGTGGATTGGCAGCTGCACGACAAGCATACGAAAGGCGTTTGGAAGATCGATGACGAGAAGAAGGAGACCGTCCAACGACCATTTAGAGGGGAGTCGACACCTTTGGGTTAGGAATCGCGGCTCACTTTTAGATCTTGTTTTATCACGTTGATGACTGGCGTTCCATTTACAACCGGGGATTGGGAAGGCGTTTGGGTACTCAGGTTGAAGCCTTCGGATGGCATACAGTATTTACCTAGGAAGTCTACCATATATGGAATATTAACCAATTTGGAATAGTAGATACATTCCATAATGAATTTGATCATGGACTTCCCAATTCCCTGCGTGGGTGACACGTTCAGCTACGACACCAAGGTAAGCGGGATCCGGGGAGTAGCCGTAAAACCACTCTCTTTCATCAATATACGACTAAAATGATCGACACTTCCATTTGAAAAACTCTTCGAATCAGTACAAGCAGAAACATTTCACTAAGAACGAGACGAGCACAATTGGTATTCGGAAGCTTATTTCATATCCAAAGCGGAGAGAGAACCGGCACCGGGCCTTTCCCCAAGCATCCGGCGGACCTCTGCCCGAAAGACGGAAATTCCGCGAAGCAACATGTGCATCGGTCCTGCTGTTATCAGTCCGGTAATCATAGTGAGGTAATACCAAGGAGCTTGGAAGATTATGCAAAGCGCCATAATTGGACAGTCGATGGCTCGATCAGCGTGCCTGCCAGCATGTTTCTAATCCCGACGGCTTCTCGGCCATCATAATACTTGTTGTTGAATAGTAGAAGGATGTTGCGAACCATGAAATACCCTGGTGCCAATATCTCAGTCTATTCGCGGTCCTCTGTAGTTCCGGTTTGCGTGTCCAAACCAATTTCCCACAGCAAATAGGCCCATTACTCCGATGACAACGCTGGCATAGTCTTTGTGGATCAGTCTGCATGTTTCTTCCCTAGAACGACGACGATAGAACTTACTCATATTCGAAGATGTGGCTGGCATGACGACAGGGAAGTCGTAAAATACCAGAGCAATGACACCCAAAGCAATCGTCAGGACGTTGGCAACCACACCAACAGGCCCTGGTAACTTGAATCTACGCCGCGGCAGAATCTGTTCAAAGGCCACAGCACCTCTCAGCCGGTGGTAAAGAGCCAACGCGGCGGGAAAGGCAAAGCTGACTTGCTGCAGAATCAGGCCCGTAGCCACCAGAGCGTTGAAAGCTGTCGAAGATCCGAGGAACACGCAGCCCAGAACGAAGATCAGGGCCGAGTTGACGAGCAGGGCGTTTACCGGGACGCGGAGCCGGGGGCTCGTCTTGCGCAGAAAGGAGGAGAATATGATGGCGTCGTCTCGGGCAAATGACCAGGTCAAGCGGCTGGCAGTTTGCAGAGCTCCTGTGCAAGCGAAGCAGCCGCACACCGAGAGAATCACGACGAAAGCCGTCGCGGCAGCGGCGGAGCCCGTTGCTTGGGACCAAATTTCGAGAATCGGTAGTCTGCGACATCGTCAGCCAGCTCTGCGTCATATTGAAAATCTGATAAAGCCCTGCGGTCGTTGGCATTGCGTTGACGAAATATAGGTGGTTTTAGCTGATGACTCTACTCACGGAGAAGCTAGTACAGGCTCGATATCGGTAAAGCTATACAACATAGCTATACTGAAGGTGAAAGACGACACGAATCCGATCGTGATGGTCGATATCAGGGCTCTCGGAATCGCCGATGCGGCATTCGTGCACTCTTCGGCAAGATGAATGGCCCCGTCGAGACCAGAGTAGATGAAATTCGGGTTTAGCAACCCTGTGAGGAAGACTATGCCGCGAGATGACCATCCGGTCTCGTTGATGAAGGCTGTCCAGACGAAAGAGCTATCTTGCTTTTGCCCCGAGCGAGCCAAACAGGTCACCGTAATGACGAAGAAGCCTAAAAGAGATATGAAGACTAAGAATGAATCAGTAACCAGCTACCATGGTGAACTAGTGAGGTATCTCAGGGTCCTCTCGCCAGTAACTCACATCCTATGTCATGAATCCAGGCTGTTCGCTTCATTAGAAAGATGTTGTACGCCGTGAAAGCGAAGTTAAATGCTTGGTATACTAGAAAAATGTGCCATGTCTCTGGCGTGTGGTCTGGGTCGAGATACGGAGCTAGAGAAAGAACAATGTTGGGCATCTGGATGATGAAGCCGGCCCCGTTGGCGATCCACCCTAGGAAGTTAACTGATCCACAGCAGTAGCTCTATAACAAACGCATTAGTTCCCCAAGCCTTAGGAAATATCTGGGCCTCTTACCAAAACACGACTGTATCTCTTGGGCGCTAGGATACTAGTCCAATGATATTGGCCTCCGGCTGTCGGGTACGCTGATGCGATCTCTGCCATGCTCAAGGCGCAAGCGCCCCCGAGAACGAAGATCAAGATGATGCCGTAGAGAAGTGTGACGGGCCCTCCAGACATAACAGAGATTGCTAGCGTGGCGGCAATAGCCGACCAGCTGTTACAAATATTCCAACCCAATCCGATGATGGCCAGTAGTCCGATGTCTCGCTTCGTCGGGGACTCGAGACCGAGGCGGAGGAGTTCGGCGTCCTCATCAGAACTGGTGTGGATCGAGGCATCTGCGATGATTACGATTAAAACGAGATTTCGAAGTTAATGGATTATGTAAAGACAAACTTACGGGCACCGGCGTCAGTGACCTCTTGATCTGCAACTGACGTTGAAGTTGCCTCCTTTTCGGCTCCGTGCTTGCTTGCACTCGTCAGCGCGACCATCTTGATCTGAAAAAGGCCCGAAGCGAGGCCGGAGAACTCGGTTGAATGACATGAGAGTAAAACAAGCAGACAAAATCTGGATTTTTCAGAAAATCGCGGGCACATGAAATATTCCGAGTCCAGCACCCAAACCATGTCTCCAGTCCCTAAGACCAGGTGTCTACTATTACGTGACCTCGCCCGGCTCCGAACCGAGGCGGGGTGGACGCTGCACGAAGGGCGATGGTTACATTAAACGCACGTTTAATCTGCAGTCATCTTCAGATCCTCGCTACCATTCATTTTCCCGTCGTCTTATTTGCGGTGTGTTGTTGAGGTTTCACGCTTAGGCGCTCGTTAGATTTAGCTGCATGCCGAGAACATCTTTTAGCATCGGTGGTCTGACAATTAGCCAGCATCCAGCACTCTGTACGGATACATCGCTTACAGGTGTAGTAGAAGCCCCTGGTGAAATAAATTCAACCAGTCTGCGGAGCATAGTCTCGACTTGGTGTGCAACCTTTCTCCACGGAGTACCAGGATGTAACATGTTCAACTCTTGCTGCTTTAGCATTCCCTGTACTCTGGGAACTTATTTTCTTTGAACGGAAATTTGAATTTCATCAAGATATCATGAGCGCAACGTCCATCACTGAAGAGGTATCCGAGACAATCCCGTCATATTGGACTCATGAGTACCAAAGACTCAGAAGTTGATCGTTACAGCAAACCATAATGCAAGGCCAGCAACTAGAGTCAAGAAAGGATGCTCAATCCTATTTGACAAGCTTGGTCTATCACCAACGCCATTTGGTTGACGGCTACCTTCCACGACATTATTGGCACGAACGCATCGGAATACTTGGTAGTCCGACCTATTCTCCCCATCGTCATAGTTGTAGGAAAGCAAAACAGGCCAGAAACTTGTCAAAGCCTGATCATATGAGTCTTCAGTCTCTTTCTCATCCGAAGCATTGAACTGTCCACCAGCTGTCCACTTGAATAAGTTGAATTTAGGGTAAGAGGTCTCCTCATCAGTCTCGGTGTTGTTCGTGAAGTTCAGGTTGTCTGTAAAGCAGTGTTAGAGTAATGGAATAAGGATCGGGAGTTTGACTTACGTGGGCTTGTTCCAGGCCAATCTAGCTTAGTGGTACAACTTTCCGGGGCCGATGCCCAGTCTTGTTTGTCTCTTGAGCACCCCACTTCCCTGGCCTTGGACTTCAAATCTTGAATACACTGCTCAGGTATCCATCCGTTGCATGACCCGTTATTGTCCTGTTGCAGCTGCTCGATATCCTTCTTGGTGTATGAGTCCTTTGCGGCGTTCCAGGTGTATGAACAGACTGAATAGTTGCCACTGATGTTTCCGGCCTTGTAGGCGTTCTCTGGGCCTACGAGATCGATGGTAAACGGGTTGATGTTCCACACGGCGTATCGATCTGGGTCTTCCCTAGGCACATCTCCGTTCGTCCGATTCGCTGCGATCTTAACTTCGATGCTCCAGCCGTTGGACTGACCGTATGCCTCAGAGTCTGGAGGGCTCAGCAAAGGTTCGGACAAGTCGATGCCGAGGATGGGCCAGCTCCCGGTGGCGTTGGGCGCTTTTACGGCGTTGGGGATGATGCTTGAGTCGTTCCAGATATCGCGAAGTTGTAGACTTCCATATTCAGAGACCGGGATATGGTCATACGCATGCGTAAGATTCCCCTGGCTAAGACTGAGTAAGGCGTATAAAGCTAGATCTCGTCGCGACATGTTTCTGTCCAAGTTTACTTTAGATATAAGAAGAGAGAAGTAAGGGCACGACCCACGCGGAAGAGTGATAATCTGGTTTGAGTTTCAATAAGCTAATAGAAAGGCTGCGTGTAAATTGGACATAATTCTGATGGTTTTATGTGCTTGAATGGTGTAGAATAGCAGTTGCTTAATTTCAGACCTTGTCAGCCAAGAAAATGACGTATATCCCCGAATTGAGAAATGTTTCTAATACTGGAGGAGAAACCTAAGATCAGCACGGCACAGCTGCTGGAGCTGAATCACCGTGTGCTGACTTGGGGCCATTTGAACCAGTGAGCTGCCATGTGTAAGAAGTATGACGTCACAAGACATTCCTTCAGTGACGACTGTCTCGGTCACACACTTTCGCTCAGCCCCTGAATCTTGTGTTTCTTGAATATCGCCCAGGCAGCTGAATCTGCCACTGCTTCTGGATGTAAACGTCCAAGCCACATATTCAGTTCTGATTTGGAAGACTTCCAACAAGGGCTTTTGTCCACCTGAGTTGTGCTTGGCGCATAGGGCTGCTCCCTTGCTGAGAATAAACACGACCACTCTGTCATGCCCCATTTTTGCAATGATATACAAGGGTTTGGAACCAGGGACACCACCTTCATTGATTCACCTAGGCATAAACACAAATTGAACCGATTAAGGGTCTGTATTTGGATGATTTCGATGAATTGTCTAAAGCCCATACGACAACATGCAAAGACAACACCAGAAAAAGTGTGGTCATCGCGGGTTACGAGAAAAAGAAAAAAGGCTCGTATCATGCAACACCTTGAGGAATACCTTCTACATACCGTGATAATATGGCACTTTAATTCATATCAAAACTCTTGCTCTTCAGTTGAGGCTGATATTCAAACGGACAAGCATGTCAAGGCGTGAATAAATTCCAAATTGTAATGAACTCTGAAACTTCTGATGATGTTCCTGAGATATTTGTAGATTAGAAAGAAAGGTCACGAAGCTTACAGCGATTCCATACAGTTTAATCGAAGGCGCTTCTCCGAGGTATTTTGAGTTCGGCTACATCGGGGAGGACATATCAGAAACTAATCAGATCGCCTTATGAATCTCCAGCTGGATTTAAGATGTCAAAGCCGTAGTCGTTTAACTTTCAAACTACTAATGCCCTGATGCCCTGGTTTTTGACTCTAGTTCTCCTCGTTGCAATCTTCCAGTTGATTAGAATACGTAAATCTAAGATACATGCAATGGCAAAGTCGACCAGTAAACAAGTGGACGAAGCCGTAGCATTGACAAAATCCACAGACCACTCAAGCTGCCACCCTCGCTATGTTAAGGTTTCTTAATCAACCACTCCATGCTTCTCTTCCACTTAACCCTTAAGCTCCCACGCCCACTCGAATGCTTCACGTGTGCCATACCGTGTCTGACGATTCCCGTGATCAGCTCCTCAACACCCTTTCCCGTTTTAGCCGAACATTCGACGTATTCAGAAGCCCCAATTTTCTCTGCGAGCTGAAATCCCTGTAATGCAAAAACAGACGGTCAAAAATCCTCCAAAGCAGTTTAGAGCCTTCAATTGATGAGATTGCTTACCTCGCGCCACTTGAAAGGTTGGCTCATAGCGTCTTCGCGGCCACTACTCCTCGGCACATCTCGAAGATCAATCTTGGTTCCAGCCAGCAAAATCGGTCTGTCGCCGAACATGGCACGAATCTGGGGTGCCCACTGAGCCCAGAAGTCAGCTCAAGTCAGGATTGTTATCAAATCACTCAGCCCTTACCATGGTTTCGATGTCCAACAGTAAGTCGGGCTCATTGACATCAAAGCACAATACAATGCAGCTGATGCCATCAGCTATATACTTCGTATTGTTGATGAATAAGTCTTCGTTCTTCGGGCCGGGAGAATCCCAAAGAACCAGCTCAACCTGAACAGGGCTGCCATCGAGATCCACCGAGCAAAGCTTCAAGTTTGGCGTAAGACCCTTTGTGTCTTCGTACTACCACCATGTTAGACTCAGTACGGGATGTGAAAGTGCACGACTTGTGACTCTGTAAGTGCCTGGAGGAGCACGCACCATGGAAGCAAGGGTATTGGGGCCTTTCGTATAACGACTGTCCCCCAAAGTCAGTAAAGATCTAAGTTGAGAACATAGTCTCGGCATGGCTCTGAGGTTGCAGACATACCTTATCAATGATGTTTTCCCACTGAATGCATTGCCCACAAACAAGGCCTTGACCCTTGGGGCTATTGCACCGTTGGTTGGAGACTGAATCGAGGGAGACAGAGTGCTCATGCTTTCAGTTGATGCAACAGCTCCCAGGGGTGGATTGCAGTCGAGCAGTTCATTCTGCTGCTGGTCTTCTATGCTTTGTGAATTGCGATTCTGGCAATCGGAGACAGCCCGGCTGATTGATACGGGTTCCGAACTGCGTCTTTCTGGGTTGGAAGCCTATCGACATATCAAATCAGTCTCCATCACATATTGATGATTGGTACGTCAAATAAGATTCTAAGCGCCTCCTTTGAACGACAGAATGAAGAAATTACTTACCGATCGATGATGTCCAGGTGCACTCGCGATCCCAGGAGCAACGTTCCTGGCGCTCCTCGCGTGCGGTCTCACAGCCACACTCAACAATTCCTCGCCCCCAAAGTCAGCCAAAGGAAGTCCAGAGGCGCCAGCTGGTGCTGATATAGGCCCCGAAAGTCGAGTGAGAATCATTCGATAGTCTTCCTCTTCTTCGGCATCGTTGTCGCGAACGCACAAGTCGATCAATTTCCGTAAGGAGATCTCAAGGCCAAGCCGACCCTTGGCTCCCTGTTTGTGATAAGCGGTTACGCAAGCCTTGGCATGCAGACGAGCTTCAACCAACTCGTTGAGCTCAATGCAGACATCTGAGAGAGCGAGCCTCAAATCCAGTATCTCTGTCGAATCTGCCATGGCTGTTCGGGATAAGAGAGCCAATCTTTCATTGATGACGTCCTTCGCCTCTGACCATCTCTCTTGTCGTCGATATACTTCGGTCAGGTCTTCCAGACAGTCGGTGTGCATGCTGAGGTTGCTTTCTCTGCTCCTTGATTTTCTCAAGCGGCTGAGGCCTCTCTCGAGATGTCGTTCAGCTGATGCGATGTCTCCTTCTTGCAATTCGTGCCTGCCTTGGTTTATGTGGAGATTCATGATTTCGACTTCGATTCCATCGTCGGATTCCGAGTCCTGTGGCCTGTAGACTTCGATGACTGGGACTGGGAAGCTGTCGTTCCTTGTCGGCGCATCGAGATCAAGTTGAGAAGTGTTCGTAACCCAAGCAACGACTCGGGACGTTGGCCTCGCGGGAAAGATGTCGCACAAGTCAGAGGGGGCAATGGACGCTGTATCGGCGATTACCGTAGATTGCGAAGAGATCGAAGACGTGACCGTCGCGGAAGACTGAACACAGCTTTTGAATTTCTTCAGGCTTGCCATCTCAGCCTCTCTCGCAGGGTCATGATTATCGGCTCCCGCCTCCAACACCGACTCGCGAGCAACGAGTTGCTGTCCAAGAATTCGAATGGAACCCGTGAGCTCCCCGAGGCCAGGCACTTCTTCCTGGCCTCGAAAGCCTTCGGCAGACACTTGGTTAGACCTAGATTATTCTGGATCAGCCTTGAACTTGTGCGCAAACCATGGTGAAGCTTGAGCTACTCACACTAGGAACGCCTGCAGAGACGTCTGGATGGTGTCTTGGCACGAACGGAACTGCTGCTGGAAAAGCGTGATTTCGTCCATGAAAGACTTCAGCCTGAAAGCCTTTCTCTGTAAGTTTAAGAAACTGACATCTTTGTTGACATCCTGAATCTTCTTCTCGAGGTGGCGGAGCATCATCTCCCCTTCGTGGAGACAGACACGGATGTTGCGTGAATGGTTGGCCAAGTGGCCGGTGTTGCTCATCTGCGAGCGCATTTGCTCCGAGTTCAAGATGACTTTAATGGATTCCATCGAACGGTTGAACCTCACCAGCTCTGCCATTAGAAGACCCACTCTTAGCTCGACAGTGCTGGGGGCGTCATGAAGCCATTTCAGCCCTTGACAGACCTCCGTGCTTGCAGTAAGCAGGCCGACGATGCCGCAAGTAAGAGAGAAGGGATCCATAGCTGATCGATTATAATATTTGCATGCAAAAGAAGGAGGAAGAAAAAGCAAAGTCCGGTCAAGTTCGGTTGAATTCAGAGTTTTCCGTAGCAGGCGGGCAAGTTGGATGAAAAGATAGAAACGTGAACAAGCACAGGTGGAAGTTTAGAACCGAGTGATCTCAGCCGCACTGGCGGTTGTCGAATTTGCCTAGCCGGTCTCAATTACATGGCGCGTGGCGTTCAAAGAAGCCTCAGCTACTGTTGAAAGACAATGGCGAAGTAAGTTTTCTGGACGCAGCCGAAACAGCTAAATAAAACAGCAAATCGACTAGTCGGACGCGCCTAAGACTGCCTCTCAGCCATCTTATCTATCTTACACACGAAAAGCGTCCTCGAGCAATTTCTGTTCCTCCGCCAGATGCACCTTCTTCGACCCCGTCGCCGCCGCCGCGCCCGTGTCCCGGCCCACGTACACGATGCGACTGGACTTGTGGCTTTGCGATCTAGAAGCCACGGTTTCCAGCCTGTCACGCACGTACTGCCACGCCCCGCCGTTGTAAGGCTCCTCCTGACACCAAACGACGGTCTTGGCATTAGGGTAAGAGTCCAGGTTCTCCTTGAGCTGGGCCCAGGGGAAGGGATGGAGTTCCTCGATGCGCGTGATGGCCGCGTCTCTGATGCCATGCGCTTCGCGGTGTCTGTGGAGGGATGCGTAGACTTGGCCGCTGCAGAGGATGACGCGGGTTATGTCCTCTCTAGGGGCGATGGAGTTGCCGTGTTCTGGATCGGAGAGGACTGGTTGGAATGTTGAGAGGCCTGTGAGATCTTCAACTGGGGATCGTGCTAGAGGGTGGCGAAGGAGGGACTTTGAGAAGAAGATGATGAGTGCTAGGACAGTTAGTGAGTTTCTGATGAAGAATTGTGTGAAGGAAGACTTACGCTTTCTATAAGGAGAATACAGCTGTCTCCTCAAAGCATGAAATAAGTTTGCCGGCGTGGTCATGTACACGATCTGCACGTTACAGCCCCTTCGCGTCCTTGGCAAGTCTGTCGGCCAAGTCCTGGGATCTTCATTGCCCAGTTCCAGAAACCTCCCCAGCCGAGAGGAAGAGTGCTCGGGGCCCTGTCCGTCATACCCATGTGGCAGCGACATAACCAGCCCGCTCTTCAACAACCATTTGGCCTCCCCGGAAGATATGAACTGGTCAATGATGACCTGCGCATTATTCGCGAAGTCGCCAAACTGGGCTTCCCACATGACCAATGAGTCCTCCGCGGCGAGGGAGTATCCATAGTCAAAGCCAAGTACGCCGAACTCGCTGAGTGGGGAGTTGACCGCGGTATATTGCGCGGTTCGACTTTCCAGAAGATGATTCAGAGGTGTGTGTTTGGCGTGAGTGATCTGGTCGTGCAGAACCGAGTGTCTTTGGGAGAAGGTGCCGCGTTCAACATCTTGGCCGCTGATACGGACGGGTTTGCCCTCCATGATAAGTGATCCAAATGCCAAGGCTTCAGCAGTAGGCCAGTCGATGACGCCGGTATCGAAGGCCTGCTTCTTCGCGGTGAGGATGCGTTCGAGGTTGCGATGGAGACTGAAGCCCTCCGGTACGCTGGTGATCGCCTTCGCGATAGTCGAAAGCGTGGCCTCTTCGACTCCAGTTGACCGACGTCCATCCACCGTCAACGCCTCTCCTGCAGATTTCCCTACTGTGTGATCTTCCACCGGGGCTCTGCTCCGCGCCAGTTTCTCCTCGAGTTGTTCCCAAACCCACCTCTTCTGCTCTTCTACTACCTCAGCCGACATGGTCTTCTCCGCAACAAGCTTCTCAATGTACTTCTCCAGCAAAGGCTTCTGCTCCGCGATCTTCTTGTACATCTCAGGCTGCGTAAAGCTCGCCTGGTCAATCTCATTGTGCCCGAAACGCCGGTAACAGTTCACATCAATGACAATATCCGATCGGAACTCGGCTCTCCAGTCCGCCGCCAGTTTACACAGAAACACGACAGCCTCCGGATCGTCAGCGTTGACGTGGAAGATCGGGGCTTCGATGAACTTCGCCAGATCCGAGCAATACGGCGTCGATCTCGAATCGGACGAGTCCGTCGTGAAGCCGATCTGGTTGTTGACAATGAGCCTGACCGTCCCGCCGACGTCGTAGCCCTTCAGCTTCGACAGATTCAGCGTCTCGTATACCGGTCCTTGTCCAGAGAACGCCGCGTCTCCGTGGAGAGCCAGGGACATGACCTTGGAGTGGTCCGCATCATCTTTCAAGTGCTGTACGGCTTTGGCCTTGCCTTGCGCAACAGGATCGACGGCTTCGAGGTGCGAGGGGTTCGGAAGCATCGAGATGCCGACGACCTTCCCACCAGCCGTCTTCCGGGACCCATCCATACCGAAGTGGTATTTAACGTCGCCGGTCTGTCCGTTCTCGACGTCAAACTCCGCAGTCCCGGCAAATTGCCGGAAAAGCGTCTCAAAGTCCTTGCCGTAGACGGTGCTGAGAAGATTCATCCTCCCGCGATGGCAACTCCCGACGACGATGTCCTCCACGCCGTGGGCCTCGGCACAGCGGTCTATCAACGCGGCGAGACCCGGCGCGAGGCCCTCTGCGCCGTCGAGACCGAAGCGCTTCTCGTTGGGGAACTTTACTGCCAGGAACCGCTCCAGACTCGTTGCCCAGATTAGGTTGTCGAGGGTGCGCTGTTTTTCTTCGGTCGAGGTGCGGCTGGTGTGGTGGCTTTCGACGCGTTGGCGGATCCATTCGCGTTTGGCGGGGTCTGCGATGTGGAGGTATTCTACGCCGAAAGAGCCGCAGTATATCTCTTCGCAAGCGGCAATGATGTCTCGGAGCTTCACTCGCTTCTGTTGTGTGGCAAGGTGTGGTAGAACTCCCGGTCCGAGGGGTATCTCGTGGTCTAGGTCGGCGGGAGTGAAGCCGTACTTGGCCAAGTTCGTCGTGCTTGGTAGATCGGGATGCGGGCCGACGGTCTCATCGCCGATTGAGCCGAGGGGGTTGATGTTTGCGCCAGTGTGCCCATATTCCTGGAATGCTCGCACTAAGACCTGGGCCTTGAGGTAGTTTATAGTGTCGTTTGATTCAATGGTGTTCACGACTTCTGTCTCTTGCGTATATCGACTCGACATGAGGCCCGGCGGGGGTTGAAACGCCTGTGTTGCTGGTATCGAAGGGTTCTCCATGTTGCGAAAGTAAGTCTGCCATGAGACGTGAACACTGTCGGGATTGGCTTTCCATGCCGCGTACATCTCGTCAACATAGTTTGCGGCGCTGCCTTGTAGAAACGAGTCGACGGGGCTCTATGTGAGAGCAATGCTGTTAGCCACTGGACGCTTACGTATACGGGATCGTGGGTGACGTTACCGGAGACGATCTCTGATGAGCTGCGCCGGCAGCTGTTGCGTATGATCTTCCATCTTTGCGTGGCAGGCAGTGTTGCCCACTTGCAAAACAGGCCTGCTGAGTCCTTGGCCGGATGTGTGTTGTGTTTGAGCGTGGAAGGCTACTCCGCGATGTTCGCCTTGCTGAAGAGTGTCTGTAGACGGATTGAAGTGACCGAAGCATATTGCGATGTCTTGTTATTGGAGTAACAACTTGACAGTTTGCAAGTATCTGAGTTCCACGGCAGCCATGGACTGTCAAGACTTCTATGCTGGATGGTTTCAATGGGACAAACGTTTCAGAATAGGAAAGGTCGTCAACGTTGGTATGTCAGGCCGGTGTAGTCATTGGGCGTACCTACACGTCTTTCTCGAGAGGTTCTTCGCTGATAACGTACATCATGGCCCGGGGATGTGGTGACCTAGCTTCGTTTCCTCGGCGAGGTATGACGGATCCCGAGGTCGGCTACTCGCCACGAAAGTCATAGACACCGGCATTATTGGGCTGTCTAAATCCTTAGCAGGTCGACAATCACTTGCAAGCTGTAAGTGTTGTGATTAGCCGTCTCTTCAGCAGGTGGCCTTCCCCCTTCCCTTAATGTTGCTGACGGAGAGTTGTCCTCGGATGTTGAAGCCGAGACCATCGGTCCACGGATGTGGGTCGATACAATCCTCAAGACATGTTCCGCGTGGCGGCATTGAGACACGCGGCGTGGCAGTGAATTGATTCATCCCCGCAATCAAGGAATCAAAGAGTGCAAGCCTGATCTTATCTTCATTCCCCGGATTGTTGGTGGATCACTTCTGATACGGCGCGGTGATCCCCTGGTGCCCGCCCGCCTCTGCATTGCGACTCCCTAGCCAGAACCATTCAATACGTGAGACCATCAGCAAGACGTGGATTCGGCATGACCGATTGAGCCAACGGGGTTTGTACATTGGATTCTCCCATTACCCTATCTACAACAAGGCCTTCTATGATGCAGCAGTTGCGCCGTCCCGATGCCAATGCCAGGCAATGCTATCCCGCCCACGTACAAAGAGAAAAGTTACAGATATTGACACGGGTGACCAAGCCTCTGACGGGGCTCATCACTCTCCTCTCTCTCTACTACTCCAACAGGGACAATCAGGCCAGGAGGAGCTTGGCGGGGTCCTCGATGTAGCTCTTGACGATGTTCAGGAAGCTGATGGCCTCGCGGCCGTCGATGAGGCGGTGGTCGTAGGTGACGGTGATGTACATCATGGGGCGGATCTCGAGCTTGCCGTCGACGACGACGGGGCGCTCCTTGATGCCGTTCATGTTGAAGACGGCGGCCTGGGGGTAGTTGATGACTGGGGTGCCGAAGAGGGAGCCGAAGATGCCGGGGTTGCTGATGGAGAAGTTGCCGCCCTCGAGGTCGGGCATGGTCAGCTTGCCGTCGCGGGCCTGTAGCACAGATGTTAGTTTTCTCCTCGCTTAGATCCAAGCTGGTATTCTCAACGTACCTTGCCAGCGAGCTCAGCGACGCCGCGCTCGATACCGATGATGTCCAAGCTCTCAACGTTGCGCAGGACGGGAGTAATCAAACCCTTGGGGGCAGACACGGCGATGCTGATGTCGACGTAGTCGCGGTAGGTGATGATCTCCTTGTCGGTGTCGATGGAGGCGTTCATCTGGGGCACCTGCTGGGCGGCCAGGCAGGTGGCCTTGGTGAAGGCGCCCATGTAGCCCAGCCGGACGCCGTGGCGCTTCATGACGTCCTCCTTGTTGCGCGCGCGCCACTGCATCAGGGCGGACATGTCGACCTCGTTGATGGTGGTCAGGGAGGCGGTCATGTTCTGGGACTGCTTGAGCTTGGAGGCGATGGTCTTGCGCATGCGCGTCATCTTCTCGACGCGCTCGGCGCGGGAGAAGAGGCCGGTGGCGCCGAACGGGGCGGCCTGGGCGACGGGGGCCGTCTCGGCGGGCTTCTTTTGTTGTTGGGGCGCGGGAGCGGGAGCGGCGGGCTTGCTCTCCTCCTTCTTGGGGGCCTCGGGCTCCTTCTTCTGCTCCGGGGCAGGGGCGGCGGCGGGCTCGGCGGGCTTGCTGGCCTCGGGCTTGGACTCCTCCTGCTTAGGGGCGGGCTTGTCCTCCTTGGGAGGAGCGGCGCCGCCGGTCTCGACGCGGGCGACCTTGGCCCCGACCTCGACGGTGTCGCCCTCTGCGACGAAGATCTCGACGATGGTGCCGGCCTCGGAGGCGTTGACGGCGACGTCGATCTTGTCGGTCTCGATGCTGGCGACCTCCTCGTCAGCCTCGACGAAGTCGCCGACCTGCTTCGACAGGTTCGAGACGGTGCCCTCGTTGATGGACTCGGCCATCGGGGGCACGGTGATGATCATCTCGCCATGCTGGATGCGGGTGGAGGAGAAGGAGCGGTATTGCGACGAGGTGAGGGCGGGGAGGGCAGCTCGGGGTATCGTTCTCGTGGCGATGGAGCGGACGGCGTTCGTTTTTGAGGCGACGGTGTTGGAGATGTGAAGGCGGGCGGCGCCGGCGATTCTCGAGGTCGCGGCGGAGGTGGAGGGCCGGGCCAGGCGGCTGGCGGATTGAAGCTGGGAGCGCATCATCTTGGGGTGGAAATGTTGAATGAGCGGCTCCTGGGGGTTATTGGAGCATCGAAAGGTGGGTGTTGAACGAATCTATGACTCTTTTGCGAACGTAAGGGTTTTTGGGGTGGCAGATTTGATCGTGGTAAAATTGGGCATGGAGCTTTGCCGTGCAGGTGACAGAATGCACCGCCGCTTTACGGATACTGCGATAGCTCCTTGTTACCTGAATTGTTTTGGGCCTTGCTGTTTCTATACTTGGTAAACATGGTGCTTTATTGAGACTTCCTCTCGTATCTTATGTTTCATTCTGTCTATCTTGTCTTACAGCTTTTCTCGTCACTTCCCATCTCCCAGACATTTCCATCTTGCTGCTATTCATCCTTCATTATGTACTTGCTTGTTTACTTGCACACATCTCCCCTTAAAGCAGCCGGCCGTTGTGGGAAGAAATCGGAAGCTCCGCGATGGCAGCTGGTCCTTGCTTGCAAAAGACGTTGCGTCATTGGACAATTGAAATCTCGCTTCCGAGATTTTGACAGCGGCCGGAGCTCCGGTACGTACTTCTCCGGAACGGCCCCACCGCACAGCAGGGGGTTTCGGCTTCTTACTCATCCTTTACCCGGCCAAACGGCTTCTTGGTCCCGATTCCTTTTTTTCGTGATGATAGATCTGGCTTAGTCATCTTCTATCTGCGGATCTCTAAGCTCTTTCTGATCCAAAACGGCTTTCGGTCGCAACATCCGACGCTCACTCATGACAGTGTATCGGAACGATCCGATTGACCACGAGGTCCACCGACTCAGCCGTTTCTGATCCGCTCTCATTCCTTGACCAGCGACAATCAGTGAACCACTGACGGCTTGCCACAGTGTCCTTCAGCAATTTCCAACGCATGACGAAGGCCATGTGGTGAAGTAATGGACGTTGCCAAGAAATCTAGTCCGGCCGGTACACTGGGACAACAAATTAGAACTGAAACTGACGACTAGGGCGCCGATAAATCTGTGAAATCACTCTACGTAGTTAGACTTTCCTCTAACTGATATGTTTCGATACAGGCGAACGCTGTGTTCGAGAAGATTCAGCTCATTGTCGGTTGCAGGGTTACATATTATATCTGAAGCCCTTATCCTGCACGTCCGTCAAGTCCGAATCAACAGCAACACCCATCTGCAGAGCCTGTTGCCCGCCATCATGACCGCCGACCATGTATTCATAGTTGCCTTCACCCGCAAGGCCATCCCTCTTAGCGTTCTCTCTCCTAATCGCCACTCCATACACCACATACGTCAGAATCAGCCCGATCCAGCTGGCGATGCTGAGAATGCATCCCTTGGTATATCTCGGCGCATCAGACTCCGTCCAGGCCTGCGGTGAAACGATGCACCCCACGCAGTAGACGATGAAGAACCCCGCGCTTACGACGCTTTTCTTGGTGTTACCCTTCACGTTTGATGCCATCATCGACGCCGAAGAGCTGAGAAGCGAGCTACAGCACGCCGCAAGCCATGTACTTGCGACGATACCCCAGTCGTTGCCCTTCGCCGGGAGTGCGAGGAGCATGGCGGATCCCAAAAGAGGAATGAGTGAAAGGCCAATGGAGGTGTAGACCCGAGTTCCGGGAAAGAACCGCGGGACTAGCGCTGATATCCAGATGGTGACGAAGCTAATTGCGCCGCCGGGCAAACCGACGAGCATCGTCTGGAAAGGGGAGTATCCGAAGCCGTTGATGACAAGAGAAGAAAACTGTTGAAGACCTCTATGTTAGTCATTACATCAACTAGAGGGGAGTAGAACTTGCCTTCAAGATGGGAGTCGTCAACGTGATACAAAGCGCCATCATGAAATACATCCACGTCATCGGCTGCCTCAACGCCTCCACCATCTGCTTCGAGTTAAACTCAGCCCTATCCCTCGTCCCCCTATCAAGCGCCAACCTCCTCGTCGCAACCTCCCTCTCCCTCTCACTCAGAAACCACGCCGTCGTCGTATCCCTCGGCATGATCACACAAAAAGCAACACCGCACCCCGCCGTCAAGCCCCCGCTGAGCAAGAACATGGCCCTCCACTTCTCAATCGCCATCCCGTCCGCCCCGCCGATGCCATACATCATCAGACCCCAGGATCTGCGACACTCCGGACATGGACACCCAAGTGGCGACACGAATGGGGTGTTCTCGTCGACGGTACCAGTTGGACGTGATGATGATGAAGGCGGGCGACACGGCGCCCTCCGCGAAGCCGAGGAAGAAGCGCGCCGCGGCTAGCCCTCTGAAGTCGTGCGTCGCGCCGAGGCACATCTCGACGGCGCCCCAGAGTATGATGGTGACGCCCACGAAGAGGGTGATGGGGAGGCGGCCCATGAGGTAGGCGGCCGGGTACTCGGAGCAGAGTTGGCCGAAGTAGAAGAGGGAGATGACCCAGGAGAAGTCTTGGCCTGTGAGGCGCAGATCTTTGCGGAGACCGAAGACGGATGCGTAGTTTATCGATTGTTTGTCGAGGTCTGTTGGGGATTTGTGTTAGGCGAGTGAGAAAGGGGGCTTGGCTGAGATCTTACATTGGAAGAAATAGACGAATGCCATGAGGGGCATGAGGACTCGGTCCAGCTTGCGAACCAGTGCCCTCTCTTCCTCCGGATTGATATCTTCGAAGACTACGTGCTGTCCTTCGGTCTTCTTCGTAGTCTCGAGCTCCTCTGTCATGGCGGCGAGCTGGTGGTCCTCTGCCTTGGAGGCCATTGTAGCTTAGGAGTAATGGAAGATGTCCTGGATATTCAATAGACTTGGTGTGTTTATTTGAATTGAAGCTTTCTGAGACTGTTTGACCACGTTCTTTAATAGATGATCTATTGAAGTGACGACAGACGAGACAACAAAATTGACAGAGTCGAGTCAAACACGAGAACGCCCGGGTGCATGTGTTGTTCTCTATTTATCTCGCCATGTCTACCCCTAACTATAGAAGGCAAGTTGCCGAGAAGAGCGGACCATTTCTCCAGGCTTGGAACGCGGGGACTTCCCCAGGTCACTCCGCAAGTACGGGGAACTCGCCGCACCTGGGGAAGCCAAGTCGCCTTGACCTTTGAATAAGGTACTCCTCGTGGAATAACTGCCCCGCCGCGTTCTCGACTCGTGAGCGATGTATTCGCATGGCCATCTACTGAAGCCGGGGCTAAACATTTAAGCCCCTCGGGGACCACATCCGAGGTCTTCGCTGTGAAAGCCTGAGAAGCCGTCTTTGTGTTCTGACACCAGAATCCCGGGACTTTTGGGTGTGCTGACAATCCGGCAATCCATGAATGCGTTTTCCTTAAAGTCATGACTACCATTGTGATTCAAGCCGTTCTACGGGAGAGATAACTGTCACGGCTGGTTGCCCCAGGGAATCTGGTTCTCCAATGCCTCCCAATCCGTCTGCTCGACCCCGGTAAACGAGAAGCCCGGCGTGTGATACACCCAGTACAGACTATTCTCTCCCTCGAGCGGTATACTCGCCAAGTCCGCGCCGCTGAACTCGAAGCCCGGGTCCTCGTTATCACACATCTCCCTGCCGCCGCCCCCGGCCCCTGTCCGACTCAACGTGTCCGCAGCAGCATCCAGAGTCGAGCAAGCTTCCTCGATAGCCCCATACCCACTCTCGAAAGAAAATGGCTTCGTGAGAAGGTCCGTCAAAGACTGCTGGGGCGTCTGCCCAGTCCCGTGCTGCACCGGCAGGGCAAGATGCACGCACATCTGATCGAGCTCGGCCAAACGATTCGCAGCGGCCCGGTTTCCCAGCCCGACTAGGTAACGTAGGATTGCCCGCGAGCCATCGATGCCTTTGAAGCCCAGGCTCTTCCCCGGGTTGATGGCTTCCACGAGGACGAAGATGTAACCCACGGAAAACGTGGCGTCCAGGTCGAGGAAGGCGTTCTTTGCGAGGATCTCTTTTTTGCGGAGTTCCTGGAGGATTACGAGGCTCTTGCTCGCGGTCTCGACGCAGATTTCTGCTAGGCGGATGAGGGCCGGGCTGACTTCGGTGCGAGAGCCCTCGCGCTCTGGGTCACGGCTGTTTCGGGCCATGTAGAGCAGGATGGGACGGACGGTGTGGATGACAGCCTGCCCAAGTCAGTTTGTGAAGCGCAAAGGGCATGTGAAACCATACTGAGTAGACGGAGATGTACAGGCTTGAGCTTGTTCTCGATGTCGTCGTCGGAGCATCCATGAAGGGACGTCCAGCAACGAGGAGGCCTGATGGCTTGATCTCCATTGAATACTCCAAAGGCATGGTCTTTTCGACTTCGTATAGAGAGTGTAGTATGCCTTGCACATTATTGATGAATGTGCTTTCTGGATCATTCTTCTGTGAGTAGATGGCTGTCCGGCAATTACCCATCAGCATCCCGCAACTATCTCGTGTATGTGCTAGGTAGCAACGTACTTGATGTGATCTTTCCAGTAATCCTTGCCGCCTTGACGTTGACTGCCAGCGCAGTTGCCGATGAGAATCCTGGAACTTCGTAAGGAGCGGGAGTCGTGATAGCGTAGTCCTCGATGGACATCGGATATCCGCCTGCAGCACATAGTCTCCTTGAAGTTGTCAGCTGCGTACTCGAGGGACTGGACCAGACAGGTTTACCTCTCTTGCATGTATATAGACCACCAAAGTCGATTACGATGAACAGCCTCCGACCTTCTGGAGTTTGCACCAGCGCTCGCACGATGCATACCGTGACTTATCGCCAACCTCAAGGCCGTATTAGACTAGAGAATAACAATATCAACAGTGGAGTCTTAGCTTCTTTCCGCAAAGAGCTCACATGTAAGTATGCATCATCCTTCCGATCCACGATCTGAAGATAAAGTGCCGTCAAGGCAACAACCTCAACACCGATGACACCATGCCTTCTCAACTCACCAAGCAAAGGCGTCCTCTTAACCGCCTCGCAGAAGAACCCCGTCCCGGGCAAATCGCCACTCTCGTCATCTCGCCCCTGAAGCAGCCTGCCCACAGCGAAGACCAACAAGGCCTCCACGATCCATATCTCGGGCAGCCTCACATCTGTAGCGGACTCTTGGTACAGCAGAGACAGGCTATCCGAGAAGGCGCGGACGTCGAACAGCTGCTGCGATATGCCGACGTTGAAGACGACGATGTCCAGCATAGCATGCGCCTCCTCCTCTGTCGGCCAGGGGCCCAAGGCCTCGAGCAGGCTCCGGCGATCGACACGCGTGAGCGGCGTGGCGTCGATGTTGGTGGCCGGGCTTGCGGTGGACCCCGGGTTCGAGCGGGAGATGAGGAGGGTCTTGATCTCGGAGCCGAAGGTCTCGGATGAGGAGAGGGCTGATTCGGGGGCGATAGCTATCTCGGAGTCAACACCCGAAGACTGTCAAGGGATGCATAAAGACACAGGTGTTGGAAGGTCCACTTACCCCTAGTGACACCCGTGGGCGAGGACGTGGACGCCGGGAGGACCTCGACGGCTCGTACCCTCTCGAACACGGGAGAGAATGTGGACTGAGACACAGGTTCATCAACTTCCACGGGGGATAACAGACTGACTGAGATACACGAGTCGTCTTGAGGAGGTTCCTGTGGTGTTGTCTCTGCCACCTCACCGGGAGGCATCTGCCAACCAGGCGATGCCGCCACGGGAGCCGATTTCTCGCGGCTTTGCTGTTCATAGAAAGCGATTTTGTCCTCCAACTCCCGTATCTGCCTGAGAATAGCATCATTATCCCAGCTTACGCTCCATTTTCGGACACTCTAAGAGAAAGGGAGAGAGCTGCGACACGGAGAGGGGGACTCACGAGATGGAATACAACTTCCTCTTCTCCGACGCTGCGAAGACACAATCCAGCCCCCGTTTCGCACAATACTTACACGGCTGCTGGCCCGAACATTTCACTTTCTTGTCCCGACAAATTCGGCACGCATTCGACGTGCGAGCCGCCTCGGCTTGAGAAGCCGAACGGAAGCGTCTCGCGGCCGGCGCGTCGGCCGGAGACCTCGAGGGTTTACGAGCGGCGCCTCGCCGGGGTGTCGGTTCCGAGCCAGCGTCCATAATTACTGGTGCACAGCTCCGCAGAGCCAGGATTCGGATCGAATATCGAGTCGGTCTGGGGAAGCGGGTGAGTTGTGGTTTTCTGTGAAAAAGGGAGACGCATCCGTGGTCTGTTGTTGATGGGACGATGGCGGGACGGCCGAAAAATAGCGGTGCCGACGCTAAGATGTGGTGAAAATTGGGGCTGTTAGGGGTCCTGTAGTAGCCCTGGCTCTTATCATGAACTTCCTCGGGGGCCATTTCACAAGCTCCCGGATGAAAACAACATCTCTGATAAAGTTTGTCACTGGTACTGACATCTTCAAATGCTCAATGAATACTACTTAGAAGAATAGCCAAGCCTAATCTACCCTACTATCCCGGGAATCGTAAAGGACATCATCGTCCTTGGGATGCCCAGACTTCGTCGCATCAGGAGTCGTCGCCCGAATACCCGCCTCCATCCTCGTCAGGTTCATCTCGTGCCCCTTGTGAGTGCACCAGCCCGTCACCATCTTCACGGCATTCTTTATTTCTCGTCCATTCAGACGCCACAGACTCAAGTCCTCGATATCCTCCTCAGAGAGTATCTTCCCCTGATCTTCGTCGACCTCTTGCCGCGGCAGTCTGCCGAGAAACTTGCGCCAGATCTGCATTCTCGCATCCTGGGTCAGAGGACTGAACCTCAAATGCAGGCTGACTCTGCTCCGGAAGGCGTTGTCGATTGTCTCGTAGAGGTTCGTCGTCAGGAAGATGATGCCACGGAAGTACTCCAGCTCGCGGAGGAAGATGGACACCAGCTCGTTGCGGATGATGTCGTGCGGATGGCGCTTCGACATGAACACGTCGGCCTCGTCGAGGAGAATGACTGCTTCCCAATCCGTCGCCATCTCAAAGACGTGTTTGAGCTTTGCTCCCAACAATGCTGCGTTGATGCCGAGGTCCTCTGCTTGCAGGTAGAACAGCGGTCGGTGAGTCCTGTCTGCGACGGCCTCGGCGGTCAACGTCTTTCCCGTGCCTGGAGGGCCGCTGAGGAGAACGATGAGACCCTGTCCTTTCCCGACAATCACGTCCTCCACCTGATGTTGCTTTGAGATACCGTGGTTCTCTACGAAGGAAAGGACTAGGTCTTTCTGTTCCTCGTTGTAGACGAGGTGATCATAAGCTTCATTGTTCCAGACGATAGGCGAGATGTCCTCAACATAAAACAACACTACGATGGTTAGCAAGATGCGATCAAAATGAAATGAAAATTTTCAGACTTACACCACAGTTTGTTCTTCAACGCGTAGCCCTCAATCGTCGGTGCCAAGAAACACAGATCGTCCTGGCGCGCAAGCATTTGCTCCTTGTTGTGGAGCTGCTGTTTTTCGTTGAGATGCTTGTGGACTTCGGCTGCGCCATCAGTCTTGTCGTTCGCTTCTTCGACGACATCAGGCGCATTGGCCTTAGGTCTATCCGCGGGGAGACACCTGGAGAAGCCCTCGATCGTCACGACGTGTGAGCTGGCATTGTGCTTCGTGGTCGCCCGGTTCCTCTGGGTCTCGGGGTCGTCAACCTCTCTCTTGCCCTGAGTGAGCTCGTACTTTCTGTACCCGACGACGTCGACCAGAATGCGGCCCTCCACGTTATGTTTCCCTTCACTTCCCAGGGCGATGCCGTTGTAATTACAGTACTTCAGGCCTTGGAAGTCCAAAACCGTCTTGCCCCTCGCAATCAAACGCTCCTTGATCTGGTCTCTATCGGCGTGAAACTGGAGCGGGTAGTGATCCAAGTCGGTAATGAGCTTGTTCCCCGCGAACTTGGGAATGTCAAATGCTTGTTCGACCCACACGAAGGACTCTCCATTGAAGGAGAGCACCTTGCAGTTGAGCCGCAGTGCCTTGCCAGTTTTCGTCGTAACGTAGGTAACATCGTCCACCTTGGACAGCATCTCGGTATTGCAGCCGGAGCTATACATGACGGTGCCGTTCGAGAAAAGAGTCCAGGCCAAGTCGAAGTTGATGAGGCCGTTGGCCTGCAGACCGCGCGTCTTGTCTCGCGTCTCGCCGAGTATCTGATCCAGCGTCTGCACCAGGGGCTGCGCGTAGGCTTTCAGCGACGCATCCTCGGTCTCCCTGTGAAGACGGACGATTTCCTCGTATCGAAAGAACAAGGGCTGGAAAGGCGCCAAGAAAAACGCGACGTCGCCGAGGTTGAGAAACCAGTTCTCCTTCTTGAGAATCGGCTCCAAGGCGGCGACCAGAACGGGGCTTTGGATGGCGATCTGGTGGTAGGCCAAGGAAAACCTGCCGCCGATGACTGGTTTGTTGAGGTCCTTGATCTTGTAGACCTTGATCGCAGGCTTGTTCTGAATCTGCGCGGCCTTCTTGCTCATCTGCTTCGGTGGGTGATTGACCCAGTCGTAGATGCCAGGGACACTGTTCTTTCCTTCGTAGAGCGTTATGACGGTGGCTTCGGCGCCGAGGGTGGGATTCTTGGGGTTGGCTTTCTTCGGGTCATTTTCGGAAAGACTGGCCTCGATATCTGCGATACTGCGTCCGGGTTTTTCTTTCGTGGGTAGAACTTTGCACCGCAATTTCCACGCCGCGTCTTCAGCGAAACCCATGATGAATGATGAGATAATAGCTTGGTTCTTGCAAGGTTGCGAGAAGGAGAGAAAGTAGCAGTAATGTGGCGATTATGTTGTGAGGTCAGAAAATTTCTAGGTATAAATAAGGCGGCAGGTCATCCAAAGAGTGTAGCCTAGATAGATATTTTGGCTAAGTTTTTCTGGCAGCCTGGTTCGCACCGCAAGGCGGCCTATGCTATCTGAGGCCTCTGTTCTTGTGGCGTTCCCAGGACTTTGGGTCTAAGGAAACCTAGCCCAACAGGTAGATCAACGTTGGCTGAACATATACGCGCCGTGGCATTGGACTATGACGTTGGCATTATCAGAGCTGCTTTGAAGATAAAATGGGCCGAAATACTGAACCAAGCATATGTTACTTAGGATGTGCTCTTCTGACGTTCGGCGAGTATTGTGACCACATCTCATGCTCTTTTCATCAGGCTATCCTCGGGTCAGAGACGATCAAGGTTGAGCAGAAGACAAGGAACAAAAAAATAAAAGGTCAGTCATGCCTGACCACTCTTTGACATGAGTTTAACGCCCGTCAGCCACTCATGGCGGTTTTCATGGTCAATGCCCCGACTAGCCTACCGGTCTGCCTTACCTTATTGATCGTCCAAGCGGCCGCTATCAGCTTCAGCTGCCAACCAAAAAGCTGTTTAAAGAATAATTAGGTCTGTCAGACTGTCAGGCGTACTCAAAGCCCATTATCGTATCACCATCTGATAGTTGATGCATGGGCTCCGTTCGTCCAAAGCCAGGCGTTACTTTCATCAGAGGAAGGTAGGTTTGCCAAATGATGGCAGACTTTCGTATGTACATTTATGTTGGCTCAGTGAGCTGGGCTTGCATGCCTTGAGGTGCCAATGTTATATTATGCCAGGCTCCGACTTCAACACTGGTATTAAGATGAATGTGTCTCCAATGGGTTTTATATGTGGCATGACGGTACAGGCGATAAGCCTATGATTATATCTGAGGGGCATGCTGCGCAAGACTATGAGCAGCCTAATTAATCACGGGCTGCCGCTGTGATCCCTAGTGAAGAGACTTTGGATGACAGGTGGTCAATGACGTACTTACAGTTATGTTATTGGCCGAGGATTTGTTCAAATCTATGCGTATTGGTCCATATGTGATCGGTACTCAGACAGCAATGACTTTCACTCGGACCCTCAGCATTGGATGAATTGTGATCTGAACATGGTAAAATCCTGACTGCCATTCTTGATCGTTCAGGCAATGAAAATCCGCACTTAAGCGTCGAATACCAAACATTATTCTATTCCTTATAGGCAGTTCCGATTTCCGTGCATGATGCGGAAGGACATCGCTGAAGCCCCATGATTAATCTTCATCTACAGAGGCTTCTGAGCCGAGTATGAGTGATAGAAGATGTAGGGGTGAAAGCTGTCATCCATCATCTCCTTCCGACATTGAATCAGAAAAACTTCCACTTCCATGGGAGTCCAGCCAAGTCCCCTCGTGAGTGGGCCGATGGTGTTGCCGTGTAATCCGTCGTAAATCACCGCACGAGCGTAAGAGCCGATAGATTTCAAGTGAGCATCCTTTGGCCATGTGCCGATTGGCACCTTCTTCGCATCATGTACGAGGTTCCGAAAGCCGGCCTTTTCCATGCGTTCCATGTGGCTCTTTCCTGCTCTCAGATCTACACCGAAAGTGGCCACGCCCTCCTTGATGAGTTCCATCATTCTCGCAGGTGCATACTCACTCCCAGGAGGAATAGTGTCGTCGTCACACTTGCACTCGGGCACTATGTCTTGGAGTTCGAGCCATCCACCTGGCTTGAGAGCTCTGGACCAATTGTTAGCCTCGCAAAAACAACGCGCTCGCAGAATCTAGAACCCCGACTCACCTGTAGGCCTGTTCTAAGAGCTTCGGCCAGTTCTTTATTGATGGGTACATATGACGCAGGTGGATGTAATCCACAGAACTTTCTGGATGCAACCACTCTGCTTCGACATCATCGACAGTGAAGTGCACATTCGTCGGCACAAATGGAGGTTGAATTGGACTCAAGTCAATGCCCTCAACGTCTGCCTCGGGATAGGTATCACCCACTTCAATAATTAGTAGCCACACGAGAAAGAGTTTAACGCAAGATACCTACTCTCAATAGCCCATATTCCAGTGCCCGTTCCAATATCGAGAACCTTTTTGGGATCCTTGATCGGCGCGTTGTGAAGCTTGTTGTCGCATAGGGCCACGATCATGTGATGTTTCATGTTTTCGCGCTCCTGCTCAGGTTCGTCGTTCGGAAAATGGTACTGGCCTTCTTTGTACTTGTGATAACGGCGCTTGTTCTCAAAGTTGTAGTCCCGGATGCTGGAAGCTAACGACGTAGCCAGGCTTGAACCGTGGTCGCTGGCGGACTCATAGCCTTCCACAGAGCTTGCATCGTCAACTTCCAATTCCGATGGCGCTTCTTCGTGATCGTTGGCTTGGGAGACTGTTTCTTCAGCCGGTGATTGGGGTGAAGGGGATGATGCCTGCGGTGGAGATGCGATGCGGGCAGCTTTTGGTGCCACTCCCTTGGGACTAGTGGAGATACTGCGTTTGTCTGTCATCTTGATTACTTGAGCGTGGATTTGCCGAGAGGAAGGTGTTGAAGGTTTCCTTGGCTGTGGCACGGTGAAGAGCAAGAGGGGAGAAAAGAAAGGAGAGAAGTGAGAAGTCGAAGACTGGAGGCTGGGCCAACGCGGAGTAGCATTTGGTGGATAAAGCAATGCCGCATCCATGTCTGTTCCATTGGATCCCAGCGGTTGAGGCAATCGGGGAGAAAACAACCAATGCCATCCATCAATTCAAGCCACTCCGCATGCATGTTTGCTCGCATTTCCAGCCAGTGATTGGTGGAGTGGCATCAAAATCGCGTTGTCGATTCCGTCGAAAGAGGGGAAGAATGGCTTTGGACAGTTATTTCCGGGTGAGACTACCAATTGAGAAGGTGAAGTAGCCACGGTGCCAAGAGACCGGGCCGCTCGGTTCGAACCCCCTCGTGGGGCTGTATCTTCGGCCCCAGTCCCGGTGTCGAGGAGAGACCAACAGCAAGTCTGGTCTCATCCCACTATCAGCGGGGTCAACGTGCTCTCAGCTTGGCTGGGTGGCTGGTAGGATTCGATGCAACGGCTGTCTACTTATTTCCAATAGGCGTCGAATCACGATTGACTCTGGCGCCTCATGCACCGATCCACCGTCCGACCGGCTGCGTCTGTAGTTGCTAGTGGAAACCAACAAAGAAAAGTGCCTCCTCCCCCTGAGAAGACCTGCTGGAAACCCCAGAAAGATATAAACCGTTACATCCCTAGATAATTGTCGATTTTGCTTACAAAGTCACGGAGTTCAATTGTCAAAATGCAGGCATTCAAACTAGATCTTCCGGAGAACAGGACCGTCTCCGGTCTCCACAATATCCCGGCCCCGGGCCCCACCCGACCGAAATACTGCCCCCTCATCGTCGGCCTCCACGGCGGCAGCTACTGCAGCTCCTACTTCGACGTCGACGACTACAGCGCTCGTCACACGAGCACATTCACGGGCGTTCCGTTCGTCGCAATCGACCGACCCAGCTACGAGCAGACGACTCCTATCGGCGACATCCCCGACGGTTCATCTTTCCAAGAAGAGTGGGGGAAGACTCTTCACCAGACGATACTGCCCGCAATTTGGACAGAGTTCGCCGTTCCAAACGGTTGCACCTCGATCGTGCTTCACAGCCACTCCCTAGGAACCCCTGGAGCATGCGTCGCCGCTGCTCTTCACGCCAAAGAGATTTCACCCGCCTACCCTCTTGCCGGCATCAGCTTTTCCGGCTTTGGCAACGGCGTCAAATATTTTCGCGATGCTATCCCCCCTCCAGGCGGAGATAAACCACCCGCTTTCTTCACCATTCCACCCGACGCCAAAGATGCGCACATGTTTCTTCCCGGCACGATCGATCCTGCTCTCAAAAAGCACACGGCCAGGCTCAACCGTCCCGTGCCTCACGAAGAAGTTGCCGGCATAGCCAGCAAGTGGTTGGTCAACTGGAACGAGAGGTATGCAGTCAAGATCAGGGTGCCTGTAAACATCGGCCTGGCAGAGCTCGACGGGTTATGGGCGGCCACAGACGACCATCTCCGTGATTTCGCGGGTGCTTTCCCGGCGAGCAAGAGGGTTGACGCCAGTCTCATCCGGGGGGCACCGCATAACCTTGAACTCAGCTACTGGTCTCAGGGCTGGTATGCTCGCCTCTTCGGATTCGCCATGGATGTTGCGACTTCTCTCGCCGTCGAGGACAGTCGCATGCCGAATTAGGTTCGAATTGGTTCAGACTTCAATGATTATAGATAGCGAAGTAGGGATTATTAGGATGCTATGCTATGAATCATCTCAACAAACATAATCGAAGGCTTTTCAAACCTCAGAAGTTGGAAGTGATGATCTACACTAATCTCATTGGTTGACAACAACGTCGCGAAAAGGGTAGCGAAGACGGCTGACCTTGACCCTTGGCTTGCATGTCGACCCCGGATGAACAAACCGATCTGACGGTTGTCCTACCCGAGAGCATCGAAACGGTTGGCCGTCGCTCCGTCATTCTCGACATCCCCCGCAGCACTCCACAACTCGCGTGTTGGGCTTGCATGAGCCTCCGCTGTCCAGTATATGATACCTCCCGATGACACCTCTTAAATTGACGACAATCTGAGTGACAATCCAGGACCAGCTTGCACGTCAACAAGAGATCCACGATCATTACGACGGGGCACAGGCACCATGTCCTTGCTTCGATCACTCACTCGACCAGCTCCTTACTCAGGGGCCCTCAAGCACGGGTCGCCTGTGAGGTTATTGAGTAATAATCCCTCCAGATCTGCCTCGAACGGAACGGCGGGCTTCAGAAGAAACGGTGACGACAAGCGGAGCACAAGATGGCCCAGTCTAGCCTCTGTTTTGTTCGCAACGGCAACTGGAGCCATTGGCTACGCGCTCGCGAAACGCAACGGCGCGTCGCCAAACTCGAAAGTCATCCTACACGACAGTAGGTTGCCGGCCGTCAGATACGCCACGTTGAACGACATGAAGAGAGTAAGTCAACGCGTTTCTGAGCATCGTGGCACAGTCACACCTAACACCGTCGAGGCGGTTGACGAAATTCGACGGGAGCTAGGTGATACAGAAGACGTCATCTCGACCGAGCCAGAAGACCTCGTAGCCCACGGATACTCTGAATGGTCTTCCGTCAACCTCGACACTCTTCCAGTGGCTGTGGCTTACCCTCGCAGCACGGAGCAAGTCAGCACAATTGCTCGTATCTGCCACAAGTGGCGAGTGCCTATTGTTCCCTTCAGCGGAGGCAGCAGTGTCGAAGGCCACATCACGGCACCTTTCGGTGGCGTGAGCCTTGATTTCGTTCATATGGATAAGATTGTGAAGTTTAACAAAGATGACATGGACATCGTGGTACAGCCAGGCATATGCTGGACAGATCTCAACACCCAGCTGGCGAAGTTGGGCAGCGGTCTCTTCTTTCCCATCGACCCCGGTAAGAAGCCATTCCCCAGGTTACATGAAAGTGGGCAAAACGTTGACAACTCCGTTTTCTTCAGCCCCCAGCGCCAAGGTGGGAGGTATGATAGGAACCAACTGCTCAGGCACGAATGCAGTCCGTTACGGCACGATGAGAGACTGGGTCATCAACATGACCGTAGTCCTTGCAGATGGAACCGTCATCAAGACTCGGCGCCGACCGAGAAAGTGCTCTGCGGGGTACAACATCAACGGCATCATCGTCGGTTCAGAAGGCACACTTGGGATCGTCACAGAAGCAACTCTAAAGCTTGCCGTTGTCCCACACCACTTCTCAGTTGCAGTCGTTCCTTTCGGGAGTATCAGACAGGCCGTCTCAGCTGCGGCAGACGTCATACGGGCCGGGGTGCCAGTCGCGGCCCTAGAGTTAATGGACGAAGCTCAGATGCGTATCGTGAATGAGGGGGGAGCCACGAGGCCGAGAGTATGGCAGGAAAAGCCAACCCTATTTTTCAAATTCTCCGGTACTCAAGCTTCCGTCGACGACAACATCCGCAGTGTCCAGCAAATCGTAAATCCCCGCCAACCGGGCACTTTCGAGTTTGCCAAAGACGAGCATGAGCAGAAAATGTTGTGGTCGGCTAGGAAGGAATCGCTTTACTCCTTGCTCGCCATGCGCAAGGAGGGCGAGGAGCTGTGTAAGTGGCACCCCTGCTGCTCCCTTCGTGCTGCCCGAAAAACTTTCTCCGCACACTCCACTTGCCATAACAACACTGCCATGATTCTCAATCATGTAGAAACCCAATGTGTCGTGCATGCCGGTGGGGGGACGGCGCTCATGCTGCGTTGCTGACCGAGCACAACAAATATCGCAGGGAACACTGATGTTGCGGTCCCTCTCAGTCGGCTGGCCGACATCGTCGAGGCCAGCAAGGAGGAAGCACAGAAACTTGGCCTCAACGCCTGTATCAAAGGTCACATCGGCGACGGCAATTTCCACGAAAACATAACCTACAACAAGACCATACCCGAAGAAGCCGCCAAGGCCCAGCTCGCCGTCAAAAACATGGTCGCGCGCGCCCTGGAGATGGAGGGGACCTCAACAGGTGAACATGGAATAGGTTTGGGAAAGAAGGAAGCCCTGCTGTCCGAAGTAGGAAATGATACGATTACCGTTATGGTGTGTGCTGGACCCTGAAGGCGGGGGATGCCGGGGATATCCCTCTCGGCGATCGGGCTGACCTTTTGATTTACCATGCACAGAAGCTGATCAAGGGGACCCTGGATCCAAACTGGATCTTGTAAGTGGTTGGCCCTAAAATCCATCGGCACAAGCAAGGCCTGCGTGTGTACACTTACATACGGTGCGGTGCTGACGATTCATGTCCTCCCAGGAACCCAGGAAAGATATTCGACCGGTAGGTTTACGGGAGAAACCAGCCATGACGAAATCACGTTTTGTATGTCGCAAGATGGAGTTTAAAGTCTGCTGTCTCACAGACGATTCGGCTTGTCATGCCCAATCGAGCATTGTCGCAGAAGCCGTTGCAATACATGACGACCCGAGTCAGAATGCCGTTCAGGTTTCACATGTTTTGTTTGTTGTACCAAGTGCGACTGCCAGCCTCACTGGGTAACGGCGCGCAAAGGGGTCTCATCCCCGTCCGTCAGGTCCGAACGCCCTTGAAATTATTCCCATATTTTTATTTATTCTGCCCTGCTTTGTTTTATTATCCGACCTTCCGTCCCACCAACTTCCTTGTTTGCCTTTCTCCAAAAACCCGGATTCTTGAGGGGGAAAACATCAGATTTCCAAGGCCCAGGGTTGCACCCGGGCTGGGGACCACCCCCCTCTCCGTTTGTAACGGTTGCTTGCCTTGCCTTGCCTTTTGTACACTGACACGGCGGGTTCCCACGTTGTTGGGCACAAACGGCGGCAATGCGGATTGGGACCAACATGTATAGCGCATAGCTTAAGACACAATACCTTTCGTCCCAAATCATCGTGGTCCCCATTTTCCAAAGTTAGAAAAGGGTCAGATTTCCGACAAAGGACTAGTCATGTCATCGGGTCATCACGTTGTGATCTGCGGTCCCCTTTATGCCTCCCTCCGCAAAGGCAACATCCTGGTCCGTTCGCTTACACTGCGCGACTGTTTGCGCGACGACCATATTTACGACCGCGTGCTCCCTCAAGCCGGACGAGCCTCCGTTGGGCAGAATTGAACTTTAGGACGAACCTCAGATGAGATACGATATCTGGGTGTTCAGCGGCTTCTAAAACCTCTTTACGACCACGGCGGTTGCCATTTGACCTCTCTTCTCACGAACTCGTCAACACTCCTGAACTTGCCCAGACAACAAAAATCACAATGTCCACCTGTACGATGGTGCTCACCGAGCCCTTGACGGGGCTCATATCTTCACCAACCATCTATCTCGACGACAAGGGTGACTTGCGTCTTGTCGTTGGGGCTGAGATTGACGAGACTCCCCAAGACTTCGTCGTGTGCTCAAGGGCACTCGGACGCAGCTCCCCAGTGCTGAAGACAATGTTGTTTGGTGGGTTTGCAGAGTCTCGCCCTGCGGAAAACGGTGGGGAGTGGAGTGTCAACTTGCCCGAAGATGCAACAGAGGCGATGGAAATCGTCTTGAACATCGTCCATGGCCGCTTCAACCTTGTTCCCGAGAAGCTCACCTTGATGCGACTCTACGACGTTCTCACAATCACTGAGAAATACGACATGACGGTGATCACGCGACCTTGGGCACGCTCGTGGATGCAAGGTGTGAAGCACCAGAAAGACAACGCGCATCTGCTGTGCGTTGCTTGGGAGCTTGGCGATATGGAGACCTTCGAGGAGATGTACAAGAAGATCACCTTTGAGTCCGGCATCGACTTGAAGGGACGACACGTCTTTGGGCACTCTGGCCGAGTCTGGAAGGCAGGACCGGAAGGTTACAACTTTCCTCTCGAGAGGATTGTATACCTACGGCCGCCTGGAGTCTTTGGTATGTCGTCCTCACGCTGCGAAGCATGATGACAATGGCTAACCTAGAGTCATGCAGAGAGCATCGAGAAACACCGCCAGACGCTGGTTTCGGCCAACCTGGAACGGTTCGTCATCCTTTACAGATGCCTCAAGGAAGGCTGCCGGTACATGAAGGGATACTACCACAGCTCTCCAGATGCTGAAGAGTGTAACAGCATGCTCTTGGGCTCTCTGGTGAGATGTCTGGCAAAGGGCAAGGTAGACATCACGATGCCTAGCCCGTGCGAGTCGTACAGGGGAAGCGTGGAAGCGCTGGAAAAGGCGACGGCCGCTGTGAAGCTGTTGACGGTGCACCGTCCCTCTCCAGCAAACCAGTGTCTGAAGAGGATAGAGGAGGAACTTGCAAAGGGCGCAATGGCTGCGACTGTCACGAAATCGGAGTTGGTGGTTCTTGAGCCGGAGCAGCGGGAACATCTTCAAAAACAGGCTCACAAGACTGGAGCTGTCATGGCTGGGTAGAGTTCAGGGTGTTCGGCATCGGCATCGGAAAATTTGGTTTCGCTCATTGGGTTTTGGGGTGCATCTGGAGTTTGGCAATAAAGGCATCTGGGAATATGGCACGGCGCAATCCATGGACGTTAGATTGACAAGGTGGTTCGATTAATGGTTCGAGTAAGAATAATCAGACGGAGAGATCAGTCAAAGCCAATCGTGAGTGTGGGTGACGAAACTTGTTTCAACACGATCAGATTAGACATCCTATGAGCACATGCGATGACGTCTGTGTGGCGGCCTTGCATGTCTCTCGAGGCTCCAAGCATCTCGTCCTTGAATATCTCACATCAAAGCGCATGAGATCTGAACGACACAATCAAGATCCGAGAACCAGATGAAAGCAAAATACATGGATACAGAACGCTACGTAGCTACCAAAAACTCTTTTTATCCCAAATCCATTAATCGTGTTATCCCAGCCTCAAAAAGTCTATCTTCCTCATTGAAGCCAACGAGGCGAAGATCTTCACTGTTCAGTTGAATCCCAAGTTGCCAATGGTGACTGACTTGATGTTCTGGTATTCGGCCAGTCCGTACTTCGAGCCTTCTCTGCCCAATCCGCTCTCCTTCACGCCACCGAAGGGAGCCTCAGCGGCAGAGATGAGACCGGTGTTGACTCCCAGCATACCACACTCGAGCCTCCTGGCCACGCGCATCACGCGAGAGATGTCTTTGCTGAAGAAGTACCCGGCAAGGCCGTATTCCGTAGCATTGGCCAGCTCAACAGCCTCAGCCTCCGTCTTGAAGGAGAAGATGGCGGCCAGGGGGCCGAAAGTCTCGTCGTGCGCGACCTCCATCTCGGTCGTGACGCCGCTGATCACGGTAGGTTCGTAGAAGTAGCCCTTGAGGCCTTCCGGGGCTTTGCCACCTGTGTGGAGTTTCGCACCCTTCTTCAGCGCATCTTGGACATGTGCATCGACCTTCTTGACCGCGGCGGCATTGACGAGGGGACCTTGGGTGACTCCGTCGTCGATGCCGCGACCGAGCTTGTACTGCTTGACGCGAGCAACAAGCTTCTCGATGAACTCTTCCTGAACCTTTTCGTGAACAAGTAGTCTGTTGGCGCACTAAAGATAGCGTGAGCATATCAGTCTCCGAAGTGACAGGGAAAACTTACCACACATGTCTGGCCTGAACAACGGAACTTGCAAATGAGAGCACCCTCCACGGCCTGGTCGATGTCGGCATCGTCAAATACGATAAAGGGAGCATTACCGCCCAGCTCCATGCTGACACGCTTCATAGTGCCCGCCGCAGCCTTGGTCAACATCTTGCCGACTCCTGTGGAGCCCGTGAAGCTGAGCTTCTTCACAATAGGGTTGTTTGCCAACTCCATGGAAGCCTCTCTATCCTTGGTGGGCACCACGTGAATGCAGTCCGAAGGGATTCCCGCAGCCAGTGCCAGTTTCGCAAGCGCAAGGGCGCTGAAGGGGGTTTCGCTTGGCGGCTTGATGATGACTGAGCATCCTGCAGCGAACGCCGGTGCGATCTTGCGGGTGATCATGGCGGCTGGGAAGTTCCAGGGGGTGATGATGCCGCAGACACCAACGGGCTCCTTGAATGTCAAGACCGTAGTGTTGGCGTATGATGAAGGAATGGTATCGCCGTATGAGCGAGTCGCCTCCTCGGCAAACCATGAGATGAAGGATGCCGCGTAGATCACCTCTCCTCTAGCCTCAGCGTAGGTCTTTCCATTCTCTAGCGAAAGAATTAAAGCCACTGGAACGAAGTTAGCGAAATCTGCTGTGTGGCCGTTGAACTATCTCAAGACGTCACTCACGGTCATCGGCGTTAGCAATTACCAGGTCATACCACTTGCGCAGCAGAGCGCCTCGCTCTTTTGCTGTGGTTGACTCGTGGAACTTGGCGGTTCCAGCCTTGGCACTCTCAATGGCGTCGATGAAATCCTGTTGACCAAGGTTGGCAATATCTTGGAGAACTGTCGCGCTGGAAGGCTCGTAAACTGGGAAGGTTTTGCCATCCTGACCGTTCTTCCAGTTGCCAGCAACAAGACCGGTGGATATCAGCAAGGACTTGTCCTGGAGTTTGGCAAAAACGTCGGCCATCTTGTCTGTGTAAGAGTTGGAGAATTGGTTGAGTGGGTAAGGACTTATTGCGACTTGCAAGAAACAATCAAAACCCAGCCCTGCGGGGAGTTGGATGCGGCAACCTTCTGTTTAATATTCACCACCGGTGCGGCTTTTACCTGCAGGTGGATGTCTTGCATACTGTCGTGGATCACACGATTTTTGCAGAGACCTCAGCCGAGCGCCGGGGAAATGCGGGGGTTCCATCACCGGCAACCGGGTCGTCCGGATCGTGAAACTCCTCTGCCCCGAGTTGACATCTAGCGGAACGTAATAAATAAGGCGACAACCCGCTCAAAGGGGAAAGAAATCAGGACACATTCTGATCCATCACAGAACCCCACGGACCGAGCCGATCTCCCAGCTTGTTGGTCAAGTCTGATTGGCCGCTACCGGACAGCGATGCAACCGCCAGGTCGGGGAGAAAAGGGATACAAGAAATGATTGGTAGGTGTTCCCGCATTCTGCATAGCTTCCTCGCCAGCTTGCGGTAATTTTGAGGAGATTTGCCGGCCCGGCTGCGAAGAAATACCCGGCCCGGTCTGTAAAGTGGAGTACCCGGACCGGCCCCACCCGGGAATCGGCCGGCACTCCAGCCACCTGGATGGTCTGGACCGCGGCAACCGTTTTTTAGCCACCTCGCACTGATGCAAGTGTATATGTCGACATAGCTCCCCTGCAACAAGACTTCTGATTTATTTCAGTCAATAGAACCGTTTTGATCTTGGCGTCACTGAGATGCAGTTCGAATCTGGTGCTCCGTGTTGCGGATCGAGGGTCTCAGTGGTACGATGAACCGCAAAGGAACAGAGTACTTTCAATCACAATAGTCTTCGAATCAAATTGAGACTCATTCTAAAAGGATTCTTCATGGCGCGAAACCTGAGAAGCCAGTCAACATGGAATGACAAGCTTCCCGACAACTTTGAACAAATTCATGCTCAAGGCTCGATGAGGTCAGTGTAAACGTCAATAGAGCGCTATAATTCTATTCTTCTTTTCTATAGGTCCAAAAACTCCAAATACTGTCCAGGATTCCCTATGCGATAGGTCCGCCAGCCTCTGGGATGCCGCACTGAAGATTACCATGGTTAGTGACGGAGCCATCACATCGAGTTAGATCAACTTACGTAGTAGACCACCAAGCTGCCTCCGTTAAATATCGTCTCAAGCGAAACCTCCTCGTTCTCAGCTGGCGCGACAGTTACGTCATTGCGCGTGTTCCAGAGAATCTGCGCAACGGAAGCTGGCTGCCCAGTTCCGGGAGTTACTGTAGCGTTGGCCCAGGCGCCAGGATCTCCTGCTGTCGCTGCGGCAAACACCTCAACACCGACCTGCTGTGGCGGGTAGGGTGAGCCGTATCCGGCTGCTCCGGCGACCTTGATGATCAGCCTGCCGTCGAAAGGTGACGAGATCTTGAAGTCGGTGATGTTGGCGGATGGCGAGGATTGGCCGGCTGCGCCCTCAAGGACAGCTTCTAAGGGGGTGGACCCATCACAGCCTGAGCTCATGTTAGACGGGTACCTGATTGAAATGCATTGAGCGATATCATATGGAATATCAGTTTAATTCTACTCACGGGAGAAGTCGGCACGAACGCCCCAAGAACCTTCTGCCACGGCAGCATAAGCGCCACCAGCAGCGATAAGAGAAGTCAGGAAAATAGAGGCGATCATTCTGAGGTGTTGAATATTGGTATCTGGCAAGCCCTGATAATGTGTGATTCAAAATAAAGAGAGTTCTTCATGTACTCTCGGAGGATTATGTAGCTATCTGGCGATCGCGGGATGTAAATCCCGATTTCCCCTGCCAAGATAGCAATATCAAAGAGTTGTCCGCTAATTTAGAATAAACTTTCACGTTTGTCATGCGCTTGTGTGGGTACACCTGAAGATCGCCGGTTATTTTCTCGTATGTAATCTATTCTGAGTTGGCCAAGGCCTTCCAACCGATCACGAGTCAGACACAAATTCCTCGCTGTTCATCAAGATAGGGACTTACAGCGCCTGTATTTGGGATCCTAGGTCACTGATTTGACCTCATCAGCACAGTCTCTTACACCACGAGAACACATTTATCATCACATCCGGCTGGTCAATTTTTAATTCAATGGGCAGAAGGGCAATTCAGACTTTGCAAAGAGATACAATACCTCCACTGCCAGCAAGATCACTGGTACTGGGAGAGCGGTATCAAATCCTGGTGAACCAGTAATCAACGATATCCAATACCGCATCTGGTACGCCGCAGATCCAATCCTCAAAGGAAGAGAACACAGCTTCACCTAAAGAGCCGTAATTTACGTATATCTCTCTGTTTCAACCTAGCGCTCCTCTGAAGGTTCCTCTCGAGTTGTGGGTCTGAAGCAAATTAAACATTCAGAATAATCTAGCAGTTGCAATGTTCCAAGAGTCTTCATGGTCAGAAAGATGGAATGTAGTATGACGCTACGCTGGATTTCGTCCCAATCAACTGCCTCGTTGGCGAACAAGGACGTTTTACTTAAGCCATACATAACGATGAATACTGTGATGTGTTGCTATCTGATCCTCAATAACTCTAAGAGTAATAATAAATAGAATCATTCTTTGCGCCCTGTTATCTCAACAGTTTGACGATCTAGAAACCTTTCCAGAACGGGTTTTGTTAAGCTATGTTTCAAGCCTGTATGTTCCTTGCCTAGACTGCTAAAGAAACTCAGATCCTGAAGGGCCTCCTTTGCTCTAGAATACTCCGAACGCCTCAGATTTCCAAGTGTCTTCACCTGCGACTAACCCTCGTTGTGCCACTGCTCAAATGACTTCCCTCGCCGTATCGAGATGCGGTCCTCGACGACTGAACTCTCGTTGTGCTTCTGCTCAAGCGATTTCCCTCGCTGTATTGGGGTGCGGTCCTTGACGACTGAACGCTCTTTGTGCTCCTGCTCAAGTGACTTCCCTCGTTGTATTTGGGTGCCGACCTGACAGTCTGAGCGCTCTTTGTGCCTCTGCTCAAGTAACTTCCCTCGCTGTATTTGGGTGCTGTTCTTGATGTCTTACAGCTGGTGCGACTATGGCCAGCTGAAGAGATACTGTCCTGCGGACGAATAGTCGACGCCACATGCGGCTTCGGGGCTGATGTTTGAGGGTATAATGACGATCTCGAAATTAAGGGAAGCTGACGGTGGAAGCCAAGCGATACCATACAACCGCAAGTCGGATTTCCTTGCCAAGAACCCTCGTGGACCGCGCATTTAATGAAAGGTCCACTGATGTTTGCAGCAGCCGTATCCGGTGACAGGTATTGACCGTGGCCGCGGTTCGACTGATGGGGTGGCATATTAGTGACGGAGCTCGCCCATATGGCTGTCCGGCCATCGGAGTCGCTGAACGCGGGTCTGTTGACGTGTCTGAAAGTCTCTTCGGGGCCTCCAGCTTCCAGGTCGTACATGTATTTGCTAGGTTCGTCTTCGTACCACGACCCTGGGATGTTCATTGACTTGTCCGTCTTCAGAGCTCCGTAGGTATCAACTTGCGTCGGAGGTCCGTCCATTGACTGTGGATAGTATGCCTGAGAGGTCACAGACGGAAGTACGCCTGTAGACTGAGGGTAGTATCCTTGAGAAGTTTCAGGCGAATCCAGGTAAAAGACCTGGTACGAAGGGCGCGTAGGGCGATCGTCGAGACCAGCCATGCCCCAGACATCGTCAATACGACGGACGAGGCGCATGTACCATGCCATGAAACCCATATTGATGATTTGTCTGAGATATGGACGTCGATGCCTTTTGTTGGATACGGTTATGGAATAGGTGTGATGAGTGGAGCTGAGATTCCTCTGGGTAAAGACATATTCAAGAAACATCAGCAGAGAAATCAGGAGACGGACGCGTTTATATACCAGTTAGACGATGTTACCGGAGATACCTTTCCCATCCATAGCTGTGTCCAACCCGTGTAGTTACGGTGGCAAAGGTCCATCTATATCAGGCAGCTGTATGGTGCTTCCGACTTTCAACTCGGGGGTAGGCATCTTACGATGTATTTTGATGTCTGGAACCCAGCGAGGCCTGCATCATTGAAGTTATTGGAAGGCATCGTGGAAATGGGTTGTCATATTTAGTAGAAGATATGATGACACAGCCTGTCGTATTCTCATCGAAATTTTCCGTTTCTTCTGTTTGTTTTCATCAAAAGCCTTCATGACACCTGGGCTGCAATCTTGTCAGGAGCTTTTCTGTATCTGAACCACGGTAGCCGTTAAATTTAAACGGTGTCCCAACCGCGCCCAACCCTGATAGGTTGCCGTTCATGGTACCTGGTAACCTTCTTTTCGAAAACATTGAGTGCAACGGCGCCATTCAAGTCTACTCTTACAGCTTGGCACCGCTTTCACGTTTAACCAAGGCCCTCAAGTCCTTTCGCAGAATCTTGCCCGACGGACTCTTTGGAATGGCGTCGATGAAGATGACTCCGCCCCGAAGTTTCTTGTAACTCGCCACCTGTCCGGCCACCCACTTTGCGATCTCTTCTGCGGAAATTTGGCTCTTGTCTGCAACCACGTATGCTCTGTGGCGTATGTTAGCATCGCATTCGCGTAAACACGTTCAGCACGAGCCATCTCACCTTGGTAATTCTGTCCCTTCGCCGTCAACCCCAATCACCGCAGCATCCTGGATCTTCGGGTGGGTGACCAGCAGCGCCTCTAATTCTGCAGGAGCAACCTGGAGACCCTTGTACTTGATGAGCTCCTACGGCAGGTGTTAGTCATGGATCATCAGATTGTGGGCGTCGTGGGCATGAGCTTGCCTTCTTTCGGTCCACAAAGTAGAACTTTCCATCCTTAAAGGAAAGTCTGTCACCCGTGCAAAACCATCCATCGACGAACGCCTCCTTGTTCGCCTTGTCGTTCTTGAAGTAGCCCTTCGTTACGATGGGTCCTCGACACAACATCTCACCCGCTTCTCCGACCTCGACATCCTTGCCTTCCTCGTCCACCAGCCGCGCCTCGCAGTTGGCAACGATCGGAGATACGCTGCCGGTGTCGTCGGTCATATGCCGAGGGAGAATAGTGAACCCTCCTGTTGTCTCGCTGAGACCCCACGTCTGACCGAGCACGCCCTTGCCCTTGCCCATCTTCTTTTGAGCCTCAAGCTGTGTTTCTCTTCCCAGCGCAGCAGCTCCCGTGAGCGCAAACTCAACATTGTCGAACTGATCCGTCACAAGCGGTGACTTGGCGATCATTAGGTAGATGGGTGGCACACTGAAGAAGGTCGTAACCTTGTACTTTCTCATGTAGTCCAGGAACTCTGGAAAGTTGAATTTCTTCATCCAGTAGACGACGCCGCCCATGAACGTTTGGTTCACGATGTACGCTTGCAGGCCAGAGATGTGTGCTGCTGGCAGATGGGCAAGCGTGATGTACTTCATACCCGGTCGCTTCTTATAGTACTCAATAGTAGGTGTCGAGATGAGCATTGTCTGGGCGATGATGTTTGAGTGAGAAATCTTGACGGCTTTCGGTACTCCTGTCGTGCCGCTGCTGTAGATGTAGCAGCCCACGGTCTTTTCCAAAGTTTCCTGGTCCGTGGGACGAGGCCAGTCGAGTTCTTGCTTCGAAAGCGGGACTTCCTTGTCCGTCTTGGCCTCGAAAAGCCTAAACTCGTGTGTATCGCCGATGTACAGAATGCGGTTTTCAGGGAGACCGGCAGCTGTGCCACCGGCAGCTGCAAGGGCCTTGAGGTCGGGGCTGCAAATGATCATCTTGCTCTCGGTAAGGTTGATCTGGCGCGCGACCTCCGGCGGCGACGATGACGGCGTAGACGCGGCGACTGAGCCTCCGGCGCCCATGATGCCGAAGAAGACGGTCGGGGCCATGAAGTGGCCCGTGAAGATAACCTGCACGACATCTCCGTTCTGAATCCCGTATTGATGTCGCAAGGTGTGAGCAAGCTGCTTCAGGGTAGATACCAAACGCGCCTTGGTGATGGACTTGGACGGGTCGGCCGCCTCGGCGTGAAGAACTGTGTCATCATGTAGCCTCTCATTCGGGGAATCTGACGCCGCGGTTAGTTACGCTGATTCGCGCGCTCAGAGTTGAGGCCTGTCCAATGGTAGCACATACCGAACAGGAATGTCAACAAATCGACTTTCGGAAGGTCGATATGGTCTGGTGACCGGTAGATGGTCTGGCCATTGCGCTTCTCAACGATCGTTGTCATTGCTACCGTCGCGACAAGAAAGTGCAGTGCGATATTCTCAGACCGATGTTAAGCAACTCGTTCGTGCCTGCGAAGTTGGTGAGTTGGTCGTTAGGTGGTCGAGGGTCAATGATGAAGGCTAATGCGTGTTTTGATGGAGGTCTAAGAGTGTAAAGGTGGAAATTGTCGGTGTAAGAAAGGTCAATGCACGCGGAATGAAAGGAACTCGCGATATGAAGTATGCTGAGGGGAGAAGTCCCCCCGGTTGAATCGTCGTGTCCGACTCGGTTTCCCCGCATTGCTGTTATCAAGATCGGGGCCGAGTTGTACCTTGCACCTGAGACCTGCGAGGGCCGTGACAAGCCGCCCCCTTGCGTCGACTAAGATCGCGTCTGCCGAGGTCATTCGCGCTTGGTCGAGACGTGTCAGCGGTTACTTGTTGGGGTAACCCCTTCATTAGCGCTGCACTTCACGTCGTCAGAACAGATGGTGGCTGCGGGGGATCTCCAACCCGTTGGGCCCGAGCCTGAGTTGATTGGGAGATGAGAATTGAAGGCCGTTGTTCTTGGTGGATTTGCGGGGGAATCCCGACAGTTTGAGCTGCGACGCTGCCGGACAATGTAACGCTGTGTCTCAATTTGGAGCGTATCTCAAGGCTCAGGACGTTATGGAACATGGGAGGGACTTTTGTTAAATTCGTCTGGCATGTAGAGTGGCCCAAAGGGCGCAGGGCGTATGACGCCCTTTACGATAGTTAAGTGCGAGTAAAGATAAGTGATTGGAAAGGGCATGCGTTGAAGGGTGCATAGCACCCCTTCGACGGCTAAAATAAGATGACTTTGGATTCTCTGGCCCATACTATTTACGCTAGTTGGCGTCACTAAAAGCAACAAATGAAATAGCGGGAGGGGGAGTTTAGAAGAAAGAGAAGGGAGAGAATGACGAAAACCAAACTTCTAACTATTGTCAGTATTCGTACCGGTTCACCTTCGGAGCACCGGGGCTTCTCGGAAATAGGACCCACATTAAACGGAAGCAATTCACGGCGGCCGGCCCGGTTGGGAGCGTCTGTGATGGAAGTCCATTTCTCTTCCGAAGGTTCTCGGTACCTTAAGCCATCCCGTGAAGTGGACCCCATAAAGCTAAAGATGATTCACGCTCTGTCTTGCTTGTAATCTTGATAGCATACATGTCGCACCAAGCATCAGTTGACACCTACTACATCATGAGATGCGTAAAGAGTAATTGCAGTATAGAAAAAGAAGACGCGATAAGTGAGTGAACAGCTCGGCCGATGTCTTGGTAACACTTGTTCCAATCCGTCTTCAGAAGAATCGTCACTTTCCTCAAAAATTGCGACTTCATGCTCGGATTCAAAATGCTTCCGGGGAGTGCCAGGTGGCGCCAGCTGGGCGCAAAAGCTTCACTGGTTCCGGTCGCTGAAGTCTTGCTCAGTGCAAGAATTGAGAATCCGACCATGATTTTCAGTACATGTAGTTTTGATCACTGCATGTTAGTTTTGATTTGTTGCCGAATCCCAGACGGGAAACTGCTGAGTTGATAATTGGGAGTTAACAGGTAGACCAATCATTGTTGAGTATTACGACAATCAAACAGTTGAACTACAAGAAGCTTACACCGTAAGCCATGCTTACAGCATCGGCTTCGTCTTTGCTAGAAGAAGTTCCGTTATCCTTCGAGATGGCGATTGGGAATATGCTTACCCAACACCCAGTTTCCCATAGCCACCGGGGATAGTTTTACCCAAATGGGAACTACATAAACTCCGGCAAGTGAAGCTCTTCACCCCAAACCAGCTAGTTTACCTCCGAGTCGGAACGCCGTCGCACCCGAACCGGCCGCTGTGGAGAGCACCGAGCCACAGGCTTAGAAATCTGGCGCCCCATTTGTCAGTGAGACACCAGTGCCAGTGGTCAAGCAGCGCTGTGTCGCAATGTTTTCCAGTGGCTTGTTGGTTTCCACAGGGGATAGGCATGCTGCCTCTTCGTGGCCGCTGACGCATCACGGAAGCAAAAGCTCAGAGTTGCAATGGCAGTAGTGTCATTTACTTTCCGATTGTCTCGTATTTTGGAAACTCGAAGCTGGGTTTGACATTATAAAGGCACCATGTCTTCCCTTGCAGAAAATCATCTTGTTCTCATCATCACAACACATCAACACTGCAATTGTTATACTTCAGCCTCTAAAGCTTAGCATTCCACGACTACCTGAAACCGGACTTTGGTGTACTTAAAAGAGAGCCCGATATCATCTCTGCCATCACAACATCAACATCACCACCAATATCTCTATTCAACCTTTATATTTTATAAAATGTCTGGACAACAGGGACGCAAGATCGCCATTGTCGGCGCCAGCGGCAACGTCGGTGGCCTGACCCTCAAGGCTCTTCTCGAGAAGGGCATCCACACTATCACCGCCGTTTCCCGCTCCGAATCCTCCGCCACCTTCCCCGAGGGCGTTATCGTCAAGAAGGGCAGCTACGAGGATGAAGACTTCCTCGTCTCTACATACAAGGGCCAGGACGTCGTCCTTCTCGCCCTCGGTTTCGACAGCTACGCAACCGGCCAGGACGTTCACATCCGCGCCGCCGCCAAGGCCGGCGTGAAGTGGATCCTGCCCACGGAGTTCGGCTCCGCCCCCGACCCGTCAAAGCTGCTCGAGTCCAGCCCCATCCTCCAGGGCAAGATCCAGATCCGCAAGAAGATCGAGGAGGCCGGCGCCAGCTGGATCGCTATCGTTAACAACCCCTGGTTCGACTGGTCCATGGGCGGCGGCTTCTGGGGCATCGACATCAAGAACCGCACCGCCAAGTTGTTCGACGGCGGCAAGACCAAGTTCATCACCACCAACCTGGCCACCACGGGCAAGGGAACCGCCGGTGTCCTGAGCCTCCCCGACGCCGAGTTGGAGAAGTACCGCAACAAGCCCTTCTACCTTAAGTCTTTCTACATCAGCCAGCGCGACATGCTTGACAGCATCCAGCGCGTCACCGGCACCACCGATAAGGACTGGAAGATCGAGGAGCCCGATGCCGCGGCCGTCGTTGCCAAGGCCGAGGAGGATGCTAAGAAGGGTGACCATTTCGCCGGCCTTATTGCATTCTACGTCAACCACATGCGTGCTGGTTTCGGCGGTGATTACAACGACAAGGTCACGGATCTGAGCAAGATCGGTCTTGAGGAGGAAAACCTCGACGAGACTGTGAAGAGGGTTGTGAAGGAGATTGGCGCTCAGTAGTCTGTTCTAGATCCATTATAACATTATAGCCAAACAGCAATTCTATTTCTCATCTTCCACATTTTCGCCACCGTCCGTTGAATGTTCACGGCTTCAAGAAGTCAAATTCTCGTGGTAATGATACTCACAACTGGTTTATATATCATTTGCTATTAATTTCCGGAGACTCTCATAGAGTTTCAATGCACTCAACGTCCAATCGAACACCCATCGCGCGAGGCCAAACAAAACCCAGAAGTGGCGAATCAACATCATCTGCCGTGACCTATCGCAGGCAGAAGTTGCTCGGCCATCATAAACCCCATCGGAGCACCCATCTCCATATCATTCGGGAAGGAGTTACGCCGCAGTTCTTTAGAGAATTCGCGACCCAGAAAGCAACCACAACAGCAAGCCATGCCGCGCATCATCCAGTCAGTCACACGAGATAGCCCTTTGAACATTTGGCCTAATGGTGTTCCTACACCACGTCTCATTCTGGCATACTCTTCGTTGGTCACAACGATTCTGTTCGGAATCATTACTTCCCAGCGACCGAATATGTCCTCGACAGCACCGTGACCGCCGTCGTCGACGGGGATTCGTATCACTGCCACAATACCCGTGATGGCGCGCGCGAGGAAGGTGAGAGTTCCGTAGACAGCACCGGCTGAGCAAGCTGCGCTGTAGTTGCTTATAGGCATACCTGAAGACCCCGTGTCAGTCGCCGTTGAAGTTGCAAGAGTCATGTGGTACTCACCTTGGTTCGTAGCCATGCGCGCAAATACGTATCCCCCAAGCGCGTTGAAGGGAATGAGAAATATCGCCCAGAGCTGGAGCTATACGTCAGAACGTGTTTTCTCCCTTGTAATTCTCGTGATTATTGAAGATGATCTGCTGCAACAACTTACCCAGCGAAAATAGTCGACTTCTCCATCAGCATCTGGCTTGGGCTTAATGTCACGAACCGTCTCGAAAAACAGCGGCACGGCTGCAACGACAGCTGCAACAACGAATTCTTTCGGGGCTGCCATTCTCTTAGTATTCCAATTCTCGCCACCAGGCGGTGGATCAAAAGGAGGCAGTGCTTACTCTCTCCAAGCACGATGTTGCCTACCTCTGTTGCGAGAAGAGGGCAGATGCCGAACGATGATGTGATCAAGAATAGCAACATGCCGAACACCATGTTGACGTGGTTCATGAGGACGATCTCTCGAAAGGTCAGCGTGGCAGCTTTCGTCAGTCCTGCCAGCGCGCCCATCTGTATGGCCAATGTTGACGGTGTTACTCCGTTCAGCTGAGCGCCGACTCTCACAGCGGCGGCACCGGCACCGGCATTGATGGCCAGATCAAGTATGGCAAGAATCCCAAACCCCCAAACTAACGGAAATGAGTGGAAAGTTTCCCCTTATGAGATCAAATGGGAAGACTTACTGGCTCGCCATGGAGCAGTGTTTGTGATGATGGGTGGCGGTTGCACTTCAACGTGACCAGGCGGAATCGCTCCAACGTTGTTCGGAGTCGGATCTTCCATGACAAATGATTTGGGTCTGTGAAAGAAGAATGAAAATATCTGATTATATTTGTCGATTCGGCATGAAAGTTAAAGCCTCCTGATCATGTCGACTCCACAGCAGCCGTGAAGCGTCCCGACGTGAAGGCCGTTGGAGTTACTTACATATTTGCATGCGACTCACCAAATCCACCATAAACCAGGAGCGCACATCCTCCAGTACCGTACCGCACAGAATGGGATGCATGACACTATTTCCAGCTAGTCGGGTCTCAGCTGAGGGGTGCCCAACGTGTGCTGCGACGCTTCAATGCCAAGACAGGGGTGGTTTTCAGCTTCATGGTGACAGGCACGTCGATTGGTTACGCCCCCAGTGTCTTATTGCTTTTCCACAGATATCAAGCCTCCGCACTCGCATAGATTGGATGCTAGACCCCCTCCAAGTGGAAAAACGCCTAAAGCTTGTTCGGACTAGCAAGGGCAACAGCGCATAGATGTCCTCTTCGGTGTGTCTCGACATGCTGGGTGAGGCAACCGGCGGCTCCGTTTCTCGAATGAGGACTCGCCATTCGCCTCGTAATAAGGAATTTTCTGGATGCCCTGTGACTAGTCATAAACGTGGCTGAAACTAATGAAAAGAGAGTCATGTCTTCGCGCAGGCACCCTCGGTTGCCTTCTGATCTATCAGGTGAGGCTGAATGAGTACTCGTGAAGCTTGAATTCGCCCGGCTGCGTTATCACATCATGAGTGACCACTATCGACGGTTAATGGAATGCACTCACAAAGCTTCATTTTCAAAGCTGTAGATATCGCATGATATGCAAATTGTCAATCCCCTCATCGTCTCAACCTGAGAACACAGAACATGGCGGCAAGCAACGAGACCATACCAGTTTGTGAGATCGAGGCGAACCCCGACGTTACAGGGACAGGAGTGCGTCAAGTTCCCGATCCACAATCTGTCAGTGCTAACGACAACGCAGATCCGGGCTTCCATCTACACACTCTGCTTGGCCTCCGGTATTCTGAAAACCATGATCAAGCTCATCACCTCCGACAAGAACTACTCTGAGTTTTGCCAGTCCATCAACTCAGCGTTGCAACTCCAAGGCCTCGCCCTACTCTGCACCGCTATTGTCCAGACCTTCCAAGGACAGCTGACGCTGTTCCACGCGATCTGCGTGCTCCATCTCCTCTCGCTACTAGGCTTCGGCCTCGTCGCGCAGAGGAAATATGCAGGCGGCGGCCTTATCCGCTGGCTCGTCCTGGCGATGTTCCGAGTCATCATCGCGTGCGCGTTCACCGCGCTCACGGCTTACATCTGGGTCACCGCACCGACCTTCGGGAGCCAGCCCGCCTGCAATGCGACGACCGTTTATGTCGTCTTCGGAGTCAGCATCAACGCCACCAGCGACGTGTTCCGATATGTCATTCTGGCTTTGATGGCGACCATGGTATTGGGCTGGGTGATGAGCATGGTCTTTTCTGTCATCATTGCACAATGTTGCTGCGGCGGGGTGAGGTCCGGGGTGAGGTGGGCGAGGGAAGCCAATCCGGACATCCAGACGTGGAAACGGTTCTGGGGCCAGATCGATGTGTCGGACGCGAGATACAAGCAGAATGCCATTTCGCAAAATGTGGTACAGCTGTTCATTCACACGGGCATCAATGTGTACATGATTGTCACGTTGGAGCAGATTGTTGGTCGAAATCACCTATCGGAAGAGGAGAAGGAGTGGACTTTTGGACAGGTTCTTGCGATCTTCGTGTTGCTCGGGGTTGTTGTCGAAGTCATCAACATCCTGCTCCCCAAGCTAGACGTTGGCGATGAACAACCATCTGTACATGAGGGAGTGGACATGCAACGGGGAGAACATCCTGGCGATAGAAGGCTCTTGGGAGATGGGAACTCAAACTGATAGCCCATGTACCCTATCTCTTGTTGTTACATAAATGGTCAGCTAGTTGTACACGCATTTTGAACTTGTAAATGGTCAACCCAATTCACTGAAGAGCGGAACAGAAAATTGGCTTAAAAGTGTTTGAATTGAACTATCACCGAGACTCCGAACCTGAAACTATCGGTATCACGCCATGACATTGACTCATAAACAGGATATCTTATACAGACAAAGCTATACTTTGGAAACTACCAGACCACCCCCATCGTCGACTCCATCCCGCCTCTCAAATTTCACCCTGAAAGCTGTTTAGACAACCGCTTAGTTGCTGGCAGTACCGTTGGAGCTGCCGGCCGAGCCTCCAACGAGCTTGCTGTTGAAAGCATCAGCAGCAGCCTGGTCCTGAGTGGCAGCAGTGGCGGCAGTCTCGGCCGCCTTGCAGCTGTCGATGGTCGCCTGAGGAGCCTTGCAGCTGTCCTGGAGGCGCTGGCAGATGAAACCGGCAATGATGCCAATCTTCTGAGCGGATCCGTGGTTGAAGTCCTGCTGGTTGTTGGCGATAAAAGCAGCGGAGTTGCGGTCGGCCAGCTTGTCGGAGAAGACGATGGTAGGGTCACTGCAGGAGCCGAAGTCGGTCGCCTGGCGCTTGAAGAAACGCTTGCGGAGGCTCGCCTGGGCGCGGCACTTGGAGTTCTGCTCGTCACACTGGGCGACGCCGCCGGTGAGCTGGCCGCTGTTGGCGGCGTTGGCGCACTTGTTGTGCTGGACGTCGCAGGAGCGGCCGAGAGCGGCGCCCTTGCCGACGAAGGTGTCGCCGTTGACGGAGAAGGGGCGGTTGCCGGTGCCCTGGATGACCGGGGGAGGAGCACCGCCGAGAGAGCCGGTGAAGGTCTGGACGTTGGTTCCGCTGCTGCCGGCGTCGGCGTTGCCGCCGTTGTTGTTGCCGGTGTTACCGCTGTTGTTGCCGCCGGCGTTACCGGTGGAGTTGTTGGCCGCGGCGTTGTTGGTCGAGCGGGCGGCGCAAGCGGCCGAGTTCTTGTTCTTGTTGGAAGCGTTGTTGTTCTTGTTGTTGTTGCTGCTGTTTCCAGTACCAGCGGTAGAGTTGCTGGCTCCAGAGGCGGCCCCAGAAGCGGCTCCGGAGGCAGTGCCGCCACCAGCAACAGGGAGACCATTGATGTTGATGTGAGTGGCCTTCAGCTCGCCAGTACCGCCAGTGATGGTGGACTTGATGCCGGCAACAGCAGCCGTGATCTCATCGGGAGTGGCGTCAAGAACAAGCTTCTTCTGGGTGAAGATGCAACCGGTGGGGTCGTTGTCCTCGTCGCAAGCGTTGCCCTTGAAAGTGGTGTCGGCCTTGTCTCCAGGGGCGAAGGTGCCGCTCTCAAGAGCAAGCATGGGGTCGCCGCCGACGGAAGCCAGCTGCTTGGCTAGCTCAAGAGTGACGGCCTTGTTGTCGGCCGCCGCGTTATCGGTGGCAGGGTCCTGGTGAGACTTGATGGCGGCGATCTCGGGGTTCACGGCCTTGTCGGTGCAAGCCGCGCTGGCCACACCAACACCGGCAGTGTTTCGCTCGAGAGCGGCGTAGACGAGCGCGCCGGACATGCCACGGATGTCCTTGGCCGCCTTGGCGTTGGTGAAGGCCTGGTCGGCCGTCTCCTGGTGCAAGCAGGCGAGGTTGGTGACCTGGCCTGCACCGGCCTTGGCCGCACCGTCACCGAGGAGACCGAAGACGGGATCGGCAATGGCCTTCGGGTTCTCCTTGTTGAGGAACTCGCGGGTGATGTTCAAGAAGATCTCGTGAGAGTGCTCCTGGGGAACCTCACGCTTGGCCATGCGGCGGACATGGTGGTGGCGGTGGTAGGTACCGGCCTCGGCGAGAGCCAGGAGGGAAGAAGCGGCGACAGCGACAGCTTGGTACTTCATCTTGACCGAGATTGATAATGATTATCGACGTCGAATGTGGTTCGAACAGAAAAGACCGGCCTTCTGCCTAAAAGTTAATCGACTGAAGTAGTATCGAAAAAAAGTCGTTAAAGAATATGGTAAAAACGTTAAGGATGCGATCAAAGGCGATGCAAAGAATGGAATGAGTTCGCAGAACTCGAGGTGAAGGAATGAAACGAAACGGCGAAGAGAATGTCGTACGAAGATGAGAAGCTATAGCCAAGAGGAATAGATCTGGTGCCGAGAGGAAGATCAGCCAGCCTTATAAAGAAAAGATTGGATGGAAAAGACGATCATAGAACATCCCTGGTACATCAGTGGAATTCAGACGGTCGAGAGCATGAGCCGCATCCTTGGCCAGCATAGGCCGGCAAAGCGGAGGGATGAGACTCAAGGAGTTCAGCCAAATGGAGCCCCCCGGGGAGGAGGCCGAAGGGTTTGATGCGAGACGAGACGAAGAAGACCGGTTAGGACGGCCATGAGAAGATTGCCAGGTACAGGAAACTGTTGGGCCCGAAGCCATGGTCTGGCATGTGCCGGGGAGGCTGACCTGGGGTGCAGGGGAGATGACTGACAACAGAGACACGATAAACGTCAGTGTCATCGCCATGTCAGCCACGGATGAGGCAGGTAAGTGGATATTGTGAAGCCGTCATGGTGTCAACCGGACTCAAAACCAACAGCAAAACGCGCTGTTGTTGCCGCTGCCCACACGTCCTGCGCGTGTTTTGGTGAGTTGACCGCCATCACGAACAAGGGTCGCGATACGATATGGGCAGAGTTTTCGGGTAGCGATGCGACGAATGGAGACGCAAACTGCGCAGCGGCAAAGAGTTCAGACTCAAGACAGCGATGTGTACGGCAAGATGAGGCGGAAGATCAGACAGAATCAGCCGCAGAATGTCATGGAGCGAGTTTCGACCGGGGTATGGGCGGTAATGTTTTGAGTGCCCTCGCTTTGCCCCCATGCGTCACATCGGTCGGCCCAAAAGCCCCCCGCCCCCCACGACAAAATGCTTGATTCTTCACAACACCCAATGAACGCGCCCCGTGAATTCCGGATTGCGAACTCCCCGGCGTTGGATGGTGGGTAAGGGGTCACTTTTGCAATCTGCTTAAGGCTTAGTGTAGGGGTCTCTCCGCTGCTGAAGATACCGCGTGCCGTGTATTTGGAGGCGAGAAACACCTCCGAGTTGGCTATTTTGCTACGATTTGCCTGGCCGGCGGTAAGGTGGCGGCTTACAAACCTGAAATGAAGACATCTAGGCCCTCAGGAACAAGGACCGGGACGCCCATTTCGGCATCTCGCACCGAGCAAGATCTGTGGCCCAACAAGCCTTCTGCCGCTTTTCGCAGTTGGACCCGGGAACCAAATATTGAAGATGAACGGTTAATCTATCTCAACCGAGATAATAATGGGACAGCGAGGCTTGTTGGACTAGCGCTTGAGCTTATTGACCTTATTAACTGGGAAGCAATCACGGAAGTTCTCCACCTCAGCACTGTCATCCGGGCTGGTCTCATCAATTGCAAAGTGGAAGTCAAAATGCTTCCTTTTGAGTTGACAGAACACCCTCTTCTTTCGAAATCCTTCTTCTTTTGGAAGATTTCAACGTCATGACATCCATCCCGCCAGTCAGCCCAGAACTCTGCTGGAATCTGCCGACGACACGGTTGACCAGGCTCATGGGGCATTCCAAGTGGGCCATCCTGCCGTTGACCACCACAAGATCTGGTGTTTCAGACGATCGCAGACTTCAGACGCATCAGTGCCAAGGGGGAAATTCTCAGACGCTATCACCATGCGGTCTTAGCCACCCTCGTGCGTCATGTGTGAGTGGCAGGCCGGTCATCCCAGCCATGCGTCCACCCGGGCGGGGTTGATTCACTTATTGACAGGCAGTCGTTCCCTTGAGATTTTCTTCTCTCGTGGTATGATTTTCCTCGCGCCTTCGGAGTTCGGCTTGGGACGATTTATGATATGACTCGAGCTTTCCCGTGCAGTGCTTTCCTGTTCGATCAGACGACCGGGCGACCGGACGATTTTGCGTCTGAACCGGCCTATTATCATGGGAGAGATCATCTATTTTAACCCTTATGAGAGCTCTGTTAATCATGTCGACCGAACCTTCAGTTCGCTTGATGTTATGAGATGAGCGGCAGTGTGGTTTGGACGGCCCGTACTCCCGATAACGACAAAGCGTCGAGTCCAACAAAGTGAACTCCAGATGCCGAAAGGGATTGCTCGTTTCACTATACCGAGCATCTCATTAAATCCTGAGGCTTTTCTCATCTTTTTATGAGACCAGAGTTTGGGAGCATCTTAATCAACACTTCTGACCGGTGTCATCCGCGATTGTTAGCCAAGATTTATCCTTTCCCCGCCGATTCGGGAATGTGGCCGAACATCAAACAGATCAGACACTAGCAGCGGCAGATCATCGCGAGGTTTACTGGGCACAACAATGCCCTGAGCTCACGGCGTCATGCCCAGACGCCCAGAGTGACCGCATGCGAGACAACGTTATGGCACCCAACTTCATCAGGACATGACTTTACGAACACCCTTGAAAAAGATGTCTGGACAAGACCCAAAACTTTTCTGGCAACACCGACTTCTATTCTTATTTACGGAGTCCTGTCACGGATTGAAAAGTAGCGATTCCTAATTCAACTACATGGGTGTCTCTTTCCTATCCTCTTCTTTTCTTTTCTTTTAGATTCTGCCAGCTGACCCTGATTTCGTTTCAACTTTCAGTTTTCATATGGAAGATATGGGGCATGCAGCCCGGGCATTTGTACCCGTGAAACGATAGACTTCACTGCCAGTATTATTCGGCTCGAAAGGTCAGCACCATAACTAGCTTATCTATGTTCTAACAGAAGTGCGGTTGCAGGGTCTGTAGAAGATGCCTTTTTGGAAAACAAGCCCTGTTGCTGAAGCTATGTTGATATCACGCAGCAGCAGCTCTTATACTTCAGCTCTAGTTGACTCGCTGAATGTATAGCAAAGCACCGTTTTTGACGGAGTATCTAAAAAGATTAGACCTCTCTCCTAATAAGCTTGCGGCAGAGGATCCATCTTAATTGACACAGACACAGCGCTTTTTTTGTGGGTTCAATCGTACAATGGCAGCCTCAGGAGAGTTTGTTCATGTAATTTTGGTTACCTCTTTGCTCCCATCTAATGAGATGGCTGTCCACACGTTCACTTTTGGGGCTATATGATCAAATTTCACTTTAAAGGTGGATGAAATCGAGAAATAGTTCACAATGATACTCCAGTGGTAAGGTCGATTAACAGTCGGTCTGGTTAGGCAACTCTCGAGCCTATTCGATAAAGGCAGTCGAACGACAAATACTTTGTAGCCGACACTAAAATCAACCTCGACCGTTGGTGATAGGAATTGGTCAATGGTGGAAAGCTTCATATGGAGTTGCGACAGATGTTCTTCAACTTCATCCATGATACGTCTCGGGTGACAACGATATAATCTCAATAGGACATTCCTTTTATTGAACAATGAGGCTCTGAAGCTTTGAAAGCTATGGCACAGTTGAGCTTAGGAGATCTGAGAAAAGCGCTCACCTTTTTGATCTCTGTTAATGAAGTATGACCCTTATTTTACTTGCTTGGCAGGGCCTAAACCTCGTAACTTGCTGTCTCGAGAATCCTAGTGGCGTTCTCACTGTGTCTGCGTACAATATTCAGGAGCTTCTCACCCTAGCCTTGGCTGTGTAACCTGATAGTCGTGTAGTGTCTCAGTACGTTATATGATTTGTCCACCTGGCCGACGGTGACGCGGCATGTCTTTCGACACAAGATTTTATCCCCCGCGCCTGTGTTTGCTTATTTCTCAGCCCGCGCCGGCCCTATTGCTTTTCCGTTCCATTGACTTTCTGGCATCTTGCACCCAACGTCGCGCACTTACGAAAAGATATCGTTTCTGCGTGTCTGCGTGTCTGCTCGGAAGCATACAGCGCGACCTTAGATACCGCGACTGCATGCACTTCAAGCAGCTCTTCTTCATTAGATAACACAATATCTTTTTCAAACTATCCTGAAGCTGCCAACTCTAGGCCCAGGCTGCTTTTCGTCAGCTTCCATGTCGGCACCAGAACACCTCGGGATGGAGCCCGCCATCAGTATGGACGATTACACCGTCGGATGGGTGTGCGCGCTTCCCCTCGAAATGGCCGCTGCGAGAGCCATGCTCGACGAGCTTCATCCGAATCCTTCTTTACAGGACCCGGCCGACCACAACTGCTATACGCTAGGCCAGATGCGAGGCCACAACGTGGCAATCGCGTGTCTGCCCGCAGGCGTGTTTGGAACTACATCCGCTGCTACCGTCGCCAAAGATATGCTACGGACCTTTCGATATATACGCTTCGGGTTGATGGTTGGCGTCGGCGGTGGCGTGCCGTCCGAAGAAGACGACATCCGCTTGGGCGACGTGATCGTCAGCAAGCCCACCGGCACTAGTGGAGGCGTTATTCAGTACGACCTGGGCAAGGCTGTGCAGGGAGGCGGCTTCGAACGCGTGGGCACACTCAACACGCCGCCTCAAGTCCTCTTGAACGCGCTGGGCAGTCTCGAAGCCAAGCACATATGCGGAGACAGCCACATACCTCAGTTCCTCTCTGACTTCGTGCGTCGATACCCCAAGATGAGAAGCAGCTTCGGTCATCAAGGCGCCGCCCATGACGTTCTCTTCAGTGCGGAATACGACCATGTCGGATCCGAACCCACGTGCGAACAGTGCGATGACAGGCAGACTGTCCAGCGTGCTAGCAGGGACGACGCAGATCCAGTCGTCCACTACGGGATTATAGGTTCTGGCAATTCAGTTATCAAGGACGGGCGAACGCGTGACCGACTACGCCGCGAGCATAGAGTCCTCTGTTTCGAGATGGAAGCAGCGGGTCTCATGCAGGAATTCCCATGCCTTGTTATCCGCGGCGTTTGCGACTATGCCGACTCGCACAAGAACAAGAAATGGCAGGGATATGCAGCCGCAACGGCGGGGGCTTTTGCGAAAGAGCTTCTCTCTGTCATTTCGCCCGCCAATGTTCTCAAACAGGAGCCTGTCCCGCCCGTGGTCTCTGGTATGTAGCATTCTGCGTCGCCCATCTCAGAGAGCAGGCTTGTGTTCTTCATGTAGATCTCATTCCCGTTTCAACATCTATCGTCTTGTATACCATGTTCCCCCTGCGTGAGTGCGTCCGCCGCTAACTTAGATGGCAGATCCCGTGCTCCATGACCTTGTCGCTACGACGACGGAAGCTATCGCGACACAGACACATTGTCAGAACATACGACACCAAAGCGAAGAGGAGGCTAAATGCCACCAGTCCTTCAAGACCTCTCAATACGAAAAGTTCAAGAACATCAACCCTAATCGGGTCGAAGGGACATGCAAGTGGGTTCTGGAGCATCCTCACTTTCAGCAGTGGCTGGAGAGCCCTAGAGACGACCTGCTTTGGATTTCAGCCGACCCTGGTTGCGGTAAATCAGTGCTAGCGAGGTCTCTTATTGAAAAAGAGCTATCTGCGCAGGCCGTCCATCATCATACAGTGTGCTATTTCTTCTTTAAGGACAATGAGGAACAGGACAGAGTGGCGACTGCACTATGCGCCCTTCTCCACCAGCTTTTTGGGAGCCAACCACACCTTCTGCGCCATGCTCGGGCTGCTTACAAGAAGAATGGAGACAAGCTGCAGAGTGAGGTTGCAGAGTTGTGGCGCATTCTCATAGACGCTTCCAAAGACGACGAGGCGAAGACAGCCGCCTCTAAAGACAATGGGTCGCAGACCATCATCTGCGTCCTCGACGCGCTCGACGAATGTATCAGCAGAGATCGTAAGATGCTGATAGAGCGGCTAACGGACTTCTACATGCATCGCACGTCAATGTCAACCAGGAACATCACGCTCAAGTTTCTCGTAACTAGCCGCCCATACCAAGATATTGCGTCCGGCTTCAGCCGTATACCTCCTGAACTTCCATCGATCCGGCTGGCCGGTGAGGAAAGCAACGCGGAAATCAGCAGGGAGATCAATCTGGTTATTTGTGCTGCTGTCGAACAGGTTGGCCGAGAAAATCAGCTCAATGAGCACAAGCGGGATATCTTGCGTCGAAGACTTCTGGAGACCCCGAACAGAACATATCTCTGGTTGTATCTCATGCTCGAAGAGCTCCCTAACCTAGACAAAAGCACGAGCATGGCGTTCCAGAGCGATATCAACTCCCTCCCGCAATCAGTCGAACAAGCATATGAACGGATACTAAGCAGGCATAGAGGCCAACGGCACAAGGTCGAGGCACTCCTTCACATTATTGTCGGTGCTCGCCGGCCTCTCAACGTGGTGGAGGTACTCGTGGCATACCAAATGGCAACAGTGGAGCCAAGTCCCATCAAACATAGCAAGCTCGAACTTGATTCTGCGGGTTTCAAAACGCATGTTCGGGATCTGTGCGGCCTATTCGTCTTCGTCAATGACGATCGCATCTTCATGATACACCAAACGGCCAAGGAATTTCTCCTGGCCAGGGATGGCTTTCCAGATCCGCCGGATGGGTTTTGGAGACATTCTCTACATGCACAGAGCTCGGAGGCAGTGATGGCGCGACTCTGCGTGCAATACCTGTTGTTCGAAGATATCCGGAACAGCTGGGTTCCAACCAACACTGCCAGAAACGAGGAGCAGGTCGATAAGAACGGGGAGAATTCCCTCTTCACATATTCATCGGCGTACCGGCCAGCTCGCGTTCTCGATGCGAAAGTTTCTGAAGGCGGGATGGACCATCATATTGATGAGCGGTATAATATAGGGAGAAGAAGTTCCGAAACGGGGACATCACAACCTGTCATCCAAGACAACTGGGTTCCCACCAGTACTGCCGGAAGCGAGAAGCACGTCGACGACGACAGGGAATATCCCCTGTTCACGTATTCGGCGACGCACTGGCCGTCTCACTTTCTCTCTTCTAAAGCTCTTCAAGGCGAGATGGACCATCAAATCGACAAGTTGTACGATATGCGGAGCAAGCGTTACGAAAAATGGACATCTGTATTTTGGCGGGCCAATCACCCGTACCGAAGTCAACGTGGCATCCGAGACGTGCATTTGGCAGCGTTGAACGGCCACGACGGGGCTCTCCGGCGAATACTGGACTCGAATGAAACAAGTCTGGACGTGAAGGACAGCGATGGTCTGACCCCACTGACATGGGCTTCTCTTAATGGTCACGAAGTCGTCGTTCAGACGCTACTCGACAGGCGTGCGGACATCAATAGCATATGCGACAGTGTTGGCACTGCCCTCCAAGCCGCCTCCCAAAGGGGTCATAAAGAGATCGTTTGGCTGTTGCTTAATAAGGGGGCAAATGCCAACACGCAAAGCGAAAACACTCCCAGCGCGATCCATGAAGCATCGCGGCGAGGGTTCATCGACATTGTGGCAATGCTTCTTGGAAAGGGTGCGTATGTCAACACACATTGCGGTAGTATCCGCTCACATGTCAACGATGGCTTCTCGTCCGGCATGACGATCTCTTGCAGTTTTCCAGACGGACAACGTACACCCGAAAAGGGCCCATATGACAGTATGCGGCGTCAACTCAAGAGTGCGACACAAGTCAATCAACTGAACGGAAACTTGAGCACACCTCTCTTCGCGGCCGTATGTGGGGGCTACAGCACAATTGCCGAGATGCTCCTGAGCAATGGGGCGGAAACTAGCACACGGGACGGCAGTGCCCTCCTTATGGCTATCCCTCGAGGCTCTGACGATATTGTTCAGACCCTTCTTGAGAGGGGGGTAGATATCAATATGCCGGACGAAAATGGCAATCCCCTTTGGACAGCCGTGTCTCAAGGCCACATCAAGATCGTGCGCATGCTTCTCGAAAAGGGGGCGGACATAAATATGCGAGTCGGAAATGACAGCAATACCCTTCTGGGGGCTATTGCTCGAGGTCGTTATGACATTGTCCAGATCCTCCTCCAGGGGGGTGCAGATTTCAGGAGAGAGCACACTGTCAGGAGCCGTTTCTATGTTGGAAACGCAACCATATACGGCGATGCTCTTCTTATCGCATCTTTCACGGGCCAGGACAAAATAGTTCAGTTGCTTCTCGATGAAGGAGCAAACGCCAACGGACAAGGGGGCCAATATGGTACCGCACTCCAGGCTGCGTCTCATGAAGGCCATCTTGGAGTTATACATATATTGCTCAATGCGGGCGCCGACATCGATGTGGCTGGCGGTTCATTTGGTAACGCCCTGCAAATTGCTTGTCGTGAGGGTCATTTTGATACTGCACAAACCCTGGTTGATAAGGGTGCTAATATCAATGCTCAGTGTGGCGTGGATGGCAACGCGCTTCAGGCAGCGTCACTTCGGGGCCATCACACCATCGTCCAAATGCTCCTAGAGCAAGGTGCGGAAGTCAATACAGAGCAGTGTGGTCTCTACAGCAACCCTCTACAGGCTGCTGTTTGCAAAAGCCATGAGCGGATTGTCGAGATGCTGCTGGATAGGAAAGCCGACGTTAATGCGAAATGCCGCAGCGTGGAACAGTATCATCAGGCTGCATCCTTCATCTTCACCGAACCTACATGTGGCTCGGGCCGCAAAACTGCACTGTTGGGACGACGCGACAGACGTGACGATATCACCTCGATCCGCCCCCGTAGAACAATGACACCCGACAGATTTCTCTTAATTAAACTAAACAGCAAATACCTTTCCACAGGGTCGCCAACGGCGGATAGCAACCGTTACAACAACGCACTTGAGGCTGCGTGCCAACGAGGCAATGTCGAAGTCGTTCAGATGCTACTCAATAATGGTGCCAACATCAAAACTCAAAACGACAATGGAGAACTTGCTCTTCAATTAGCTATTCTGAGTCAAAATGAGGCGATTGTTGAGATGATCCTCGACAGGGTTGCAGATGTCAACGCTTTAAGCAGTGACAGCAGTGCTCTCCATTTAGCCTCAGAGCGAGGTTATACGGGGATCGTTAAGATCCTCCTCACTAGGGGCGCAAACGTCAACGCCAAAGTCAACGGCGGTCGCTTTGGCACAGCCCTTGAAGCTGCATCGAATCAAAGGCATGAGGAGACTGTACGGATTCTTCTTGATTACGGCGCAAATATCAACGCAAGCGGCCACTTCCGAAATTGTCTCGAGGCTGCGTGGTTTGGTGGCAATGAAACCATCATCCAACTGCTTCTTGAAGAGGGTGCCGACATTAGCACACTATTTGGTGAACGTTTTGGTAGTTTGCTTTCATCAGTATGCTTTAGGGGCGATGAAGTAGGTCTCCGCATGCTCCTGGATAAGTGCCCAGATTTCGATATTGAAGGTGGCGAGAATGGTGGCCAGGCTCTTCAAGCTGCATCTGCTCAAGGCCATGAAGGCATGGTCCAGATGCTTCTCAACAAAGGTGCATATGTCAATGGACGAAGAAGAACCCTTGATACATTTCTCAGCGCTCTTTATTCCGCCTCAGAGAAAGGACATAGCCTAATTGTAGGAATGCTCCTCAACAAGGGCGCGGACCCAAACATAAAAGGCGGCCTACATGGCAACGCTCTACAGGCAGCCGTCCACTATGGCAATAGCGAAATTGTTCAACTGCTCCTCAATAAGGGCGCAGACGTCAACGCGCGACACAGAAAGGGGGCAACCAACGCGCTTGAAGAAGCAGTCTCTCACAACAAACAAGATATAGTCCAGATGCTCCTTGACAATGGGGCAGACGTTAATGCAGTAGGCGGGGAGAAGGGTACTGCTCTTCTTATTGCATGCCTCCGTGGCAACGAAACGACTGTCCGGATGCTTCTCAACAAAGACGCAAATGTCAATTTGCAAGACCATGCGCCTAGCGAGACTATCACAGCGGCAGTTCAAGCCAAACTCAGAAACGGCTGCAAGAACCCCCTACAGGTAGCAGTCTCAAGGGGCGAGAAGCAAATTGTCCAAATGCTCTTAAGCAAAGGGGCAGATGTGAATATCCAAAGCAGTGAGGATAAAAATGCTCTTCAATTGGCTATTTCTAATGGTCATGATGAGATTGCCGAATTGCTTCTGAGTCATGGGGCTGATATCAACGCCCAAGATAGTGAGGGCAGCAACGTGCTCCAGCTGGCTATTCTAAGGGACAACAACAGGATTATCGATATACTACTTAGAAGAGGGGTGAATGTCAACTTGTCAAGCAATGAGGGCAGCAGTGCTCTTTATCTTGCATCTCTGCGAGGTAACGAAACAGTATCCAGGAAACTCGTGGATAAGGGTGCTGATATGGCCACCCGATCTGAAAGACATCATAATGCTGTTTGGGCTGCTTCCTCCCGAGGCTATGACAGAATCGTCTACATGCTTTTGGATAAGATCACAGACGTTGAGGGAAACGACAATCTTCTGCTAGATGCAGTCTACACGGCGTCGGAAAGAGGCTTTAGTACCATCGTCCGTATGCTCCTTCACCAGGGGGCCAGTCCTGATGCCGCGGGGGGTGAGGAGAGTAATGCTCTACAGGCTGCCTCCCTCAATGGTCACACCGAAGCAGTTCAGATGCTTCTGAGAGCGGGCGCGGATGCCAATGCACGATGCGGCTACTACGGCGACGCCCTTCAAGCCGCTTCTCACGGCGGCCACGATGCGACAGTTCGGGTGCTTCTGGAGGCTGGCGCGGTTGTGAATATGACGCACGGTCATTTCGGCGGCGCTCTCACGGCCGCGTCCCACGGTGGCCACGACATGACGGTCCAGACACTCCTTCACGCCGGCGCAGATGTAAACGTGCGGCATGGCACCTTCGGCGGCGCCCTGGCGGCTGCGTCACTCAAGGGCCATGATACGACGGTTCGCTTACTCCTTGATTCGGGCGCGGATTTGAGCGGCCTCTTCGGCAATGCCCTGCGAGCAGCGTGCTACAATGGCCACGATAGAACGGTCCGGATACTGCTAGAGGAGGCCAGCACGGAAACTGGCGTACACTACGACCTTGGCAATGCTCTTCGGGCCGCCGTATTGAGAGGCCATACGAAAGTTATGAAGACGCTTTTTCAAAAGGGTGCGGATTTCAGGATGGAAACCGAACCCTTAGATGGCGTTCTCGGACGCGCAGCCTCTTTAGGCGACAGTCAAATCGTCAAAATGATCCTCAGCGCGACGAATTTCAGCGCACGGAATGAGGCTATTGCAAGCGCCCTTCATGCGTCATCCCGTGAGGGCCACGTTCATGTTATCAGAATACTCTTGGCTGAAGGCATTGATGTCAACGTACAACTTCAAGACCAGGGCAGTGCCCTTTATGCTGCATCAGAGGAAGGGCATACTGCAACCGTCGAGATGGTTCTCCAAAGGGGCGCAGATGTTCATGTAAACGGTGGACACTTTGGAAATGCTCTTCAGGCGGCATCCTCCAGAGGGCATGAAAGAATCGTGAAATTACTGCTAGACCGTGGTGCTAATATCAATGCACCAGGGGGGTACTATGGTAGCGCTCTTCAGGCAGCATTGTTGGATGGACACGACAGCATCTTCCAGATGCTGCTCGACAAGTGCGCTGAAGAAAAGGTCTTAAAGCGCTCGGCTTCCAGCGATCTTGGGCTGACCCATACGTGAGTAAACCCGGCTAATGTACTTCTTGATAGATACTGATACCTCATGCACTTCACAGTTCTAAGATGATGAAGATGGATACGCGGGCCTAGAAGATGCTGGTGCTACGGTCACATCCTCAACCTTATCCTGGGCCTTTCTATCTGTGATTACCAGCCGAGATTCATCCTTACTCTCCCCATTTGGGAATGTGGCCGAACATCAAGGGGATCAGACACTTGTTGGCTTATATTTTGACTGACACTTGAATGTCTTTCCCATAGAGCGGTACTGAAGCCGGCTTGGTCTGGGCCTGGCTTGAGAGCTACCTCAGATTGTCTCTATTGGTCTACCTAGTGAGGAGAGAAATAACAGCCCATTGTATGAACAAGATCACTCGTGTGAGTATGCCCACTCTTTTCACAGAGTACTCGATCAGTCGTCTTGCACAATGACAGAAAAGGTCATCACCCCGAGTAGGTACTCACTCAAACTTGATCCTGTTCCTCAAAACGCCGACCTTCTTCATCTCCACCTCGACTACATCGCCGTCCTGCAGAAAGCTCTTGGGCTGACGAAACGCTCCAACGCCCGCCGGAGTGCCCGTCATGACCGCTGTGCCCGCCGGGATCGTGGTTCCTATATGGCAAAAAGGCAAGCGTGTCAGCGATCGCAATGTTCTCCCGGCGTTTGAGAAGCATTCATTCAAGACCGACGTACCTTGGCTCATGTGGCTGAGAATCTTCTCCGGGCTGAAGATCATGTCCTTTGCGAATTTGGCCTTCTGCCGCACGTCGCCGTTGACTTTCGTCACCACTTCAAAGGTGGAGCCGTCCCCGAAGACGGCTGGGCTGATGAGCGTCGGGCCGATGGGCGCGAATTTGTCGAAAGCCTTGGCGAAGAAGAACTGCCCGGCCGAATAGCGGGGGAGTTGATACATGCGGCAAGAGAGGTCGTTGCCGATGGTGTATCCCAAAATGTAGTCCTTGGCCTCGGACAAGGGCACGTTTTTGGCGTCCTTTGATGTGACGAAGACGAGCTCGCCCTAAATACAGACTTTACTAAACGAGTCTAAGATGAACGGGCTTATTATTTTACCTCGTAGTCTAGGAGACTTTTGGCACAGAAATCGTTGACGGGGATCTCCTCTCCTGGGCTTGCAAGCGATGCGGCTGGCTTAGTCCACAGGGGCGGGCATGCTGGGATGTCAAGCTGAGCACCGCGAAAGGCATCGGTCAGTCGAGATGTTCAAGGGCGCTGGACGAGAGGACTGACAGTGGCCTCCTTTGCATGACTACGGTAGTTGAGGCCGACGCAGTAGATCGGGTGTCCGTCTCGAGGAAGTGGTGGTAGGAGCTATTCTCCGTGTTGGCAAGAAAGCTTGGTAAACTCGATGTCAAGCCCTTGACGGAGCGTTGTGAAGGAACAGGCAATCAAGAAGCCAAATGAAAAGAATAGACTTACACGGCGCACAGTAATAATGTCGTCTTCAGACTTTCGTGCAAGACCTTGTATGGTTTTGGCGCCGCTCAGCTTCGCGCCAGGCGATGGCGGTCCATCGGCATCAGGACCCAGATCAGCAAAGTAAACATTTCCATCTTCTTCGCTTTCGAAACGGACGAGATGTGAGAAGGATGACATTTTGGCCGCAGTTGAGAAATATGCTTTACTTGACTGAGATTCTCTGCTTGCATGTTTACATCTCTACGTCTCGAGACCTCATATATCATCTAACACAATTCTACTCTTGTGGTGCTGAAGTTAGGTAATTAGCTGGTGAGCCGGGATCGTCGGCAGATCCTGAATCGGAGCATTGGGTCTACCCGCGACGGATCTCCGCTGGGGCCATCGGAGGAACTTCAGCTGCCGCCTCCAATTACTCCGAAATCATCTTTCCCTCCAAAGCTTGTTACCTTCTACACACATTTACCTGCTCCTAGATACGCCGAAAGCTCCCAACACTCTTTCACTCTATGTACCGCGCGCCTCGATCCGCTATCGGAAACATAGACCAGAGGGGGGATTTCATCGCCAGGCCGGGATAACGCGCTACGGCCGTCTTCGCCGTCCCCGCATCCCCAGAGCCGGGAGCAACATCCAACATGTCGTCGCCTGTTCTTGCCACTGCGCGCGGGGCAGAGACAGACAGCGATGTCAGACCGCGGGTCTGTGATAACTGCATCCGGTAAGGCACAGTTCCCGATGAGACCAACCATCGTCCGTCGCTGACAGTTCTCCCCTTACAGCCAGAAAGTCAAGTGTAAGTCCATGTCTTGTGCACGATGATGGCATCGGCTTCGTCTTCAACCCACAGGCTGATTCCGAGGTATCCCGTCTCTGCAGGTGACCTCGGACGACCAAAATGCTCCCGATGCTTGGAGCGGGGACATCAGTGCACATACTCCTCCAGCCGTCGGCGGCCTGGACCTCTCCCAGGAACCAAGCGTGGATCTCAGCGCACACCTCTGTCGCATCGGCCGAATAGACGTGTTCCCCGCGGTACGTACGACAAACCCGCACCGTCGGATAGTCCGTCCGTCGTCGTGAGTTCATGTCCCGGTGGCCGTCTTGCTGACCGTCTCCAGAATCGCCGTTGCCCCCCGACCCCCGCCCTCCGAGCCAGACCGCAGAACCGCCCACGCCCTCGACAACGTCTACCCCAGCAACTACAGAGCTACAGACTACCACAGCTACCCGTTCAGAGCCATTTAACTTTTCACCTGAGGATGAGACGTCTTTGTAAGAACTTCGTGTCTGTCTTTTCACGACTCTGCTGACTCAAGTTACCCCGAAGGCTGGAATGGTACATCGACACGATCAACCATGCTTTCCCCGTCTTCCCCAACGCTCCATCCGACGATGCCGGTATTGCGGTAGTGTTGAGCTGCAGTCGTGATCTCGTCCAGACAGTTGTCGTAATCGCGGCCAAGTTGTCCGGCTTCGTCAACACATCCTTCGATTCGTCCGAACTCAACGCACACATTGACCAGATCCTCAGCTCCGTGTCCCTCCAAGAAGACATCGCCGGTGACACGCCAACCATTGACCAGTTCCGAAAGTTTTGCCTGCTTGCCTTTTACGAGTTCCACCAGTTCCCTGGCCAGCAGGCATGGACGCGCATCGGCAAGCTGACTCGACTGGCACACTGGACTGGTCTGGATCAACTGGACAGGCTGCACGAGAAAGTACCGCCATGGACAGTAATGAGCAAGGATAGACTCGAGGAATGGCGTCTAGTCTGGTGGTGCATTTACGCCCTCGATTCCTACGCCAGCGTCTCGACCGGGATGCCGTACGAAATCGATGAGGGGCTTATCAACACAGCACTTCCACAAGGTCTACCAGCAGACGAGAACCGAGAGTTTTACCTGCCTTATCGCCACGAAGGCCTCCTTACTCTGGTACAGAAGGTGTTCTCAGACTCCTCGAGGCAAGTTCTGGGGCTCGAAATCCACATCATCAGCATTACCGTTCTACGTATCGCCGGACGGGCGCTGCGGCTGCACGTTCTCGGCAGACAGGACGACTGCACCAAAGTCGTCGCCGACACGGAGCGGCGAATCTCCGAAGTTCGCCTGGCTCTTCCCGGGAACCTCTTCAACCCCAGGCGCAACGCCTTCATCAACGAGTCGGCCGCGGCCCACCACTTCCGACTCGTCACCGCCATGCACCTGCACATGGCGCAGATGCTCATGACGCTCATTAACTGCCGGCGTCTGTCGGAAGAGCAGGCGTGGCTCCTGAAGTGGCAGCAGGTCCTGGAAATCTGCCAGGACGTGGCCGCCATCACCAAGCAATGGAACAGCAGCTTCTTTCTCAGCGTCGACCCGGCGGTGTCCATCATCGCCTTCATCGCGCTCATCTTCCTGGACTTGCATCTGAAGTTCACAAGTAACCCAGGGGCTGAGGTTGGCGCTGATCTTCGCACGGAGATTGAGCATTGTGAGACGGTCCTGTTGCTTTTTCTGGAGCAGTTTGCCAAGTCGTGGACCATGCCGCGCCTCCTCATCCGTGAGTCGACCCTAGTCTTCTCTTCCATGCCGTGGCATTTCACTTCATTTATCTGCCTGATTTTATTGATTTCTTCCTAAACTAACATCTCGTTGTGAAAGTATCTTTCAAAAGCTTCAAGGAATCTCTAAGCGGCCCTGTCGGGTACCAACAAGTCCGCGCCGTATTCCTCCATTTTCAAAGTCCGCTGCACCCCAGGTGGTTGCAGTTCCTGACCTCCAACGCCTTGCACGCCGAACAGTCCCAGTCATAGGTGTATAGCTCCAAAGATGACTGAGAGAGTTGTTAACCAGGCTGAGTAATTACCCGAGAAAGGTGTGTTCGGCGGCTTCCATAGACACGATGAGATACGTGGAAACCTTGGAGGGTAAGAGGGTGGTTTCATTTGCGTGTCCGTAATAAACTTATACCGATGCTCCCAGAAAGTTGACGTCTATCTCCCGTGTAATCACACACTATAAGCACAATTGGCTATTCACTATCAAGCAGTTGTTACAAGTCTTCTCTTTAGAACTAATTGTTTGGACACTTAATGTTCATTTACCTTACGCGAGAAAAACAAATTCACGAAAACGGCCTCCTCTCAAAATTCCTTTACCGGCCAATCCTTCGGAATTTTGTCCCCAAAGTCCTTTGGAATCTCAGGACCCCAGATAGAAAACGGTCCCACCACGTCTCTCGAGGTCAGCGTGTGCTTGTTCACCACATCCCCGTCCGCGTAGTGCTCGATCTTGAACCCGCTCGGGTCCGCCCAGTAGTCGAAGATCTGGCTGCCCAGCACATGCCGGCCGACGCCCCAGACGCTGTGCCACCCGCGCTTGGCGAGCCAGTCGTGGCCGAGCAGCTGCGTGTCGAAGTCGGCCACCTCGAAGGAGGTGTGGTGGCAGAAGGCCTTCTTGACGTGCGGCTCCGCGCGCTGCATGAAGAAGGAGTGGTGGTCCGAGAACTCCTCGCCGAGGTCGAGGTGCATGAAGGTCATGACGTCCATGTTGTCAAAGTCCCAGTGGTGGAGGATATCGGAGGGCACGAAGTTGAAGTGGTTTGTGTACCACGCCAGCTCGTTGTCGAAGTCCGGGACGACGTAGCCGAAGTGGCCCAGCTTGTGGACGAGTGCGGGACCGGGATGGTATCGCTGGAAGGCTCCTAGAGAGAGAAGAGATGTTGTCAGCAGCTGCCTGTAGACTTTAATGTTCGTGGTCTGCTTACCTTGCCTCGGCTTCCTGAATGGCTTGTTGAAAGGTCCCACCTCTTCATGGGTGGCAGATGGTTCCTGTGTCTCCGGCTCTCTCTCTTTTTGTCCGAAAATAACATGGAAATACATCTCATCTGGCCGGTTGAAGGTGATGATGCTCCCGCCGCCAGGGGCATACCCGATCGAACCGATTCTTGCGCCCTCGATCGTGGCCGCTTTGTCGAACTCCTCCTGTGACGCAGCCACGAACGCCGCGCCGCGGAACCTGGGCTTCCCGTCCTTGCTCCTGCTCGCGACGTAGACGTACGGGTCCTTGCCGTAGCCGCGGTAGTAGATCGTGTCCTGGGTCCGCGCCTCCTCGACGAAGCCGAAGTCGACGGCGAACCTGGCAAACTCGTCCAGGTCCGGGTGGTCGACGTAGATGTGTCCCGGGCGGGAGAGCTGGACTTTTGTGGGATCGTTGGCGATAGAATGGATACGCATGTCGGGCAGGATGGCTTCACGGATTGGTTTGGGGAGCTTTGCGAGGCAGGTTACGATGAGTTGTAATGTCAGCGACATTGTTTGAAGGCGGGAGATGGCAGTTCAAAAGCTTCAGGACAATTGCGTGGAAGTTGAGGATCGCATTGAGTATTTCATTGCCGGCGGACGGGCGTTGTTTCTCGATGACGCATGGAAACATGAATGCCGTCGAGTCCGGGTGGTTGATAAAAGCCAATTCAAGATGTATTTTGTTTTCACGATCTCAGTTGGATAGATCTACATGCCATGTGAAAGATCTGATCTCCTGCGCGCCACGTTAAACACATCTTCGGTGTTGTTACGTTTGTTGAGTATTTACGCCGACGACACCGTCTCCGTCGGAGCAACTCTCAAACCCCCCGAGCCGGAAAAACGGGGAACATCGGAGCATCTTTGGCCTTCGCCACCACCTTCATATCCATGTGTGGATGTCCTGGAAATGAAACCCCCGGGCACGTCCCATGCTCTTTGGAATAAGGTATCAAAGCAAATATTGTTGAGACGATAACTCTTCCTTGCATTCTTCCAGCCTCAACAATGCTCACATTCGTTGAACGCCGCGTCGTGGGATGTAGCCGCGGCATAGGCGAGCGTCTCGCGCTCTCCCTTACCGCTCAGAACTGCACCGTCGTCGCAACCGCGCGGCGCGTGAAGTCCCTCGCACACCTCACCAAAAGACATGGCAATATTATCGCTCTTTCCCTTGAGCTCGATGACCTCACATGTTAAACGATGACTCTAAATGTTAAGGCAACGGTGCATAAAGCTGCGTTCAACAGTGACGAAGCTTCCAAACATGCTGTAGATCTGGTATAACCGGCCCTCAGTCATTCTTCATCTGATATTTGCCACAAAATTATCGATATGAGTCCACTGTGACTTTGGTCTCAGTTCCAAATCATTCTATCGAGTAGAACTGGATTCTTCACGGAGGTATCGCCGATGGCCATGGCAGTGCGAGCCCCACCCCGGACGTGGTGGCCCCGAGTCGGCTGCGGAGATTATGGGTCTCAGCGACGGCGAGCTCGGTGAGATTCGTCCGACCCTCGGTGCACCATTTATGTGCCGCGGCATGTCACTTAAGTCCGTGGCTTCGCATGGGCTGCTACGGACAGCGTCTCGGGGGATCCACATTGCTGCACCGCTGGACAAGGTTTCTGTAAGATGTCCCGCGGAACATCTCCAACATAGTCGCACGTCTAGGGTACTTTGTCCAAAATGGGGGGTGAGAACGACGGGTGTAAGTGCGCGAGACCCAACGTTGAGAGGCGATCGGCTCTCGCGAATCGAATACACGATTTGTATTTGAGGTCTCTTGTTTTCACTGGATTGCAATACCAAACAGCCATCAGCCAAAGCAACATCGAAGCTACTGGATTGACCGTACGACGAGCGCGACTCACTATCTGGATATCATGGAGGAAACACAGGTTGTCATTGTGGGGGGAGGACCCGCTGGCCTCGCCCTGGGGATGTCACTGGCGCAACACCAGATTCATGTAAGCTGACAATTTGACGGGGACTTTGCGGCGACAACATGCTCCAGGTTTTCGACTTAGACTGACTTTGAGATACACAGTCAGTCATCCTGGAGAAGGCGGCAGAGGTGACCACGGATCCGCGAGGTGTTTGGCTCACAGGGGACGCTGTAAGAATCCTACACACTTTGGGAATAGGTCATGAAATGGACAAAGTTGGTCACGGTAAGCAAAACGATTCCTTACTCAATCGTTCGTTTCGCAAGGGAAAAGATTAGCTGACACATACCAGCGGCGCCACACATCAACTTTCACCATTCAACTTTCAACACGACCCCTTTCTACCGGATGGATATATCCACCTCCAACAGCCTTGAACAGTCTTTACCCGAAGGCTTTCTTCAGAACCAGCCCAAACTAGGTTTGATTTGTCTCTTCCTCCTCAAAATCGTCGTTTCCGTACTGACTTGATCTCGGAAAGAGCATGCGCTGCGGTGCGGCATCGAGAATACTAGCTATTGCTCGCTGCGCACGAATTGCACGGTAATAGGAAGGCCCAGTGAGGTGCCACCGGCTATCGAGTACTTGGATTCTCAAAAGTCTCTGCGCATGATACGAGGGCAGTGGCTCGTTGGCGCCGACGGCAAGACGGGCATCGTCCGCAAGCACTTCCTGGAGCCTGCGGCTGGGATTAAGCAAGAAGCCGGTGTCTACCCCTATGAAGGAGTGTGGGTGGCCGCCAACCTCAAAATAACCGTCCCGACGCCCGAAACACACCCAAAGTTTCCCCTCTGGAAGTATGGTTACAGTCCCGAGGAGATCTACGACCTGTTCTGGCCCGTTGGCTGGCACTTTTGCAGTCCGCCTGGCAGGCCGACCGCGACGGGCAGATTTGGGCCCCACACCGACCGGACATGGCGTCACGAGTTCCGCGTCGATGAGGTCGGAGGCCCGATATATCCGGAAGAGCTCTTCTGGGAACACATATCTCAAAGCATCACCCTTAAGAAGGACCCCGTCCGTGGTCATCAATTCGACGAGGCCGTCGAGTATCCCCGCGACTGTATCGAGATCTTGCGATGTCGACCCTTCAAGTTCGTGCACAAGTGCGTGAACCGGTGGTACGACAAGCGCACTCTCCTGATCGGCGACGCCGCACACGTGTTCCCGCCGTTCGCCGGACAGGGCATTGCAAGCGGCGTCCGCGATGCCCACCAACTTGCATGGCGGCTCGCCCTGCTCCTCCGCACCAACACAGACCCGGACACAAATACTGACGTCTTGGAATCGTGGGCGGCCGAACGCCGTCGCAGTGTGGATGACGCCGCCAGGATGTCCATGGTCTCCGGGACCGTGTGCAACAACCAACCGACCCTCTTTATTCTGGCACTGGCTAAGCTGCATGAATTCATCAAATCGGTCCCCATGCTTCGTGGATATGATCTGGTGGCCCGGCAGGAGCGTCGTGGTTTCCGCGGCGTTCCTGGCGGTTTCTTTGTCGAGGCCTACAACGGCGGTGCCCGACTGGCTCAGATACATGTTCTCTCTTCACTCAGCCAGTCGCCAATTTTGTCCGACGACCTACTCCGCCAGAGCGGTACCATCTTCACGGTTCTGCTCATCGGCAACGGTAATTCAGAAGACACGAATGAGTTATATATGGATGCCAAAGATGCTATATCGGCAGCATCTTTGAACCCCAACGTCTTGACAGAGGAATCTATCGTCATCTACGACCCACTGAGCGGAGAGTCGCAAACCAACTGTGAGCTCTCAGAAGAAGAACAGAACAAAGCGGAATCGCATCGGGAGATCTTCTCACCTGTACCGACTTCTGGACTTGAGTTACCCCGGGCTTCTGGGTACAACAGCACATCGTATCTTGCTCGCCTGGGCCCTTCTACCAAGTTCGTGATCGCGCGTCCAGATATGTTCGTGTTTGCATGCGCAGGGAGTAAGAAAGAGTTGACTTACTGCTTGGATCAACTTCGGGAACGTCTTGGTTGAGGATGTCATGACGAAACATGCCGTCTACATCGCTCGACACCGAGTCGTTGAATATGTATGAATCCAACTAGACAGTGCTAGAAGGGTCAGAAACAAGTTCTGAAATTCTTCTTCTTCCGGGCAGTAAGGTTCAATTTTAAAGAGCTTGCCGCAAGTCGTGCTCTTGCGCAGAGGGATTAGCCATGACCGCGGGTCTCCATGAAACCTGTACTTGCAGGAACATGAATCCAGCAGTGATCGAAAGAAAGATCATCCACTCTTGGTGGTTAACATGTAACCACATTATCATGATTATGAACGTATAAAACTCTTGATATTAATTTAGTATAGAGAATTGCCATCCCAGGCGCCTTAGTATCGAACCTCGAAGTCCTCCGGATTCTGGAGAAGCCCCGCATCGCTTGCCTCGAATGGATGTTTCTTCTCAAGTTGCTTGATCAACTCGACGTGATTCTCGCTTCTCGGTGTGGCCTTAAAATGAAACTCCGTTGGGTACGTCAAAACACCAGCCTTTGGCTTCACATCCACCTCAACTTCCTTGCCATCCTTGTCAACCGGTTTGTTGATGTTGAACGCTGCCAAGGTTTGCGCCATGTTCAAAAAGAGACTGGTGTCGGCGAAGAAACGCCCCGGGCATATCCTGCGACCGTACCCGAAGCCTTCTGTGGTAGGATCGGGCTCGTTGCGTGGTGCCAGGAAGCGGTCGGGATCGAACGAGTCGGGGTCGGCGTAGACTTCCGGGTCGTGCAGGAACCAGTACACCGAGGGGAGGACGAAGGCGCCCTTCGGGATGCGGTAGCCGTTGTACTCGAACTCCTCCGTGGTCGTGTGCGGGAAACTCATTGGCGCAACGACCCACCATCGTATGGCTTCCTTCACCAGGGCGTCTATGTAAGGTAGATTCTCACGGTCGTCAAGCGAAGGAAGGCGCTTGTCTCCGACGACCCGGTCAATCTCTGCTTGGGCTTTCCTTTGAACCTCAGGAAACTTGAGCATCGCTAGTGTGAAAGACGTGAGAGTGATGACCGTCGTATCGGCTGCGGCACCGTAAAGACTCGCGGCGGTCCAGATGACGGCTTCTTCGTCCTCCTGGCTGAGCTTGCCGTCTGTTGAGAGCTGTTGAATGAGCTTGGAAACGTATGAAGGTCTGTTCGTGAATGCGGCCATCTGGCGCTGGACGAACTCGTACGGAATATAAGCTGACGCCTGGATTGACTTCCGCCACTTGCGAGCGGTCTTCTTGAAGGTCGCACCGGGAAAGTTCTCGGGGAGATACTGCAGAGCGGGAATGATGTCCACAGCCCAAGCCATCGGACTGGCAGCAAGAGAGAACTCCGTCATCATCTTGTCCACCATCTGCACCAGGGCATCTGGTTTATGAGGTTCGATGATGTAGCCATACGCCATCTGCAAGACAGTGCCGGCAGCAGTCCTTTATTCTACAGGTCAGCCATAGGTGCTTCAATCAGGTGGCCTAGGGATCTAATCACGTTTTGTAATGCTCCAACCATCTCTCGGGCTCTCTCAGCGCCCGCACGAGTTGACGACTAACTTCGCTTTCCTGCGCATCGCGAAATTGCGCCGCGGAGACCTTGGTACCAAGTTCTTGATGGAGGAACTTGCGATAGCGGCGAAACATTGGGTTGTAGCCCTGGCAGACGACGATAGACTCGTAGCCGCAGAGCTTATTCGCCATGACCATGGACGGGCGCCCGGAGGTCTTGCTAGCCACCTGGTCCAGCAGATCGTGCGCCATCTTCTTGTCGTGGACGATGACGAGCGTCATGCCCATCACCGTCACGGAGCTGATGGGCCCATAGAGATCCTTGTGCTTGAGCCAGTGCAGATGCTCAGGCGTGCCATCGGGAGGGAAGTCTTTTACATTTCCCAAGACTGGGAGTGGTTTAGGGCCTGGGGGAAGCTCTAGTTGACTCGATTTGCGCGACGATTGCGAATACGCGATGAAGGCGACCAAGGCGGCGGCGAGGACGCCCAGCAGTTGCCAAGATTCAACGGCCATCCTTTCAAACGATCGTAAATAGCTAATGGACGAACATTGAGACAATACGGAACAGCAAAACGGTCAAGTTTCTTTTTGGGGCTGTCGCGACTATGTAAGAGGGCCGCGCCGCAGCCCCTGAGATGCAGAAGCAGGCCACGGCCCCAGCTGTTTCCAGACGTTCAAGGTGGGATATGATCCCCAGATAATAGTTTTACACGTGCGGCATGCCCGGACATTGCTCCAACAGTTCCAACCGAACCAACGAGCCAATGGCCAGAAAGATAAATCAATCTCAACAAGGAGTGAGGGGAACACGAAGAGTCGGGCCGGTCGGGGATGTTTCCGGTTGAATGGCCTGCCAGGCCAGATCAGGAAGGCTGTTGGCTCTAATTTCCAACACATTGCCAAGATCGCGCAAAGCCTCTTCAGAGTGGCAGGATTTGGAGGACGTTATTGGCTTGGCGAAGGGCTCTTCTATCTGCTATTCCCCTCTTCAATCACATGCAGCCAGAGATGTCTGGCATCAAATCCAAAGAATACGCGCACGCCGGACATTGGGTGTTCGACATGTCCGTCGACCAACACTGGGGTTCTTACGAGGAGGATCAGCACCCCGGGACCCCAGGTGAGCCACGCCGTCAGTTGAACTTGGCCGCAGCGCAATGGATTTCGGCCAGATTGCCTGGAACCGGTAGCAAGATCGCGCTTCTTCGTATGGTTCGAGATGCGTCTCCAAGGGTCTCACATTTATCTATGACACACGAAAACCAGAGAGGGTCTAGAGACGCAAGTCCCTGGTCACCGAGTGCCCTATTCGAGGCCGATGCTACCTTGGCTTGCGTGACGGGATCTCGGCGGGCCTCCGTCCCACCTACACCCGGACCCCTGCTAGTGGCTATCCGGCCGGTTAAGGCGGAGGCGGGCCGGGCTGTTGACGGCTGGAGGGAGCAAGGGTGAGTTTACGAATTCGCGCTGATCGAACGGATGAATCGTTCGAGGGTTGGTGGATGGGCGGGGGAAAAGACATCATGGTGTCCTCTCATGTGTACGGATAGCGAAGATCAGCGAGTGCTGTGATATCGATATGGTTCAGAGCATCTCTCAACAGAATACCCGTCATTTTTTAACTTGCCTTCAAAACCTCGATCGCCGTTGAATGTCTCACTGATTCTTCCACCTCGTAAGCATCGCCTCTGCGGGTAATATCGCCGGCTGGAGGACGTTGCAGATTGCTGCAGATTCCGGCCAAGTGATTCGATACGGCGCCAGTACGCGAGCGGCCTGGGTTGGCCACACTCATGCAACCCCATCTAATTATCACACCCTTCCAAAAAGCAAAACTTGAGATTTTGCCCACACAACCGTTTCGTCAGCCCATTCGACGCGCTAAGGCCGAGATGTTCTCCTGCAGCATACAGAGTGTTCGCTCCCGCTCTTATTACCAAGGCATGAGTAAAGGCTGGTCGGAGACGGAACCCGATTTCAACATGTATGCACCTGGCTCCGCCCAGATCCCTCGGCGCGCCTTTTCTTCATGATTCGTTTACCTACAAGGGCATAGAGCTATGTTTTCCCGATATAGACACCGATGCCCTCTGATTTGTTGTTAATTTGAACACTCTGGCAATTCTCACTGTGTAACCTTTGCAAATGACGGATCGGACAGTGTGAGGCCATCACGAGAGATCGCCCATCATGTCTAATCTCCCAACGCCGGAGGACATCGCATGGATGACGGCGCATATCGACGACTCTATGGTTCTCGACATCATCGTCTGCTGCATTGTCTGTGGTGTTGCTTCCGTCATCGTCCTGGCGTTGCGAATCTGGTCGAGATTCTACGTTCGCATGTCGCCCATCTTCTCAGACTGGCTGGTAGTTGGTTCAGTGGTAAGGCAGCTCTTCAGATACCACACAACCTCCAAGGACTCAATTGACATGGCTTTCAGGTCTTTTACATCGCATTTATCACGGTCTTTGCACTGTCGACTCGATATGGCGCGGGTCGGCACGTTATCCTCATCACTGATCCGGAAGACATGCGCATGTTGGCCATCGTACGTTTACTGTGCCCCGAATCCGACTCCTCCAATTTCTGAGAAAGCGGTTGTGAGCTGACTCGAATATCCGTGAATGTAGCTCAACATCTGCAACCCGATTCTCTACGGCGTGGCGACGGCTCTGGTCAAATGGAGTATTCTGGCTCTGTACATCGCCATCTTTCCTCAGAGAAAGTTCCAATACTGGGTCCATTTTGTGACCGCAGTGAACTTGCTCAACGCCGTCGCAATTGTTCTCGTCAGCTGCCTCCAATGTCGCCCTCTCGAATCGCTATGGAACCCGCTAGTGCCAGGCACCTGTATCAACTTCAGTTACTTCAGTGTCTTCAACAGCACCTTCAACTTTGCGTTGGACATGGTGATCCTCCTAACGCCTCTTCCTCTGGTCCGGCAACTCAATTCGTCGAAACGGAAGAAGGTCTTGTTGTCTATCAACTTTGCTCTGGGTGGAAGGTAACTTCTTCCCCTTCAATCCTTGCGGGCTCTCAGCAATACTGACAGTGTGATTCAGCGCATGTATCATAGCAGCGATCCGAGTGCCATACGCCAGGAAGGTCGGCGGAACAGTCAACCCAAGCTGTAGGTTGCCTCACCTATGGACAAACCTATTTAATCGGATACTGACGTTTCTCGGCAGGGGACATGATTCCAGGAGGGTTGCTCTGCGTTGTCGAAGTTGCTGTTGCTCTCCTAACCGCCTCCTTACCTATTTACCGCCCGATTCTTGGATTTCTCGGCCTATCCAGCACCGCAAACTCGCAGTCCAAGTACGGACAAGGAAACTTGCGCAACACGAGCAATTTTTTGGGCAGCCAGTGTAGCACTCGCATCACGAGTGGGGGAGAACGTTCGTCTCGACGGGCAGGCATCAGCATTGTGGACGATATCACTCTGACGACGCATACGTACAAAGATGGAGAATGGGTGCGCGTGGAGGATGAGGATGATGACGCTGCAGGGCTTGTCCTCCCGAGGAAGACGTCCCCGTATGCGACGACTGTTAGCAGTGGGAAAAGTGATAGGGCGTACTGAGGTCGGCAGCGCGACTCTAGACCTCAAAGGGCCAATATTGTAGTGATAATGGGTGTGTACGAAAACTGATGGCGGACGAGTTGATGGGAAGGCGTCAGGGACGGGAAAAGGGGGCAGGGAGGGTATGGTTCAACGGATCAAAAGCATCAGGTTCTAGGGGAGGCCAAGTGTTCAATTTCGGTCTGAAGAGCACCCAAATACTAGTTCGACATGACTATTCCGTCATGTTCGTTTTCACGCAAACAATCTTTCGGAGCTTCTCTTGCTATATCCAAACCGATTGCATCGACGAGGGTCCAGGGTCACCTAGATCCCTCTACGCCTCATGGCGGCCTTGAAGATCTTTGCAAAATCCGCCATGTGCTCCCTGTTGAGCATCTTCGCGTGAATACCAGGGCAGTCATGGAACTCCGCATCAGTCCTTGCAAAATCGGCCCAAGGGCCGAGCTTGTTCTCTCTCCAATCTTGTCGATCGCGTGCAGCATAGTGCGGCGGGTCCGCTACAAACACATCCAAGCACTCGACATTCCCGAGGGGCTCGTAGGTCTTCACGTTGACTCGAAAGTTCTCCGCAATGTCAGAAATCAGTCCCAGACGGTCCTCGTCAACGGCCAAAGCCTTCGCCCGCTCAGAGTCACCAATCTTCAGAATGTAGGACAGCGCCTGGTAGGGTTCGAGCGTGTGCATGTGTGGCGTGATCTCGACCATGGTCTTCTCGTCAATGAGCTCGAGGAAGAAGGCGATGTGGAGCAACACGTCAATCCAGTCCAGGCTCTGCACGTAGTGGGCAATATGCGGCGGGTAATCGATGCTAGCCAGGAACTTGACACGCTGCCCCTGCGCCTCCAACACCTTGCCCACCTCGAAGGCCAGGGTCGATCCGAGCGAATAGCCTGCGATCGCGTAGGGCCCTTCGGGTTGTATCTCGCGGATGTGCGCCACGTAAGTCTCTGCGGTCTCGTCGATGGATCGGAAGAACCGCTCGTCGGGATTGTAACCTCGACTTCTGAGGGCGTAGACGGGACGGGTCGGGAAGTGCGCCGCGAGCGCGATGAAGACGAGGATGTCCCCGCTACCAGGATGGATGCAGAACAGGGGGGTTCCGGATCCATGTGGTTGCAGTGGCACAATTGGCGTGTAAACGGTGGGCTGGGACATGAGCCTGTCAATGGCTGAAGCCATGGCGACCACGGTCGGACTGTCAAGACGGGTTAGAAGCTGATATCTGTGCCGCTCTGCAACATAGTCGAGATGACTGGATGTAACTCACTCTGTCAACATCACCGACATGGGGATGTCCACTGCGGCGCCCGTTGCCTTCTGGATCATGGACTTTAGCAGGATGAGATGCATCGAGTCAACGCCGAGGTCGAAAATGGACGTCTCCGCGTCTATCTCCTCAATTGGCATATGTAGCAGCTCGGCTAAGGTGCCCTGCACAATCCTCTCAGTCTCGGTCTTGGCGCTGCGCCAGTTGCGTTGTCTGTATTCTTCGAGGAGTCGCAGATCCTCACGCTCAAATGAGTCGAGCTCGCCACCCTCCAACGCAGTCCGAATCTTGGTTCGCGATATCTTGCCAAGGGAAGACTTCTCCAGCTTTGACTGGGGCAGGGGCACCAAGCGCGCTGGCTTCTTGCCCGTGATGAGCGAGACGACCTTCCCAATGGCCTTGGCCGTTTCGAAGCGAGCGGCAGGGTCCTCCGGTGAGAATGCAGGTGAGTAGACGACAGCAATGCTTTCGGTTGGGGCACCGGGCGCTCGGGTTGGGAAGCACACCGTGAAAGATGGCACGATGCCGGTGATTCCCTCCTCTTCAATAGCCGTCTCGAGCTCAGTCGCGCTCCACTTGACGCCATTCACAATGATGGCATCTTTCGTGCGACCCGACAGGTGCAGATTGCCAGCATCATCGAGGAAGCAAAGGTCACCTGTGATGAACCAACCGTCGAGGGTGAAGGATTCTCCCGTCGCCTTCTCATTGTTGTAGTACCGATCAAACACCACGGGACCCGAGACTTGAAGTTCTCCTGACTCGCCTCGGGCTGCTTGTTCGCCAGGCTTGCTGATGCTCATGACACGCATCCGCATGCCAGGGATGCAAGAGCCCAGGCTTGCGAATTCAACAGATCGTCCGAGATCGTACGAGGGGCAGGACAGGGAGTAGATAGAACCGGCGCAAGTCTCAGTCATGCCGAAGCCGGGCCTGATCACCTCACCCGGGCAGCCGAGACGGATAAGCTCCCGTGTCAGCTCATAACAAGTCGCAGTAGGATTGGACTCCCCGCCAGAGATGAGGGCTTTGAGGCTTGAGAGATCAGCAGTGAAGTCCGGGTTTGCGATCAAGCTGTCCCGAACCATGGTCAGGAAGAAATTGGGTGCGAATGTGTACCCAACGCTGTGGGTATCCAGAAGGCGGATGAATTGTAGAGGATCTCGAAGCAGATGAGATGCGGAAACATGGACTTGATCGGCTCCAAGGCTCACTAGAAAGGAGAGAAGAAGGTCAGTCAACAATGGATCCTAGAGCTGAGACCAACTAACGAAGTAGATGTTTATTCTTACTTGCATGGAGATGAATTTCTGTCAGGCTAGCCACGTGATCCAGGCCGATCCAGTTGAAGAAGACGTCGCCTGTCACAGTGCGATGGTGCATACTCTTCCCTCGGACAGCTTTGAGGATCTGGCCATGTCGCAACGGGACAGCCTTGACGTTGCCCGTACTTCCCGAGGTCAACATGAGCACGGCGATAGTGTCGGAGCCTATCTTCTCTCCGACGAAGGACTCCTCAACGGGCTCGGAGACATGGTCGACTTGGGGCTGGTGAAGAGACTCGACAACGCTCAAGTTGAGTTGGTCGAGTCCCAGGAACTCGGGTGCAAGTCTCTTGTTGGTCAAGATGATCGGCTCTTTCAGCAAGGCATGCAGGTGGAGCAAATGCTTCCTGCGTTGCGCAGTGTCGTTGACTAGTGGCAGAGAAAGCGTCGGCAGATACCCTGCAAGGGTGGCGGCCCAGAACCACAGAATGTTGTCTTTTTGGGTATCGAAGTGCAGCAAAACGATCTGCTCAGGTGAATCGGGCTTTATGCAGCTGCTGATCAAGCGAGCCTTGCTGCTCGCTTCTGCAAGAAGCTCTTTGTAGGAGGTGACAATTGGCTTGAGCTCGTCAGCCTCTTCCGAGTAGAAGACAAGGCTGCTGCCAGTATTTGCAGCCTTCAGAAGTAGCTGCGACAGGTTTTCGACGGACTCCGAGGGATCGAGAGCCGCCTTTGAGAGTGACTTGTCTCCACGCACTTCGTAAGGAGGAGAGGACCCGAGGAAATGTTGGACGTCGTCCTCTACGAAAGGGGCCATGATGATGAATGATAGACGAAGTAAGCTGCACGGGATATTCTGCCTGACTTCGAAAGTATGGGTCGCGCTCAACACTAAATAAACAACTTCGATATCAAACCACCTCGGACTTCTTCATGCAGCGGTGCCCAATAAATAGTGCGTGGCAACCACCCCGCGAGAGGGGAGGGACGGGACTTCTTGTTGGTGGACTGCCCAAGACTAGGTCCACTGTCTGCTTGAACTTGGCCATCTTCAACTTAGTGGGCAGAGACGCATGGCATGGCATTGCTACTATTGAATCCTTCGACATGAAGCAAACATATTTGCCAAACCACCTTATCGAGTGACGTGTCCCGATAGGCTCTTTGTTATTCAGGGTCCAACAGAGGGTATTGAGTTGAGTGCACATTCAATATCTGGCCTAGCGGTGAGGAGCTCTATCCCCTGTATTTTGGCATAAGCCTGGAGTTTTGACGTTGATCCGCAACGTGCTAACTGAAAATGGAAAACAGAAGCAAACATTGTCCAGGTTTCTGACGGGGCTAACATCGTCACCCCATGACTTGACAACTTGCCAAATCTCTTTCAAATATCAACAGGTCTGTCGCACAATAAGAAAAAAAAGGCACAAAAGCAATGGATGAGTCCCATGTATATGCATCATTGATGTGCGATGCGACCAACGAGTTTTACGGACATGAACATTCAATCCGTCATCGACGGCAACACCAACTTTGATATTGACTGAGTTGTTGGTACGACGTGAGTGCGAACCCTGTAAAACCATTGGTTGGAGTCAAACGACAGTTAGTTATCGTGTCGTCGATATCACGTTCCACAAGGCTCGGCTAAGATTGGGAGCAGATTCAACCGCTTAACCGTGTCTAATCTAGCAGAGGGCTCGGGATAACCAACCACGGTTCTCCAGGATGATCAGACCCGTGAAAGCGTCTGGATGAGTTACCAACGACTCTCTAGGTATCACGTCTTTGTGATGATCTTATCAGCAGGTTTGTTTGTTGGGGACATGGATTCAAGCGGCGAAGGCGTGCATTGATGACAGGCGATACGTCCAAGGCCAACCAACACGAGGCCGTTGCGGCTGCCCCTCCCACAATCGTCATTTGGCTGATGCTGGCCTAGACATGATAGAAGAAGTGCAGTTGGAAGCGCTGCTGACGTTGAGCAAATGTTGATAGAAATGACCAACAGCATGAAGATTCGTGGTCAGCGCGGCCGACGATATAAAGCTACGACAGGATAGCCAGCTATAAGAAAGAACCCGCAAATAGTCTTAGCAAGCACATTGACTGTTTAAACCCTTTGGGAAGCGTGAAACTCAGATAGGTGTAACTTGTATTGGAAAACCCATGAGGAACTGAGTATGCCCCGATCAATGTTGTTGATGGCGGTTCGCCGCCATTCAAACACTCGCAACACTTAACCTTTCTTAATGCAAAGTGATCAGGGGTCATAGAAGACTGCTTCTTTAGTTTATTTCTGTGTTAGAGTGATATTGGGCGTGGCTAATGATTACCCCTCATTATTTGCACCTGGTTGACTTGGAAAATACTCTCTTGATGGTTAATCCTGTCATGGCTTCTATACTATGAACTTGGACTGACCATTTTATTCAGTATGGATGTATCGTTCTCTATATCTTGCTAAACGTTCATTGCGACTCCTTGCGGGTGCGGCGAATTTAACAGAATACCCCATTTTCTCACTGTGAATGGAATTGTTTGTTGGCCGAAGACGGACAGAAACTCCAGTTCATCAATCATCATTCCAACGTCAATATTCAGTCTTGAACATCCGCACCTATTGCAGATCACAGTTGGGTCGACTAGGATGATGTCAAGCATTTTGTCAGGGCGTCAAGTGATGTGGCTCGATCCTGCTCCCGGCATCTTAGAAAAATAAGGAAAACAAATACTCAGGCCCAACAATCGGGAACGCTAACCTGATTTGAGATTCTGAACGCCATGATGCAGCCTCGGCCCGGGAACACCGCTGAGACATTCCATTTAACTGGATACGTCCAGCGTCCTCGATTCATCTCGTCATGCATGCCTCATTTTGAGGGGCAGACTAACCCCAGCCGTCAAATACTGGCCTGCAAAGAAGTTAACGATCTAAGTCATAACTAACTCCATCCGCAAAGAATCCATAAAGAGTAGACACTGTGGCTGGTGAGTTCGGTTGCTCAAGGCACGCGGATGGATGGCTGAGAATGCCGAAAACGGCAAAGTTTAGTCGGTGAATTCGAGCTAGAAGCCACAACTTGGATCGGCATGAGGGATCTAACAAATGTACTGACGATCTATTATAAGAATCAAATTGTCCGCGAACGGAAGGCGCTAAGAAATAGTCTGCTTCTATGCAGGAACGATAAATAAATTTTCGAATCCTGCGCTGCCGTGCAACCAACACCTTGAAAACCACAACATATCTCAAAGGTCGACCCAACCGAACAATTGAAATCTCGCGAAACCTTACGAAAACATGATGAAGACATCTTGTATTGGGCTGCTTTTCCTTGCAGGAATTGCTGCAGCCGTGGTATCACCAGACTCGAGCTGCGGAGGCTCCAAAGGGTACACATGCGCAGGGTCACAATGTTGTAGCCAGTACAACTGGTGGTAAGTTTCAGGCTCATTCAAAAGGCATGTTATTTGAACTATCAATGGAGGCTAACCTATCTCAGTGGAACAACTGATGGACATTGCGGAGCAGGTTGCCAGTCGAAGTTCGGCAAATGCACGACGGCTTCGAGTGGCAATGGCGGCAATAGCGGCAGTAAGATCAGTCCCGATGGCACTTGTGGAGGCACAAACGGATACACCTGTACTGGAAGTACTTTCGGCAACTGTTGCAGTCAGTGGGGATATTGCGGTAACACGGATGACCATTGTCTCAACGCATGCCAGTCGAAGTTTGGAGATTGCAGTTCCATCACCAACGGAGGAAAGTCGGTCAGCACGGATGGATCTTGTGGCGGATCCAAAGGCTTCACCTGTCAAGGAAGCAGTTACGGCGACTGCTGCAGTCAATGGGGATACTGCGGCTCAACCAGCGACCACTGCGGCACTGGCTGTCAGTCTTCCCTAGGAACTTGTTCTGCTTCGGGCGGAAATGCCCCTGCGAGTACTTCAGCTGCGTCGAAACCTGCTACCACGGGCGTCAAGACGAGCCCTGACAACAGCTGCGGTGGCTCCAACGGATACACTTGTACATCTGGGTTGTGCTGGTGAGTTCATATCATTCTTCCTCCCTTTGGAGTACTGCCCAACTAACTAGCTTTCAGCTCGAAGAACGGATACTGCGGTAATACAAGCGACTTTTGCGGGTTTGGGTGTCAGTCTTCCTTCTCGCCTGGAACTTGCACGGCCTGTCCTGGATCAGCATGCTCCGGTACGATATCAGCCAACCCTGCGTGCTCTGCAGACAATGGCAAGTGCTGGACACTCAACTCAAAGAAGTTCCAAGTCACATGTGGCAGACTGGCTTCGGGAGACTACATCGGTTATGTCGACGCCACCAGCTTCGGCGACTGCATTTCCAAGTGTGCCGCAAACGCAGCCTGCGTTGCTGCTTCTTTCTACCAGGGAAGTAGCACGAGCTGTAGTCTGCTCAGCAGTTACCAAGGTCCCGCGTCTGGCAACTCTGCAGGTGGTCAACAGAACCACGCATACGTCCGTAGCCCCAGCTGTGGTTAAAGCTGCTTGTCGAGCTGTCACAAATTTGCGCAGTGGAAAATGCACTTCCTGTATGTTAGGTTAAAGTTTCTTGGTGGTTAAAGATCTGTACTTTTATCATCGAATGTTGGAATCCTTAACATATTTAATTCTCGTGCGACGTTTTATTTCGAAGCCACAGGGGAACATGACAGTCATAGTCTAAGGGCTGGAATCTGCTTGCTGCGCGATCAGGTCGTTGAAACATTCGGTCAACAATAAGTGTAGAATTGGACTATGGAACGAAATTTCGGCTTGAAAGGAAAGTATTGTTTCCATCATCTGGGACATTCGCAGTTTTGTCTGATAATAAACACTGCCAGAAGTCCCAATCCATACCCAGGGCACTATCAGAGATAGCGCCATGTGTCTCGAACGAAATCTCAATCATCTCCTGCGGGATGTTGTGACCCCAGATTTCAGGTTCTGAGTGCCGGTTTGGGTCCTGAATTTGGCTTGATGACAGACTGATAGGGGTACTAGGGGTAAAGCCACCTAGATCCATCGCCTCGGCAGCCTTATTCTGCGAATCGTGAGATCTTTCTCGCAACAGCTTTCCGATACACGGAGGTTCCGCTGGTGGTTGTAGTCCTAGTTTCTTCGCGTTGTCCAATGACCTGTTCCAAGACTTGCAAGTCAGATTTCCAAGTGCGCGGTAAAGAACGCGGCTGTTGTTGGAGATGAATGATGGGTGGTGTTCGTAGACTTGATTTATAACATCCCAAGCAGCATGAGTTAGCTGACTTGTCGCGCAACTGGGAAGAGTTCCGACCATCAAAACGAAGGTTTCGTAGGGAAAGAAGTTGGAGACGTGCCAGAGGAAGCCTTTCAGTGATTTTGTCGTATGTGCCATGATGTCGTACTGAATAATTTCCAAGCTATTCTTGAGGATCATCTCCAGCTTTTCTGGGTCCAGATCTCGGTTTTCACTGCGGCGGTGCATCGGATGGCAAGTTGATATCCTAAACTGACAGATCGACGAACGGGCCATACCAAGTGCGAGACGATTCAGAGGGATATCCGTGTCGATGTTTCTCAGATACTTGTGTTCGATGTAGTTTTCGATTTCATCAATGGCCTTGAGAAAACCGGGGTGTCCGTCGTGTGATCCGGAGTAGCCAGGGAGGACTTTTTGTTGCCTCATCCAAAGTCCGATCTCAATTCTAATCGAGCAAAATGCCATTTCGGTCGTGATTGGTGATGGCGGAGGGGGCAATCCCATGGCAGGCACAAGATCGCCATCGTTTACATTCACCGGCTGGTTCGTGTCACCGAGAAGATACAGCGTGTGGTTCCTGGATGCGCCCGTAACCTGGGCGGCACGGCCATCCAGAATGATGATCTGCCACCACACTCTTCGCCGCATCTCTGCTTCGAATGGGGATAGGTCCTTCAAAGACCTCTCACGATGCAATCCCATTCTTTGTCCCATGCGGGTAGCAAGACCTGTTAGAAGCCATAGAACGTCGTCATCACACAGGTGACGAAGGGCCAGCTATGGACATTGAGTCAGCTTCCTGTTCAGAAACAGGGAGACAAAACGTGGGTGAAGAAGCCTACCAGATACAGAGTGAAAGCCTGTAGTACTTTAAGGTCTGTGGACCTCAAGAAATCGACCCTGCTCAATGCTGCTTCAGTAGCGTATCGGTACCGAGCTAGATGCTTGTCTCTGGGTTCGTCGAGAAGACTTCGACATTCTTCATCGGACAAAGTCACAACTGCCATGAGGTAGATCGAAAACATGAGGGCCTCTGTTGGCAACGTGGTTGCCGATGAATCTGAAAGCACTCGGAGTATCTCTTCCTGCACGGACGGGCCATGAACAATCTTTGTTAGGGGATGAACATTGCTGAGGTAGATCTGCCAGAGCCTGAATGACTGAATAGCCGAGGGATGCAGCATCTCTGGAAACTGCCCCTGGCTGTAGCCAAAAATGAGGTTGGCATGGGATGGAGGGGCTTTCTCCCGCCGAGGGGTAGGCTCGTGTTTAGAATTTAGGTCTCTTGGTTCCAGCTGGTAAGTTAGATAAGTCAGCTAGCGAAAAGTAGAGTACGAGCAGGGAATAATAAGACTTTACCTCTTCACTGAGACCATCCCATAGCTTGTTACTATTTGATGTCGAAGTTTAGCTTTTGCTCCCGAAGTTTCCATAGTTGGACGGTGAACACCTACTCTTCCACGTATCGCCGCTGGTCGCCACTTGCCACGATATGCCCGCTGCTGTTTGGTGAACCTGGCTTTGTGGGCCTAGGACGCCCATGAACCGCCCTAGGTGGTCGAACACAGTCTTTGCCGGTTTTGATGCAGTAAGCACATGGGGTTTGCCCGTTGCATCTGATCTTGCGGCTCTGGCAGGGAGCACAGGAGTGCCCTCTGGTGATTTTCAAGTCGGTCATGCTGCCAGAGTGAACAACAGGTCTGTCGCGAGATCTGAGGTTGGCGAAGGGTCGTAAGTGCGCAAAATCTGCTGTTTCTGTGTATCTTCGGTGGTCTCGGAAGTTTGTTCGAAAAGTTGTCGGTCTCTTGCAGGGTGGTTGACTTCTCATATGCGTAATTGGGGTTCTGCCGTGACAACTCCGTCTGCGCCGCAGACTCGCGTGCGAATTTCAATCGAGACATGCTGGTCATTTCTAGCAACGTTGGTGGTACGATTGCCGCGTTTGTTTCGCTGTCCGTTTTGTATTGCACGGGACCGCACTGAAGCTGGCGGCGAGCTTCGGTCCCGAAGTACTCCAAGTGACCCGAGCTAACCACTCAGAATCTAGCTCAAGGTCCTCCATTCCTCCATCCATCCTGCATTTGGAATAGCGGATGGATCATACTTACCTACGCGGAGATTATGTAGGTCATTTCTAAGCCATTCTCAGCCACAAACATGTTTTGCGGCCTTCTCTGTGCGCGCTTTTCTTTGCAAGGGCAGCGTCGGGACCGCGGGTGCGGGACCGCTGGAGCGGCCCCACTCTCAAGATCTTGAGATACCGGCGCCGAGAGTCTCGGAGCGGGACTTCCGCGTGGGCATGACTCGGCCTCAATTTCACAGACACTGTCTGTCAATAACCATAATAAAAGAAGCCCACATCGCAAACCATGTTCTGTGACAGTATATACCTCGAAAATCAATTCACCCGATCTTTCCAGACCATTTGCGATTGAACTTGCTATTCTCTACACTTCAAACCCTCAACCCCAAAAAGTATCATGTCAGACATCCGGGAGAAGGAGGAAAGCATCCTCCAAGACCCAGCGAAGACTCCAGATGTGGAGACCGAGGCCACTGGTGAGGATTCCGACGAGTCAAAGTACCCGAAAGGCCTGAAACTCGCGGTCATCATCCTCTCCAACATGATCGCCATGTTCCTCGTCGCCTTGGATCGAACGATCATCACCACTGCAATCCCTCGCATCACAGACGACTTTCGTTCTCTCAACGACGTCAGTTGGTACGCGAGTGCCTATCTGATCACAAGTTGCGCAACTCAACTCCTCTGGGGCCGAATCTTCACCTTCTACTCGACGAAGGCAGTTTACCTCGCTGCTATTTTCCTTTTTGAAGTTGGCTCCCTTATTTGTGGTGCTGCTCCAAACTCAGTCGCTTTCATTCTCGGTCGCGCCATCGCCGGCATGGGCTCGGCCGGCATATATTCAGGTTCGACTATTTTGATCACGAGCGTCACTCCGCTATCCAAACGTGCTGGCTACGTCGGCATGATGGGTGCCGTCTTTGGCATTGCATCGGTCATCGCACCTTTGATCGGTGGCGCATTTACTGATCGCGCAACTTGGAGGTGGTGCTTTTATATCAAGTAAGTCAAGACCCTTCGAGTTTAAATCCTCTCGATGTCCAGTTCACTGACGCGTTCAACAGTCTTCCTGTCGGTGGAGTTGCGGTCGTCGCCCTTATTGTGCTATTTCCACAACTGGGCCAGAAGAAATCCACACCGATCAAACAACAAATCAAACAACTCGACCCATTGGGCAGTCTTGTATTTCTGCCAGGTGTCATTTGCCTCATTTTGGCTTTACAATGGGGTGGTGAGAAATACTCTTGGAGTAATGGTCGAATTATCGCCCTCCTTGTTCTGTCTGGCGTTCTGCTCATTGCCTTCGTCGGCATCCAGATTTGGCAACGCGAAAATGCCACAGTTCCTCCGCGACTCTTCAAAGTCCGCAACGTTTGGCTGGGCACCATTTTTGCGTTCTGCCTGGGCGCCGTTCTCATCGTCTTCTTGGTAGCCCTACCGATATGGTTCCAGGGTATCAAAGGCACTGATGCTGTCACGTCCGGAATCAATATCCTTCCTCTGGTCCTCTCCCTCGTGGTGGGAGCCATCGTATCTGGCGGCATGATCAACGGAGTCGGCTGGTTCAACCCAGTCTTCTTTTCATCCGTAGTGTTCATGTCAGTCGGAGCGGGGCTCATTTCTACCTTTGGTGTTGACACGCCTACCCACACTTGGATCGGATACCAAATCATCCTTGGCCTCGGGATCGGCCAAGGCATGCAACTCGCAAGCTTGGGGGCACAAGCCTCATTGGAACAGATCGATGTTCCAACCGGCGTCTCCCTCATGTTCTTTGCTCAATCGCTTGGCGGCGCAGTGCTCGTGTGCGTCGGACAGGCTGCATTTAACGACTCTCTGCGCTCCCGACTCAGCAATTTTGATGGCCTCGATGTCGTCCACATTATTGGTCAAGGAGTCACAGGGCTGAGGATGGTAGTTCCTGCCGATCTTCTGCAGTCTGTTCTGACTCAGTACAATGCGGCACTACGAAGCTACTTCTATGTCGGGCTGGCAGCTGCTTGCTTTGCCATCGTGCCGTCTGTGTGCATGGAATGGAAGAGTCTGAAGGGCAAGAAGATGCATTAGCGTTCATACTTTTCCGGGATAAACATGATACTTAGAAAGCATATCGGCATGTATGATCTAGTGCTACATTGAGGTGGAATTTAGGAACTTGTATAATGATTAGTAGCTGGTTTTGGACGAACTCTTCTTGCATCATAGATATCTTCATTTTTGCAAATACTCCAAAACACAAGTTGATCCCGCAGACAGGGAAATAATTGCATCTCAGCCAAGCATCTTGAATCTATGGATCCTACTTGATTCCTATTCCAGCGTCATTAGACCCTTCTCCGCCTCGGCGGAACGAAGCAGCCACTTTATCCCACTTTCGATAGTTCCCAACAGCCCCTCCCCCACCCTTCACACATGTGTGAGCCACCACTGCCCTCCACTCAAGCCAGTCCAAGATATTGAACTGATAACCTTGACTTGCAATTTCCACTTACGGCCCTCTCCACTTACGAAGGGTGAACCCACTTAGTCTACAACTCATCATGGAGATATAAGTGGTTGCCTGTCGCGACAGCACGACTCACTCTGACTCCTGAACAACAACCTGCTTTATAAGCCTCTGCCATTAAACACGTAATCACCAGTGAGTTGATACAATTGTACTAAGAAAACGTATGAGTTGGCGCTGATAACATCCTAGTGCCTTCTGAAGTTGAAGATATCACCGCCGTTCTTCACGCATACGGCGCAGCCCTGAAGAGCAGAAATGTGGAAGAGGCTGTCGCCCTGTACACAGCCGATGGCGTCATTATGCCACCGCATTTCACAGCCGCCGCTGGCACTAAGGCGCTCCAAGAGTCCTACACCCGCATCTTCGCGTCGATACAGCTTGTAATCACCTTTGACATTGACGAGGTTGTCGTCATGTCTCCTGAGTGGGCGTTCGCACGGACAACGGCAGCAGGCACCAAGACTATGCTGGCGACACAGGAGTCAGAGGAACACGCCAACCAGGAGCTCTTCATTATGAAGAAGGAGGACGGTAGTTGGAAGATTGCGAGATATGCCTTCTCGACTATGAAACCTCTTGTCCAGAACGGCATTCGAAGAAGTTGATTAAGCGTCGAGATAGACAATATGCAAAAGAGTTGTAGACGTGTTAATTTGCACTTCCATCCAAGTTTAATTCACGATGCCCTTGATGGTGGATTCAGTCTGTGATGTTGTACTTTATGTTTGGCCCGCAGATCTTGTTGAGAACGTGGCTTCGTTTTAAGACTTTGCACACTGTACTCAACACGCCCGTTGGCTGATTGCGGTCAGTAGTATTTTGTGTCGAAGAGAATGGCTTTAGGCTGTATTCTATCAAAGTTCCCAACTCGAGACTCTGCGGACCAACTGGGTATCCCGCAATAGAAACAGAAGGACTCTACTTTCACGTAGAATCAACTTCAGGTCTTGCTATCCACCTCAAAGGATGTAATCTGCGAGACGGCCAATGTACTGTTGCTAGTCACAGTCAATGTATGACGCTAGATTCCTGCACCTGGCCCGGTAAAAACGCTGGCCCGATGTCACCTTCGCACGTTTTCCATGATTATATTATCCCGCAGGCTTGTACGGATACGTGAGTGAGTGACATGCCGCCAAGCTGGATGTCTTCTGAGGCCATTTACAAAAGCATATAAATGATTGGAGGAATTTCACATTTTTTTCATCCAGCCATGGGTGTATCTCTTACAGCATGTGGCACGGTAAGCAGGCTGAGATAAACACGCGAAGAAAACGCCTTTGCGTCCTTCTACTAACACTTCAGCTATCCTCATGTGGAGCGCGATTTAGCCAATTCCACGCTTGCCAAGCCTCTCCTTCTCCTTTCTGGTGCGATATGTCAACGACCCTGCACAAATGCGATGCTGTGCCACAACGTGCGGATGCAGGTGTCATTGGTCGAGATTCGGCAAACACCATAGGCCGTCCATCACACCAAAGTTACCTGCGGTCTTCAAGCCCACGCAGACTAGAACGGGAGTCGACTTTTGTTCAATGCGAAGGACTGGCACTCTCATAAGTGATGAAAGAAGTCCACAGTCATGTGTATTAGGACGAGCACTGATTGCTATCACGTCTGAATGGATCTTTGGGCCATTTGTCCATCGTACTATTTCTTGGCGCGTTACACTGACCCTTGATTGTGTGGGACGGCAACTGATCACTCTATCTACTTTGCATGGCTGCTGAACGTTCAAATGCATCTACAACGACGTCAGGTCAAGCTCTACCCCGCAAGATCACCAGCCACTTCAACAAACACCAACATCTCTCCGCAAGCCAAGATTCTCGTTTCCGGGGAATTCCCACCTGTCTCCTCTTTTACACGGCGATTGTGGGCACTTGGGTCTTGAATCCGGGACCACGCCGCCAGGCCGAGATGAGCTGTGCCAGTCTTGTACTTGAACAGCTAATTGGAGTTTAGGGTTCGGATATCACGCCAAGCATTTGCCAAGGGAACTACATGCTCATCCTCAAGTCCTGATTCACGGAAACTCGAATTTCAATTGTCCGTTGCATGTTTCTAGTTCTTTTTCTTGGGCAGCTTGCACCAACACCAATTATGATGGTGATCGGAGCTTTGTTAGCTACGTAATCAGGGAATGACATAGCTCTGAGAGCTTCATGGACGTCGAAAGTCACTTTGGGAGGTTTTGGCAGCCGCAGATATAAAAGGTGATGGGTTTCCAGACGATAGCAACTGTCGAAGATCCGGCAGTACTGCGGATTTCTGGTCAATTGGTCCTTTAATAGTTTGGGAGAATATCATATCACTCCACCAATCTTTCCAGCACGCCACATAACATCATCCAAACAACCATGAAGATCGCCGGCTCATCTATCTTCTTCCTCCTGCCTGCATTGGCCCAAACGGCTGTCATTGAGCGGCGCCAGACTGGCGATGGACCAGGAGGTTCAGCCGATAGCACCCAAGGAGACTTGGGTGAACGGCCTCCTCCTCGCTTCCCCTTCCCAGTGACGAAGTTCCCCGTTGCTACGGAGACAGTTGTGCTTGAGCAGGCCATGTACGTCATGCCTGGTCAAGTCTTCGACGGAGGAATGAAACGTTACGAGCGCGTTGAGGGTAGCTGCAATGAGCAAGCTGGTATGTTTGAACCAAGGAACAAGGGCTCTTCCTTCGCCATCATAGAACTGACAGATCATTCTTTGTTCAGAGGGCACCGACGCAGACGCAGTCTTCAATCTTCTTTCAGGCTCCACCATCCGGAACGTCATCATCGGCCAGCATCAGGCTGAGGGCATCCATGCTCTTGGAGATGCATGGGTTGAGAACGGTACGACAGCTATCCTTTGAACACGAATGAAATGCTGACTTAATCGCGAAGTCTGGTGGGAAGATGTTTGTGAGGACGCCCTCACCGCTAAGGGCCTCAACACTCAACTTCGAGTCATTGGAGGTGGCGCCCGTAACGCAACAGACAAGGTAATCAAGTTTGGCGGCTCCAATTTCTCAGGCTACCTGGTTTTCATATGCAATTCACATGCTGACGCAGCAGCAGATCTTCCAAGACAACTCTTTGGGTGGCAAGTACAACATCACGGGCTTCTACGCCGAGAACTTCGGAGTAAGTTGTTATCGGGCCGATCCGTCATGATCATACTTGCTGAACAACATGCAGACCTTCTACCAATCATGCGGGAACTGTCTCAACCAGGCAAAGAGAAATGCGACCATTCAGAACGTGGTCGCTGTAAACGGCATCAGAATGGGCATTGTGCGTTTCAATTTGCCCTTTTCAGGAACACTAGATCCTTCTTGCTAACCACTCCATCTTCATCGCAGATTAACCCCAACTACGGAGACGAATTCCGGCTCAAGAACTCCCAACTGCAAGACCTTGACGTTATTGTCGACAAGGAGATCGGAAACAACGTTCAAACCGTGCCCTACACAATTGGAAACGGACCGGACCTGAAGTACGCTCTGTACAATGAGACAAGGGACGCAATCACCGAGTTTGAGGGCGAGGTGCTGAACACCTATGAGCCTGAGGAGCCGTACGAATGGCTTGAGACTTACTGGCCTGATGGATTCAACTGATCATGAAGGAATGTGGTAGTGTCAAATGGCAGCTTAGATCAATCATCGTAATGCATTATGTTTAATGAGCCACGATTCTGAATGCATGTAAACCTTTCGTCGATTGTTTTGCCGTGATGAATGATCCGGGGATAGCTCCGGAGTCCGATAACCTCCACTCTCCCACTCTGCCGTGTTTCACGGCCCCACCCGGGACGGCTCCGAGAAACACAAGTCACGTTTAGGACAAACAGCAACAAGAGCCTGGACTGCAGAGGACGCCGGTCGCATAAGTTTAAGGTAAAGAATTCGTTTTCGTGATGTTTCCTTCTTTGAAAACCTGGAAGCGACTGGAGCTTAGAATACCTAATCTGGCGGCGATGTTCATGTCAGCGGCCGGGTTATCAATAGGACGTCCGGCGCCAATATGGGGAGTGCAGGGTAGTGTTCAAATGCTACGATGAAGAATTCATTGCGTGAAGAGCATTTGTATGCTTAGCCTCCCTTCGTTGCGAAATGTTGCTCCTCGCTGTCGCATAATGTCTCGCTACTGCCATTTTCCCAAGCCATTGCGAAATTGGCGCAGGAGTTCAATTGTAATCAATCAAAGACGTGAAATCCGGAGACATTGTTCCACAATATTTGCAATGGTTGGACTCGCTTAGCAGCGGGGGATATAAGTAAGACCAACCCAGCCACACAAAGAAGCAAACAGCCAGGCGCAACGGGAAACATCGCGCAGCACGAAGCGCAGGAAACGTACGGCTGTGATGGTATGTTTCCGGATACCTGCGTGCAGCAAACCTGGAAAAAGGGCCGTTTGAGCTACCCGAAATAAACGTCCATCAGCATCGTGACTAGCAAGGCGAAAGGAAACGTTCCATGCCGTAACACTCGTTGCAAACGGGGCTGACATCATTGTCAGAATTCCAACCGATGCCACTTCTTGGAATGTGAGCATTGCTCTTGGGCTAAACTATCGGTCTCTGCCGGCTGGGCTCGTATTCGAAGATCACAGCGCGACGGCTTCTAGAGGTCAAAGATTCTTTGCAAATCAGTCCCGCATCGAGACATGATACATAGTGTCTTCATTTGAGATCGGAAACAGACGTCCATCTAGCTCGTACCAGCGACTTGGCGATGTCCCCCTGCAAACCCCCTCAGACATGACATGGCCCGCACCCTCGTGACATCGTTCTAAGGGATCACTCATCTACCATTGCATCCCACTTTCCAATCTTCCCCTCCTTGACGTCTCCCAGCCCCCGGTCTTGATGCCACGCCTTCGGTTTTCGGGTTCTTGACACCAGACATCATACACCAGACCAGATCGCAAGTACGGAAAGGGCCACTTTGCGTGCGAAGGGGTGCTCCTCGATGGAGAAAAGTCGATCATGAGCTCGCCTAACGCCTTCATCGCCAATGGCACCTGTTACTATGCGGCGAACGAGAAGGTCGACGACTGGCTACCTTGCGGTAATGCCGCTCTTGGTGATAAGAGCTGCTGCCAGAGAGGCGACATGTGTCTTTCCAGTCACGCCTGCTATAACCCGCGATTTGGAATCACGTATCAAGCGGGTTGCAGCGACCCAGACTACAAAGACGCAAACTGTCCTGACAAGGGTGCGCTGAGCGGTAAGTTGATCTACTTGGAACCGATCCAACGTGCATAGTTGACAGTTTTACATCACAGATCATCCCTGGACCGGCCTCGTCTACTGCAACGGAACATCAGAACAGTGGGTTGCCTGCGAGCAATCGAGAAAACCGAAAACTCTCACCTCGGCGGACGCTTGCTGGTGCCCACAAGCATCACGAACAGTCGCATTCACCGATTCCTCGATTCTCGAAAACATAGTACAATTACCCACCGCTCTCGGGGGCAGCGTCATCTGGCAACCCGGCCATGTCCCGATTCCGACACAACCGAACACTACGCCAACCGAATCGTCCTCGGTCCTTACTCCCACTACTACTCCTTCAACCTCTGTTCCAAGTCCGACCGAGACCGGCAAGGCTGCTGGAACCGATTACACAAGTATGACTTCAGGGGCGAAGGTTGGCATTGGCGTCGGTGTCGGAGCTGGGTGCATGGTCCTTCTTGCTGTCTTGATATACCTATTTTTCGCCCGGCGGAAACTGCAGAAGAGCGATAGGGCTGAGCTTGAGAACACAAAGTTTGGAGGAGGTCAGGGCTGGGGACGCACCCCGATGACTCCAGCCGGCACAACAATTTCAGAACTGGAACCGACCAACGCGTATCAGTGGTCTACGAGAACGGAGCTCGACGCAACTCCGCGAGGATCTACAGCGGAAGAACCTGATGGATCTGGCAACAAGATGCACGAACGACCTCATTCAAGCCCTCTTGGGAAGTCACTGAGCGTAAGCAAGTCGGGTAAGGGAAAACATGAGAGATCACCAATCCCAATAGCAGAGTTACCAGGATGAGCGCAGGTTTTGCATTGCATGAGGGAGGTCTAGTAGGTTTGTGACAAATTGAACGGAGTCAAAACATTGAAGCTGTAGATATGTAGGTTTATAAAATCGAATACGTCTTCTATCCTTATTTCAGCCAAATGTGGTCTAACCCAGCGCCTCTTACATACTGAGCTTAAGGGGAACGAACCATCAAGTTGTATCATGATCGACCAGACTTTTACCTAAAGATGTTTGTTTACGGATACTCTCAGCTCTGTTGATAACGCCGAGCTGAAAATCTGTCGCGGCCAAGGCATTCATTTTCATTGCAACATTCCGCACCCCGCTCGGCAGTTGACAATCCTCGGCAGAAAGGTCATCAACAAACCGTCTCAGTCTCAGCCTGTAGACCAAATCATCCAATAACCGGACCATTCGAGGTATGTTAAACATGACGGATCAGACCTTACAGTCTTCTGGCCTTTTGAAAGTACTCGAGCAGCGTCCATTTAAAGCCTCTGCTGAAGCAGTGCCTAGAGTCAGAAGCATACTCCTTTGCCTAGCCACTTCAGTTATTCGTTGCTTTTCAGTCATGTCACCTGATCCTTATACTAACTCTGACTTCTGGGAGTCCTTCGAGCAGCCGCATCTCCCGGCGATCCAACTTACTGAGAAACACACTGATGGGTTGGAGAGCTCTTTTCCAAAACAAGCCTCAGTGGGTGCAAGGAAGGATACCGATACAGCTCCCCGGAAGGATAACGATGCAGCTTCCAAGAGGATCATAATCTGCTGCGACGGCACGTGGCAGTCGTCTGCGACTGGCAAGAAGAACATACCCTCCAACGTCACGCGCCTAGCCCGCTCAATTTCTCGAACTGGGCGAGACGAGAAAGGCAATCTTTTCCAACAGGTCGTATACTACAGTTCAGGTATCGGTACTGGCGACCTAACGCTGCTCGAGAAGGCCAGAGAAGGTGGTTTCGGTGTTGGTCTCAACGGAGATGTCGTCGATGCCTACAACTTCATCGTCAACAATTACTCACCAGGGGATAAGATCCTCTGCTTTGGTTTCTCTCGCGGGGCATACACAGCTCGTTCGGTTGCAGGTCTTGTAACTGACATCGGCATCATTCGCCCCAAAGATATGCAAGACTTTCCTGATCTTTTCGACGTATACCGTCACAGCGACGAAAGCCATAACTTTCGGCAATCGAAGGAGTACCGAGAGTGGGTCACGGGAGTCCGGGCGAAAGACGGCGACCCCGGAAAGTACGTGATCGATGGAGAGAACTGGATCAAGGTTCCCCATAGAAAGCCTCGAGAGGAATCCAGGTTCATCGAAGCCATCGGAGTTTTTGACACCGTTGGAAGCCTGGGTATTCCAAATGCGACCATGTCGCAATGGAGTCTCAGCCTTGTTCGACGGTTTGCACCCATCTTGGGTATCGACGATGGCGGTTTCCACAACCTCTCTCTGAGTCCATGTAAGTTATGCAGCTCAACTCTGCCACCGTAGCCAACGCAACGATTGATATGCTAATCGGGCGACAGTCACCAGAAACGCGTTTCATGCACTTGCTCTGGATGAGCACCGTAAACCCTTTTCCCCGACCCTCTGGCACTATCCTCCAAAGGAGCAACGAGATCCACCGGCGCGCAAAGACAAGAAGACCACCGAAAAGCTCGCAGACGAGTTCCGTTCCCTTCAGCACAAACCATGCACCAGTGAAGAGCAACTTTCCGACGCATGGGCTGATTACATTGGCGAGGCTATGTACGAGGCGATGAAGCAACCTGACCCGAAACTGCTCCAAGTCTGGTTTCCCGGGTATCACATCAACGTCGGCGGTGGAAACCCGAATATTCTTGACGGGGGACAAACGGATTTTGAACGTAAGTAATCAAATCAAGCAAGTGACAGATTTGGCGCTGAAACGAGCAGAAATCTCACTCATCTCCTTCGCATGGATGTGTGAGCAAGTAAGACCATACCTGCAACTCGACGATAACGCAGATGAACTAGAACAAACCAAGTCATCGCTAGCCGATCGTGAGGTCGAACAACGTAAGAAGCTGATCGAAGACTCGAGAGCTGCTAAGAACTATGGTTCTTACAGAGTCATGGAGCCTATTTGGAGAGCATTGGATGTGACTGGGCTCTACGAGGCTTCCTGGAAGACGCTGCCAGAGGCTGCCGACGACGAGTGGGCACTGGGCCCTATCGAAGACAGTTTCAGTGGGTTGATGAGGATGGCGCACTCGAAATACCGAACTCCGGGAGAATACAAGAAGGACGATGTCGGAAATGATGTCGGTGAAACAAACGAGCAGATTCATCCATCTGTTCACTTCCGAATTGCCGGCCACCCCACTTACCTTCCGCCTTCTCTTGAAGGGTTTTTGAGATCGAAAAAGAAAACCACCGGCGATAAGTCGCTCACCAAGAGATATGAGTATGAGTGGAGGAAAGGAAAAGTGGTCATCCCGGAGTATACGATTGACCCTTCTCACAATATCACACGTCGCCTAGCAGAACATTTCATGGGTGGCAAGGGGTTTGTTGAGCAGCTCTTGGCAGTGCATGAGGATAAGCTTCAGTATAGCCCTGGTCATCTTCAAGATTGATTGTCTCCTTGCGCCAGTGGTTGTTGGAATCAATTTTGTAGTTGAGCACCAACACGTAATAGATAAGTAGTGTGGAATTTGCATTCTTTCTCAATATGAGACTCAATCATGGATTTACATCTATCTGACTCAAGTTCATGACTTCCACGTAGTACTACTTGCATCTTTCTTCTACAAATACGTCAAGCAATGAGCCTCGGGAAAGCGGGCTTTGCTCTTCACTTTGCACCTAACGTAGAATTTCTCTGGTCTGGCTGCGATTTGAGATGACGATGCCTGAATTAATTGACTCGCTATGCTTAAGAAAAATGAAAATTCCAAAAGTACCCCATGCTCCCGCAAGACTTGATATAAAACGTTCAAACGCATCCCACCGTCTGGGTGCAGCTAGCACCTCGCTCGAGACCCTTGCAAGCGTCCTCGTTGGCTTTGGTGGCCTTGGCATCGAAGGTGTCGGTCTTGCCACGTTGGCAGACGTTCACGTTGCCGGTGCAGAAGAGAGTGTTGCCCTGTTGGCAGACAGAGAGGTAGTTGGCGGTCTCGTAGGTAGTAGCAGCGGAAGCCACAGCGGCCATGGCGAGGACAATGATGTTGGAGAACTGCATCTTAGATGATTGGGTTTTTCGATATTTGTCGAGACTGAGAGATGTTTTCTGTTGGAAATGTCTGCTGACGTGGTGATGGCGAGAGTTATTGAGGTGGTTGATGAGGTGGATGATTTGTGGATGTGGCGATAACGTGAAGTCCCAGAGGACACTTCGTTTCTTTTATCATGTTTTCAACCCACGGAGCTATCCTGATCAGCATCAAAAGAGAAGATCATGATTTCCCTGACTCGGGCGGATTCTCAGGTCACGGAGTCGTTGTCGTCTCGAGTAGAATTCCCCTCAGGGGTAATGTGGGCCATTGAGACTCGGCGAGAGACCCCGGCCTGAGCGGTGTCAACTCCCGCGCAGGGCGAAGCGAGAACCTTAAAGACAGCTGAGGTGTGGCATTACTTCATGCGTGTCGAATAGATTAACAAGCATGTTTCACCGTCAATCGATTCTAATTGAAGCCAATTAATCACCACGTTCGCCAATAACATCAACGTAGCCTCTTTTCAAAATAGAGTTACGCGGACTTCCAAGAACTACTCTTCGGCTATGTCGGCAGACCATCAAAGCTCAGTTTGACTGGAATAGTACATGAGACTGAGCATACGCCGCAGAAATGCAACCCTTTTGAGCATGTTCTCACGTAAGTGAGGTTGTAACGACCATGACTGGTACGATTAAACTCAAGGCTTCAAGAATTTGACGAGGTCTTGCGATCACTGGCGTGTTGACTCACTCATGAAAGTTCCAAGGCAATATTCTCTTCAACTAATAGTGACCACAGAATGAGAGGAGGCACCTATATGTCAAGAACCTATCTGAGTACGGGTTTATGTTTGGTCATAAGTAAGACTTTTCAGATCAGATGAAGCAGCAAGAGACTATGTCAGGCAGACTTCAACGGCCCCGGGAATCGAGTTCATCTGGAAAGATACTCAATTCAATCTGAAACTAGTGGACGGCTTGAACCTTGACAAGTATTTAGTCAAACACCTTCTTCCACACCCACAGACTCCTGCTGTTGGTATACTGCTTAAATCCTTCAATGCCCCATTCCATACCCATGCCACTCTCCTTGTGTCCTCCAAAGGGCACCTTAGGTGAAGTATCGAAGTGGGAGTTGATCCAGACACTGCCGGCGCTCAAGTTTCGGCCCAGTCGTTCCGCGCGCTCCAAGTCCTTGCTCCAGACCGATGCGCCGAGACCCGTCTCAAGAGCATTCGCACGATCAATAACATCATCTTCGGACGACCATTTGAGCAGTGGAACGATAGGGCCAAATGGCTCTTCCTTGACAATGCGTGAGTCTTCGGGCGGGTTGTCGATGATCACCGGCTCCACGAAGTACCCCTTGGAGGTTTCGCGGACGGAACCCTCTAAGGCGGTCTTCCAACCACACTTGTCGATTTGAGCATACATGTCTTTGACGAGCTCAAATCTGATACAAATTGTAAGTCTCGAATGCAAAGGCTGGACGTATCTCAAGATGAGCACTTACTGCATGCTGTTTTGAAGTGGTCCAACGACAACGTCAGGCTCGAAACCACCACCGGTCTTGATGTTGTTCTTCGTGAACTCAACCATGGCGTCGCGGAATTGGTCGTAGATCTTTTCGTGGACGTAAAGACGTTTGACAAGCATACAGATCTGACCTGAGTTAAGGAACGCCATGGTCGCGATCTTGGGCAAGCATTTCGCAATGTCAACATCTTCACAGACGATAGCAGCATCGTTGCCGCCGAGTTCGAGAAGATATCTCTTGAGAGTCTTTGCGCAACTCTCTGCCACCTTCTTCCCGGTTTGGATCGATCCTGTGAACGCAATCATGTCGATCCCCGGATGGGCCGTCATCCATGGTCCCAGGTTGTCGTCGCCGCTGAGAACTTGAAACACGCCTGGTGGGAAAACAGACATGGCTATCTCACCCAGCTTGAGGTCGCAGTACGGGGTGTATGGCGACGGCTTCATGATGATGGTATTGCCCGTCATCAGCGCAGGCCCGACTTTACCCAGACCCAGTAGAATGGGCCAGTTCCACGGAACAATGGCACCACACACGCCAAGAGGAGGGAACGTGGCGTAGATGGTTTTCTCATCGTCGTCTTCGAGAACTTCGTCTTTCACTTCCATGGTGGCAAAAGCTCGCAACCAAGTCAGAGTCATGGTCACCTCCACGTTCGAAAGGCCCACAGGCTTTCCCTGCTCCATTGTCTGCAGCTTTTCGATGCTCCCGCGTTCCTTTTCGATGGCATCGGCATACGCGAGCAGCAGCTTGGACCTCTCCTCATGGGTCGTTTTACTCCATTTTTTGAACGCCTCGCGGCCGTGCTTCACAGCATCGTCAAGTTGTTCCTTCGTGGCCACGGGGACCTCATAGAGAGATTCCTCAGTCGCGGGGTCAACGGTATGCCGAGTCACATCAGTAGGGGCAAACTGCCCGTTGATGATGTTACCCGGGTAGGTCTGAGGATTTTCTCATTAGCAGGTGCCATCAGACGAACGAACTTCACATCTTACTGTGATGTCAATTGCCGACGCCATTCTTGCGAGCGAAAGTTCCAAAGAATATGAAGAATTGAATAGGACAAGATAAGGAATTCTACGGTCCCAGTCTGCGAAGCAGCACTACTTATAACCATATGGTGCTCGAATCTTATAACTTATCATGGCCCTCCTCTTCGCCCTACCCCGCAAGCTCTCCACACTCCAGTCTGTACTGAAGCTCCGTATCACTGCAGAACTACGTCTTCTGTGCCTCGATATCTACTCGCCATGCAGCACATGATTGGACAATTCTCAGATAAGGTGCTTTCCATTGGTGGAGGAGCCCAGCAGTTGATGCAGTCTCACATAAGACGAACTTAGAGGATGCCGATCCTTACCAGACTTTGCATCAGGAGCACTGTTGAGCGACAGGAAAGGATAAGAAACTGGCAGACATCAAATACTTCTCTTGGGCTGCAGATGTGTCCGATCATCTTGTCATCGCTTGGTTTGGAACACATCAATCTATTCAGTCACTGCCCGATATTGCCATGCGTTCTGGTTGTTATTTATTTCGATTGAGTTCTGCTTGTATGATGAACTATACTTCACTCCGCCAGCTTCATGTTGAATTCCTTCACAAGCACATAGCCACCCAAAGACTTGGTAGCATAGTTGAATACCGCAAATCTGAATGCCATGAAGTATTGCCAGCGGTTGTGCAAGTGCCAGTCGGCTCCGAGCTGCTTGAAGGTCTCTCCGTCGGTGCTGTAAGCGAGCTGAGCGTAATTGTCGTTCGTGCCCTCGGGTAACCCGAATGACGGAGTGACGTCGGCTGTGATACGCAACCAAATATCATGCTCTCCGCTTGCGATGGCCGCCAAGTCCAGGTCTGCATCGTTGGCGGTTGCTGTGACAGTGCCATTGGAGGTTGTCTCGAACCCAGCACTCTCGGGGGCGAGAATGTCCTCAACCAGGAAGAGCTTCAGGGAGTCGCCCTCTTTTTGGAACCCGATGTAAGCCGAGTCGTCCCGGAAGATCGAAGCGCCCGCGATGTCTCCGTCGGACATGCCAGCGAGGTTCAGGCGGAAGGTACCACTGCTCTTCGGCCCCAGGATACGGTGGGTAAGGGTGTTTCGTGCCGCGTAGAGCTCGTCGGTAACTGTCGCCGTGTGAAGAGTAAGACCCTCAGTTCCTAGCTCCCACGCCGTGTTATCGGGGTTATGGTTCCATTCCCACTCGACGTTCAGCTTCTGTCCGTCGAAGCTGTCGCTGAACTCGCCCGCCGGTGTGATGGTCTTGTCGGCGGTCACAGGCAAAGGGTAAGTCTTGGCCCATCCGCCTGCCTCGTCCGTGACAATATGAGGCCAGCCATCTTCATCCCAAGTCAACGGTGCCAATGATGGTATGCGACCAGCTGGATACGCATCCAGGAAGGACATGTAGTACCAGTCGCCTTCAGGCGTGTCGACAATGCCGCCTTGGTGAGGTGTTCCGGAATTCGGGATTGGGGAGGTCATCCGGTCCAGCACCGTCTGGTTCGTGTAAGGGCCCCAGGGGTTGTCAGCCTTCAGCACATGCTGGCCATCAGCTGGCTTGGTCAACCAGATATAGTAGCTATCATTGATATGGTAGAACCTCGCGCCCTCGAGATATCGCGTGGAATCAGACCAAACCACCTGGACCTTATTAGCATGAAGTTTCTTTCATAAACAATCTATGGCATTTACCTCTTTCCGGACAGGCTCCAAGCCATCAGAAGAGAGCTGAACCACACTGATGTTGTACATTCCGTAGGCGATATACATCGTGTCGTCCTTGTCAACCAGGACACCGAGGTCGTAGTAACACTCGTTGATGGGCGGCTGAGCGGTCCACTCTCCAGCCGGGTCGCTGGCCGTGAAGATGTAGGTCTTCCCAGACTGGACACATCCGTACCAGTAGAACAAACCATTGCTCTCGCGATACTGCAGAGAACTGGCCCAAATGCCGCCAACATAGGCCTTACCGCTGCCGTTCAGGTAGTACTTGTCGCCGAAGATCAGCTCCGGGACGGAGTGGCCAATGAACTCCCAGTTGACCAAGTCGTAGCTCTTCAAGACGGGAGCACCGGGAGAATAGTGCATTGTAGAAGCCGTGTAGTAGTACGTGTCGTTGACGCGGATGACCTCGAGGTCGGCCAAATCTTCGTAGATGACCGGGTTTTCGAAGGTACTCTGGGCCACCACAGCAGTGGCAGCCAGCAGCGTCGAAAAAAGCTGGAGCTTCATCTTGAGTCTTTGACCAGGTCACACAGCCTCTTGACGCGCTCTGTGAGGTTCGTGGTAAACGAAATGAATTGGCACATCTCTACGGACTATGCGATTTATATTTTCTCCCAGCCCCCTCACAGAAAGCTGCAAATTTCCATGTTTCCCCATGACCGCATCATCAACCCACCGGCCCTCGCGCGGTGCCAAGTCTCGACTCTTGCGCACAAATGATTGAGCTTTCAGTTCCCGAACCTGGCTGATGATCAGCGTCTGATTGGTGCGCAAATCGTGGGTTGGGGTTGATCTGGGGCGGTTAAAGGTGGAGGCGGGGAACGAGCCAGAACTGGGGATTGTCTCCAGCTTCGTGCGGAGAACTGGGCCGGGCAATGCGATTATCCTCTGGATGGTTAAATTGAATGTCCTGGTCTGACTTCACTGACAGATCCTTTGTATTAATGCATTTTACTGATGGGACGCTGAGACGTCTTCCAGGAATTCCGAGTGTTGGAGGGAGAGACAGATTGTCTTCGTGGTCAACTGAAGTAGACACAAACCCTTTGTCATCACAATTACGATTGTGTCAGTGTACCCATCTTAGCAGAATCAACAAAGATAAAGAAAGCGCATTTTCAGAAGAGATATGATGAATTGAGGGTACCGGATACTCGAAGGTTTACATTCACGCAAAGAGGCGTATCCTCCTTCAATCTTGGCAAAGCTTGAAGATGGGGCTTCTTAGTCCGTGGTCGAGAGAAGGACGTCCTCGTGGAACTCCAAGGACAAATGAAGTATTTATATGCCAGACGCGAGGTCGCGCACGAAGAGAAGAACAGCACTTAATAAATGAAGCCCGCGAAAGATTGGTGCCGGCTTTACTATCCGTACGTGCCGGAAAATTGGCTCCAACGTGAACAATTACAGTACTCTCATCGCACTCGGATGGACGACGAGTCATGCCATTGCGGATTCACCTTTGCCGGCTTCCGTCTTGGATTGCTCATCTACCTTGAGTTAGCTCGGGGATGTGTTGCTTGAGAGAAGCGGCGATACGATTGACTAAAGTCAATAGTAACACGCGTTATGTATGTGGAGTCTAGAATGAATTTTGACTTCAATATTCGATTGTTCGTATAACAACAGACTTCGCTCGGAGCTGCTGGCGTCTTTGCCCGCTCAATCAAAACCTTTCATGCACACGGTTCTTACCAGCTTGGTTTCCTCGAGGCCTTGATCTCTTCAAACCACAGCATGCACTGTAAAAGGTTTAATTTGTCACTCACTGTGGTAAATGTCCATATTGGCACGGGAGTTCTTGACACAGTTGGGGCCAGAGTCGGTAAGAACACCCTGAACACCAGTCAAAATCAAAGCCTTTAGACAGCAGTCTTCCCAGATGTGAGTGACCTTAGCATAAAGAAGTCTTTCGATCGGCCCCATGCCGACAGACTTGCCCTTAACATGTTAGATGTTATCGAACCAACTCATGCGCTATATAGAGACGCCAAATACAGCATTTTATATTAACTAATAGGGTAGGATATTTATTACCCCCCTCTAGCTATTTATTACCCCTCTAGCTATACCTACTATATATATATCTCTAAACACTAATAAAGAAGACTAATAAGCCTTATAGGCTAATTAGAGGTTAGTATTTAAGTTATTTAATTATTTAAAAACTTTGTTACGGCCAGCTAACTGACAGTGGGTTTATATTAGCAGTAAGTTAGGGATTAAAAACTATAAATAGTATTAAGTCGTTTTATAGGGCTATTTAAGTAATTATAGGTCTTTAAAGGTCTTAGTAATTAGTTAAGGCCTTAATAAGAGTTATAGAGTAGTTATTACTTAGGTATAACTAAAAGTACTAATAAGAGTAGTTATAAAGTTAATTACTAAAGAGCTATAGAAGTCTATCTTTAAGCTAGACTTAAGTCTATCCTATATATAAGTCCTAGATACTTCTCTTCCTATATAGACTATAATCTAAGAGTTAGTCCTCCTTAAGGACCACCCTTAGTATATTAGTCCTAATCCTTATCCTAGTCCTAGGACTACTTATTAAAAGTTAGTCCTACTTATTATTATATAACTTATACTATAGTTCTTTTATTCTAGGTAAGCCCCTTATATTCCTATAATCCTATATATAAAGGTAACATTCTAACTGCCTAGTATCTTTATAGGGCGTTCTTTATTAGTTATACCTAATAGGTTATAATATTAGGTCTCCCCTCTAAAGGTCTAATCTCTTAGACCTTATATAAGTAGGTAGTTACTCCTAGGTTAAGGAGTTATTAATTCTACTTCCTTATTTTCTATAATGCTAATACTATATTAGGTTATATTTAAAAGTTAAAGTCTTAAAAGATAGAAATAAAAGATTATAAGCGTTAAGTACTTCTTAAGTTTATAGATTCTCATTCCTTATATATAGATATACCTTATACTTATTATTTCTATATAAAGGTTGCCTATTAATTTAATAAGGGGTTATCTTATTGCTATAAGTATATTAAGGTAAAGAAGCTATATAATAGTATTTTAGTAGCTTCTATATATAGGTACTAAGACTTTTATATTTTTCTTCTTTTCTAACGTTTTTCTAGTATAAAGATTAAATACTTAATAGAAAGAGTAGGATAAAAAAGAGGAAAAGGTAGATAAAGAGTTTATAGCTCTTTATATTTAGTTAACTTACCTTTAGGCTAAAATAGCAGCAATAGTAAGCTATCTCTTAAGGATCTATACTATTTAGAAGTAGGTTTATAATTATTAGTCTAAGACGTTTTATTAGGGGATATAAGAGGTTAATAAGGAGGATAATATCCTTTCTATATTGGATGCTTATAAGTGGGGTATTATAGGGGACCTCTAGTTTATAGGTATTATAAATAACCCTTCCTAGCTAGACTTTGGAATTAGTAAGGAGTTTATGGACCTAGGCCCCCTGCTTAGGAGTACTCCCACAGCAGCTACTAGGAGTACTAGAGGTTCTTAATAGGTTCCTATGAGTTTTCTTTATATCTATATCCTTTCTACTTAATAAGATATTCTATATTTCCGTTATTACTATAGTAGTTAATAATTTATTTAACTTTATATTCTAGTTCTAGAGGTTCCATAATAATATAGTCTTCTATATATAAACCTTATAGTGCTTTTTTAAGAAGTAAAATATAAAAGACTAAATAATACTTTATAGTATCTAGTAGTATAAGTTTAAAGTTAATATTAGATACTTTCTATATAATTTTAAAAGGTCTAAGTTTCTTAAAGTCTAACTTATTACTTAGTTATTTTATCTTAATATTTCTATAGAGAAGGTATATACTATCCCCCTCCTATAGAGTTAGTCCCTTAACTCTTAAGGTATTAGTATATTTATATATTTATTTATATATAAATTTAAGTTCTTTAGGTAGCCCTTATTAGATTTCCTTAAGTTTATTAATATCTACTATAGCTTTTAGAGCTGCTAGGCCCTATTATGGTTCTCTATAGGCTATTAGATTAAATCTATAGTTCAGATAGAATAGTGATTCTTTTATGCTTTCTCTTACTGCGCTATTATAGGCAAACTAGGCTATAGGTAGTAATTATACTTAGTTGTCTTACTAGTAGTTAATATAGTAGTATAGATAGGTTTCTATAATCTAATTGATTTATTCTATCTAGCTATTAGTTTATAGATAAAAAGCAGTAGATATCTTATAATTAGATCCTAGCTATAAGATTAGTAATCTCTAAAACTTAGAAGTAAATAACTTATCTCTATTAGATATAATTTCCTTTAGCGTTCTATATTAGCTAATAATTACCTATAGAAACTTATAGGTAAGGTCTTCTATAGTATTAGACTCTATATATAGGATAAAGTATAAATACTTTATAAGTCTATTAATAATAATAAGGATACTATTATAGTAGACTTTAGTTATTAGTTTTTAGGACTTAGGTAACTTAGTAATAAAGTCTAATAAGATAGATTCCTATACGGTTTATAGTATTAAGAGTAGTTATATCTTACTATAAGGCTAATATTAGCTAGGTTTACTTTTTATATAAACCTTATAGTCCCTAATTGCTAAAGATATTTCTTATTATATAGCTATTTTATTATAATATTATCTAATACGTTTCTATATCTTAGTTACGCCTTAGTAGCTATATATAGGAGTAGAGTATATCTCCCTAATAGCTTTAGGAGACATCCTTCTAGTCGTGCTAGTCCTATCTCTTCTAGCTATTATTAAGAGTCTAGCTACTAGCATAAGGTCTCCTTCCTTATCTTTTTTGAGGATAACTTAGGTTTCCTTAGGTACTTAGACTTTATAGTTTAGTCTTCTACTAAAAGTATCTACTCTTCCGTTTTCCTTACCTTTCTAGTATATAATCTTAAAATTAAATTCTAAGAGGAATTTAGACTATTTAATCTATTATTTATTAAGTTCCTTTAATATTATAAAGTAGGTAAGGTTCTTATAATTAGTATAAACTTTAACTTTATATTTTATTCCTAATAGTTAAGGTCTCTATTTCTTAAATGCTTTAATAATTACTATAAGTTCTTTATTATAAATTTAGTAATTAAGTTTTAGGCTATATAGCTTATATAAGAAGAAGGCGTATAGGCATAGCTATCCTTTATTATCTTATTAGCTTAGCTATCCTCCTATAGTATAGTCTAAGGAGTTAGTCTTAACTTTAAATAGCTTTTTAGGATTAAGTATAATAAGTATAAGTTCTAATATAACCTATTACTTAATCTCATTAAAGGCTTATTCTTATTTATCCTCCTATTGCTAGGGGACTTCTTTCTTAGAGAGTCTTATAAGAGGGTTATTCTTATCTAAGTATCCTTCTAGAAATTGCTAGTAATAGTTTATATATCTAATAAAGGATTATATATCCTTAATATTCTATAGTATTAGCTAGTCTTATACTACTATAATTTTATCTTTTAATATCTTAAGGATTCTAGGGGCTATTATAAAGCCTAAGAATTTAACTTCTTA